CTATCTATTCAGTGATTTATTTCGCAATTATCAGTTTCCCATAATCGCAAGTTAGACCTAAGATTTTCATTGCATCAAAATTGTTTATCTTATCTCAAGGATGGTTTTAATCGATTGTTATACAGCAAGAATATCTTTTGAGTTCGCCTGAGGTTTGATTCTGAGAGGTAACCGTTACATATGTGTTAAAAACTGTCAGGAAAGTGGTAGTTACGATAGAACAATATTTATATTGGTGGGACTTAAGGGCTAATAACAAACGTTTCCTTTGTATGCCCAAGCGCGATTGAAATGTATTTGAGATAATCAAAACAATCTTAGAAGAAAAATTAAGTAATTTAAGTATACTTTGAATGTTTTTATGTGAGTAGAAAGTTCATCCCTGGAGCAAATCGCACGATTGGTCAAATCAGGTCACGTGGTTAAAGAGGTGTCCATTCTCATCGATTAACTGTTTTAGATTAATTTTCTCTTGACAATCAAAAACGAGAATTCTGACATTAGAAAATAACGATCACGAGCAGGATTATCATCTATTTTCTCTGATGATCCATTGTATTGACGTTGATTCTAATAACATGCCTCGTCCAGTATAATGCAATTCAGTGTCAGGTTCAATAAAGCTACTATTGCTATTTATACATTTGTACATTCAGGTCTTCTTACATACATTATTTCTAATTTCCTATCATAATTTAGATTGCATCGTTAGTCCTGGTACAATGGTTTAAATAAAAAACTTTATTTAAATTGCATTGTTGGACTTTCCAAACTTATCGACAGTAGTGAACATAACAAATCGAAATTAATACTGAAAAATATTGAATAATGAATAATTCAGACGTCCAGACACTTTTCGAGACATATAGATTACGTGATGAAGAAGTGTTTATTTATAAAAGAATGGTGATATCAAAAGGTTCAATCTGTCACCAAATAAGGTTGGCTTTTATCTAATCGGATCGTTACGGTGTGTCGATCTATTAACATCCACTTTATTTGTCCAGTGTTATGTTCCTGATAAAAAATGTGGAAATTGTAAGTAATACTCTTTGTGGACTTGGTGTAATTAAACATGCGAATCAATGGGATGGCGAGATAAGTATATAATTCCATTAACCAAGACAAGTTGAATCGATCTAGTTGTAACCATTAAAATGTAGAAAAAACGTCCATTTATATACCAGTACCGAGTTACCAACGATAAAATGAACACCAGAAAGAGCGTAAACTGCAAAGTGTATAATTTGCAATCACATTAAACATGAGCATGGTGAAAAGGAATGCTATTTCATAGTAATGCTACTTCTACATTCATGTATTTCTCATTCATGTATTTTTCTACATTTATTTTTTATTTAAAACAATACATCAGCTGACATTTTAAAATTCATGAATGATGTGAACACTTTTAACTCATCTCATAAAATTCATAAATTAATGAAGATGTTTACTAGATCATATTTAACTAATTACGGGAAATGATTCTCTACAAATCCACAGTAGATCACCCTATTAATCATATTAAAAGATGAGTCTTTCTACTCCAGCAATTAACAACAATGTTATCTCGTTCCAAACGAAGAGGATGGGTTGGAACAAGATAACAACAATGTTCTTGTACAGCAATCAATGAAGTAATAACAAAGAGTTTTGGGATTCTAAGAAAATATGAAAACAGTTGACAAAACATTTTGAAAAATAGTTCAAAAACTTGATGAAAAGAAAATATGAAAAATAGAAAAGATAAGGGCAGTACCGCAACCACGTCTCCAACCACGTCTCCGAAGCATATGACTGCTATAAGTGACTGTGGAAATTCTACCGTGGCCAAAGGCTTTCGTTATCAAACCGAAGACCGCGTACGATTGCCATAGCAAATGTGACTGATGCATAACGTTTATACTGTCTTTGGACGAATAAAACAATTATAGACATCGGCATGGGTTCTTGTAAATACAATTTCGTGACGAAATTTGAAAAGTCAACCTCTGACCAGGTCAAGAATTTGGTTGTAAATTGTATGTTGTAAATTGGCAAATTCCGAATTGACGCTAAGCTTCACCGAATATTCCTCAGCATCATTTTTACATGAAAAATTCTGATAAAGGGAATGCGAAAAAATAGCTCGATTTCTTATGAAATTTACAAGATGCGAGTAGAAATATTCTTGATTTACGTCATTAGAATTTTAAAATTCAGTCAGTGATATCATATTTGAAATCTACATGTAAAGCTACATCTAAAAAGGTGGTTTTAAAAATTGTTTATCAACAATTTAATTTTCTTTGAAAAGGTGACTTGGAGGTCGGAGAGATTCCCCATAGACCCCATGTTATAAAATCACAAAAAGTGGAATATCTTTTCTTTAATTGAACTGATACTATTTTCTTTTACTGGACATATTTCAATTTGTATAACTGGGCCAATTTACAATTTATCATGATATTTTAAAAATCTGTTGTTGTACTAGAGTGCGACATGTTGATTTCATGGATAGCAATGTGTTATTTTTTGTTGACCAGAGTTTAAGCAAGTATTGTCCACAAGGTACCTAGTTGGAATATTGCTTATATATTTTAAAAAATATCACTTTAATGATGGATTTTTAGACAATTAAGAAATATTTTATTTTTCCGGCAAATACAAACTCGGATTTCTTAATCTAAAATGTGTCGATTGCATTGGTATTTTTGAGCATGTTAATAAAATGTATGCGCTACCTACTCTTGAAAGCTAGATGTTTGATATGTTGTAGTCACATAAATAAGGGTTATGTACTGGGAGGTTTTGGATATGGGGTTTATCCAGAGGGAGATATGCATATCTACCTGAGGGACCGTAGGGACCGAAACTGACCGTACATAACGGCTTTATCCTATACCAAGTAACTTTCTTTCAATTTCTTTTTATTGTTTCAATTTCTTCACATTTTTCTAATTCTTTTTCAATTTTTTCTAATTTTTAAAAAAAAAATTTTCAATTTTTTCACAATTTTTCTTTTTTTCTTATTTTTTTCGAAGCGGGAAGATATGCCCTGGAGCGGGAGATATGGCGGGAGATATGGAGGTTCAGGATATGGAAACCTCAAAATCATGATACGGGATATATCTTACCAACTTATCTCCCTAAAACTCTACTTGGTATAGGATAATTAAGTATATTTTACTATATGTATACGATTTGTCAAATATTTGTATCCTCCAACACTTCGGCCATATAGATATACACTATTGATGCATTTATTTGGTGAAAGCTATGCCAGAAGATGCATTTTGATAACATATCTTAAATTGCAAACAATGGAGATATATGATTGAGTAAGTATTTCTGTTGTGAATTCAAGTTGTCTAGATTAGGCTGTCCAATATTTTGTATCCTCCAATCATTAAAATATCATCTTTGGGAAAAATATTTTTAGATTATCATTTTGAGAAATGAAAGTACTTAATAGAAGCGTTTAGATCATCATTATTTATTTTTTGAATTATTTCAATTGTCTTTGTAAAACGTTATTATGCATGTGTTGGAGGATACAAAATGACTTTAAAATTATGTGAAATATAAACGTACGATCAAAAGTTAGTTGTATTCGTATTTTTATGTTAATTATATCTAAATTAAAGCTTTAAGCCTAGTATACACCAATGGGCCAATTTGGGACTTCCATAGAATAACATTGCGTGGGACCTCGTGGGACTTCTCGGGAATTTGCCCTTTGAAGTCCGTGGGACTTCATGGGACTCCGTCAGATTTTGCCCCATCGAGTCCCATGAGGTCCCACATGGGACTCGGCGGAATTCGATGGGGTAAGATGGGGCAAAATCCCACGGAGTCCCATTTTGCCCCATCGAGAATGAACATGTTCATTTTTCCATGGGTCATCGTGTGATTTTCGATCATATGACGTGTTGTGTAAAGCCCAGTATACACTAATGGGGCAAGTTGGGACCTCCATAGACTTAACATTGCGTTGGACCTCGTGGGACTTCTTGGGATTTTGCCCCCCCCCCCTGGTTAGACACCCTTTTCTGGAAAAAAACATATTAAATGAAGCCACAAACTTTGTCCTATAGTGAGGGCATCGGGGAAGAACTGTACATGTAAAATTGTATGAAGGTATCTTGCCCATTTCTTAAGTTATCACTTTTGACATAGGGGTCGTTCAAAATAATTTGCGGCTAATAATTTCAAACGATAACGTTGACTCTATTTACATTTTTATTTTTACAATTCAATACTTATATCCAAGGAAACATGCTTATTGTTTGTTTGACACAAAAATGTGATAAATAATATCTTATTTGAAATCAAACCGGACTTATTGAACGATTAATGAAAATAATTTAATTTTTTATTCCTTTGATTGCTCAGGTTACGAATTAATGCCAATATAGTTCCAATGATGCCGCTTGCGAATTTATAAAATATATTTGTGTTTCCTCTGCAATTCAAGAAAAACCATCGCCATATGGATGTTTCAATTTTCGAATTGTGTATTTTTTGAAATATCAATTATCGTTAATTGGCCTATCAGGTACTTGTACATAAGGATAATATGAAATTGAACCAAGATAACCGATGAACATTCAAGTTTAAGGGAACTTTCTAATACCCTGCCATGTTATTTACCCAGAATTAGCCACCTGGTGGTGAAACTGGGAAGAATCCTACTCGCATCTCTGGGTAACTAGAACAGTTTCTTATTGAAAAGGAAATTACTTTTAACAATTCAATACAATGAGATAATGAAACAGTTTTCCTTAACTCAATTCCATCGCTAAGTCTGACGTCTAGTTAACAAAAATATGTACATGAAAAATAAAAAACGGTTAACAGTGTTGATGTTTTGATGTATCCCATTTTTAGTGTTGTGGATGTGTTGTTCAATTAAAAAATCTATTAAATTAAGATTTAAATTCCTAAATAAATGTAGAATATATCAATTTTATATGATATATTTCGCGCGGTGAAATTCCATAAACCCAGCATCAACTTACCTAAATTAAAACTTGTGAAAAGCCATACCCATAACCATACCATGTCGGATCTACTGCATCCCCGTTTTCCAATCTAAATTAATCCTTTTGTGCTTAAAATCTTGTCTCATATAATCTCAATTCCCCTGTGAGTAAATTAGCTGAGGTGGTGTTGTCTTTCTAGAAGTCAAAACAAACGTAGTGTTCTTCATAATCATCTATTAGAGCATATTCCTCAACAGACGGTTAATGTGTATTATATGTATGCTTTGAGTATTTCTTAAATAGCACTTACAGGGGCTGTTTATATTTCCATAGAGAATCAGGAAAAACCTGCGGTAAGAACACAGTCGTTGAATGAACATTTGATAAACTGGTAAAGAGTTCTTTTAGAGTTCTTTTCTTCCCTGTTCTAAGAGCAGTTCCCTAGAAACTAATAGCGTTCGATTAATGGATTATGTTGTTGTGCTACCAGCTCCTGGTGTTTAGATTAGAAAAATTGGATTAAAAAATAGATAATTCTGCTTACATGACATTACGGCTAAAAATGCCGTTATACAGCGATTGTTGACTTTTGCTTAATTCATGAATTGAACAAAAGCGACCATATTGGATTTAACTAACAGTTAGCCAAACAATAATGGCGCCTGTTCAGAACCGGGAAACTTCATAAAATGGTTATAGCACGCTGTTATACAGAAACTTATTTCCAAAATGTCTGTACTTTAAGTCTTTAATACTGTCATTAATTTTTTTTTACAAGTCATTGAAACCATGGAGGAATATAAGGCCTTAGATGACAAAGATATCGGCTTGGATTTAAATCCGTTGGTCTGAAATTGTCCAAACCCCCGTCCAGACCCAACTTTTGTTAAGGTTTTATTAATCAAATATAGAACCATTCACATATACTAGGACTTAGGCATGATATATCACATTCAAGCCAACTTGACAGAGTATTTGATATCATATTGATTCCTATTTTTTTTCAAATTCATAATCAGCGAAAAATGTCATCGTAAGAACCTTGTGAAAAAGTTTCTGGTTGAATTTCATTTTTAGAGATATTGTTGAAAATCTCTACCCTGTGCGCAGAGTCTGATGGTAACAAATACGCACCTATAGGTTACATAAACAACGTTTATATACAAAAAAAATTATGTTGAAACAAACTTACCAAGACCCCATAGAAAAGTTTTAGCATCTTTAAGGTGCCTTTAAATATTGAAATAGGACGATATACTAATCCTAAAACACCATTACAGGAACGGTTATGCAAAATGTGCAATTCTCAGGTTGTTACATATTTGTTGACTTGTATTTTATTTATGTATTTTAATTGTATGATATGTGTGTGACTTTAACAAACTATTTTAACTAACTAGCTATAAACTTGACGAAGCTCCCTTTTAAGAAGTGAAGTCAAACGAATGCAAAGGGTAGATAATCTCTTGTTATGTGTTAAAATAATTTTAACTCAATTTAACCGCTAACGCACATTTTCTCAATCGACTTTGAAATCGGGCTCCAAATCTCATTCAAATTGATTTAGCCCTTAAATCTTAAATCACAAGTACTAAATTTATCTATTAACGAAAGGTACAGGTATGTCGGCGTAGTCGCCAATACGTGCATTTCTACTGTCATACTTAAGTTCACTATCATGATACCTATTTAATGATATTCTGGCAATGATTTCTAAAGTTTAAGTTACCCTTTCGGTTCTAATTATAAATTGACGACATTTCTGAATCTAAAATATTGAAAAGCCTCCATATTCACGACAGTCATAAAAGGGTAAAAAGGTTTGGGTTACAACCTCCCTAAACTTCATCAAAATTAAAGTTACAGTATCTTTCACCTTATTTATTGGACACCCTCATCCCGCTGTATATGTTAAGTCCCTTCTCTTAGCACCGTAGTAAAAATCGGAGCAAATGTGACCACGGCATTACCTACCCAAATGGCCTCCTAAATATAACACGGTTATTAAACAGCTAAAACTGCAATTTATAAACCGGTGTTACATTCAGAACGTGTTATTTCGCCTTAATACTGAGATAATTGCAGTTTATGAATTGATCTTACATGTTCGACAACAATTTACTGAGATCGATTTTCCTGTTCCCTGCAATTGTACTCTAAAGAATAATAACATACTTTACAATTTCTCCTAGCTAGAGTGGCAGTTAACTCATTATATGTCATAACTCCACACTTTTCCCTTGTGAACAATGGGCTGGTTCATAGAGTAACGGGACTTTGAAGAGTCGGGAAAAGAGCCAGGGCACAAACAAAGCTCAATATTTTATCGCATGTTCTGAAGGTAATGCAAAGACACCGTTGAAGAATAAAGCATAGAGAGAAAAGGATAGCGAACCTTAATCATCACCTAATTAACAACTCTTCTTGACCGAACGTACAAATAAAAGTGTCTAACCCCAAACACCTCCTCCAATCAGCAGAATCACAATACCATATGACAAAGTACGCACACAAAAATTCCAGCTGTAATAAAACCATACTGAATAAATGAAATCATTCGAATGTGGCTATCCGAAACGAAGATCACTTTCTCTATTACCCCGAATGATCCAACTTAGATCAGCAACGCATGCGCATGATAACCACTGGTAATAGGCCAATCACTCCTATTTGTAATTATGAGACGATGCATAATCACTAATAATCACTATGGAAAATGAGAACTAACTAGATACTGTAACATCGACGCAAAAGCGTAGCAAATCCCATTGAACAGCCATGGCTGCCATATTTACAAAATCCTTCAACTTACCTATTCAATTGGAGCAAAAATTGTAAAATAACACACATAAAAATGACCACCACTTTCAAAACTGTCGCTCACTAGCAAAATTGTCATTAGAAAGTGTAATATGCTTCGAAGTGCACATGTAAATGGAGGCCATTTTGAAAAATGGCCGCCTACTAACCAAAGTGCCATATAAGACAGTGTATCATGCTTATGGACATTCAAATATCAAATATGAACAAAATAACTTTTTAATTACTTTTTGAGTTACAGTAAAAAAACATAAAATAACACACATACAGGGTGTTCCAAAAGTAACAGGACTGGTGCTGGCATCTTGTTGAATATGCACCAATCATCTTCAAAATTTTACATGATGTACTTCCATGTATTGTTACTAAGACTGCACAGTTTCGACAAAAATTATGAAACTTGGGTAGAGTTATGGTTGCTATGATAACATGACATCACACTACCCGGGGCAACATTCCATGCAGAAAGTTACAGAGACTTTAAGCATTTTGTACATCCCTTATCAAAGCTAGAATCCAACAACTGGTGGGAATTGCATTGGCTAAATACATCATTTGATATTCCTATGTATCCTCTACTTTGAAAAGTAGGGTCCTCTTTGGTCAGTCCAAGAGTAGCACTCAGTATCCATGACTCAAACACATGAGTAAACCCATTTGATGACATGTCACGCAGGGTCAAAAGGACAACTTGGAGAAGGTCATTCTCATCTTTAACGGTCTTACCGCGCTGATTAGCATTCCATTCTCCAAATAAAAGTAAAAATTAGATATTGCATGATCAGAAGAGTATAGTGCATGGTATTAGACCTCAAGACCTAGCTCCGCTATAGCTGCAGCGGTCTTTAATTCTGACTTGCGGGCAGACGCCTTATCAAGGTGGATAATTGGCTTAAAATTGCGTCTTTTCAAAAACTCAATCGTAAATTGTGCAGACTGTTATACATGATGATATTTCAGGAAATTGAATAAATATTATTATTATGAAATCATACTTGAATCTGAGTTGTATAGCAACACCATTACTATAAAGCAACTAATAAAACAAACAAGAAATGTTGTATTGTAATAGGTGAATCAGATACTTTCTTCAGTAATATAAAAATGTTAGATATTACATTTTCGTGAAAAAGTTGCCCCGGGTATCGTAATGTCACGTTACTATAGTAACCATAACTTTACCCGCATTTTATCATTTTTTCTGAAACTTTACAATTTTAGTTGCACTACTTCAAGGTACCATTTGTGAAAATTTGAACAAACTCGGTGCAGAATTGACAAAATGCCAGCACCAGTCCTGTTACTTTTGGACGCCCTGTAAAGCTTATGAGTATACACATATCAAATATGAACAAAATCTACTAATTTTTAAGTTGAAGCAAATAGCTTGTAAAGGCCCCCATTTTTCAAGATGGCTTTCAGTATTTCTTAAATATCTACATTTCAAGCTTTATATATGTCCAATATAATTTTTTTACTTTTAAAACATATTGCTATTACAGTTTTATGTACAGTACCTAAATTACTGTAAAATCGGCCTTAAATTGGCTGCCATTTTTAAACGAGTAGCCATTTTGAAAATCGGCCTTCGAGCAGAACTCTACCGCCATAGAGCATATCGTATGTGTACAAAATATGAACAAAATTGGGCCAACGGTATTTGAGTTATCACCCCGACGGACGATCGGACGGAGACGTTCCCTATATCCCTCCGAACTTCGTTCAATGGGATAACTACTGCACTTAATCCACTGGATCTGAAGATAGTGTATATTGGCAAAAATTGTTTAATACAATGTTTTTTTGACTTTCCTAATAAACTTGACATCAGATATTGAAAGTTATTTGGGCTCATTGGTATAGAGTATTGAATTGCAAGAGATACGTGATGTTCTGGGTAGACTTGGTGTTTGTCGAACATGAGCATTGTGATTTATGAAGTGAAGTTGAACGCACTCTGCAGTGCATTGTACACTCCAAAGGTTTCACAACCCTAGCTCCGACATTTGTGTTAAGACTGTCATTTGAATTTTATCTACATAATGAGAATATTAGTTTGGGGTTTGAAAATAGAAATTGATTTTTTAACATGTTTTCTTTCATAACAAAAGGTCGAAAATTATATTATAAATTATTCCCCGTCAAGGAGGATTGGCTCCCAGAATGCAACACCGATATTCTGCAAAACAATCACCTAGCGATAGCTTTGTTGGAGAGTATCGGGTCATTCTCCATGCAGTCGTACAAATTATACAGACACGAATAGCAAATGACGCATGCGTGGAGATTAAAGAATATCGAGTTGGAACCCTGGCTTCCAATCCTCCTTGTCCCCGTGTAAACCTTTGGGTTCAAGATAAATATATAACTAAATGTTCGGAAAAATATTCACAAAAAATAGTTTTTATATAGAGAACGCTTTGTTGAGAAAGTAACAAAGCCTCGATATCATTAGGAATATCGTTTAGTGTCATTTCATTTTTTTCTAAATAGACTTTAGCTTTAATTATAAACAAGGATTTAATGTAAATATAGTGTCGCAGTGATCCGCGCATGCGCCAGGCACATTCCATATGTATGGGAACGGCGAATTTAAAAAATCTAGAAATTCGTTATCGACGGAACTATTGGAATTGAAGATTTTTTAAATAATTGGAGAGATTGCATTTGATGTCAGCATATATTTAGAGTATTTTTCTCAGCTGGCAAACAAATTCAAACAATAGCGCATTTAACACAATGAGATTTAGGGATGCCAAACATTTGGCAGGAAGTGTGTGCAACTTTTTAGTAATACCCTTGATAAAACATGACTTATCTAATTTATTCTCGATGTGTCGATCAGTAGTGAGCTGTCATGATTTTTTATATTATTATTGGCAACCAAGGAATTCATAAATTCTAGACTTTGGCAGCAACAGCATAATCTATATCCATTACGTAATATATTGCCATTAATGGCTTTAAACAAAGACTAGTTCGGCTCGGTTCAGAATGATTGATTGACGTTTAAAAAATAAAGGGAGTCTCTAGTATCTAGCTGAATAAATAGATGTCACCATCAGCTTTATTTGTTTTGGTTTGGCCAGACTGCCATTGGTTTCAATGTTAAAAGCTTGCAATAGTCACTTAATTCCATCGTGTTGGTTGATTCTGTCTAAAACTCGAATGGCATATTATTGGATGACTATGTTTATGTATATTTAATTGTGTATTAAATCATGAACATTTTAGCTGTATATTGAAACGCCTCTATACTGTATTAAATATGATTGTATATCCCGTTTGAATTTTCGTCCGATGCGAATCTAAGGCTATAACAATGTTTACACTGGTTCTACAGGGTTTCTAGACAACTCATCCCGAGACAACTCATCCCAAGACAAGTCATCCCTAAGACAACTCATCCCAAGACAACTCATCCCTAAGACAACTCATCCCAAGACATCTCATCCCAAGACAACTCATTCCAAGACATCTCATCCCAAGACATCTCATCCCAAGACAACTCATCCCACTTGTATCATTGATAAATTATTTTGTCCTCTCAATTATATACATGTATATCCTTTTTTCATTTTTACGATTACAAAGTGATATTTGATTATACACTCAATCTCAATATTGATAATTTTTAGCATTTTGAAATGGCACTTGAAAGTTGCGTTTTACTTTTAGTACCGTCTTTTTTTATTAATTTTAGGTTATTCTTAATATATTTGAGAAAATAGAATTGAATATATAAATCTGAAACTTTGAAATTGGAAGTCTTATTTAGGATTAAGCCAAATATGACGTAATGGAATTAAACAAAATATTTTAAAACAAATACTAATTAATCTGGGAGAATTATTCTAATAATACCCGGATAATATATTCTTATTGCATTAATCCTAATCTGACACCCTTGATGATCTTTGATTTAATAATCAAAGTATATATTGATTTGAACTTGTTTACATTTATCCCAATCAATCAACAAAAATTAACTAAAACTAGGCTAAACTAACTACAAAATATAAAAGATATTCCATGGCCAAACACGGTGCGCTAACTACAAAAATCTCTAAATATTTTTCAAATATTCTTTCAAAAGTTGAAATTAATTGTATAAAATTATGTTATATTTCAAGTTGGGGAGATTTGTCTTGGGGATGAGATGTCTTGGGATGAGTTGTCTTGGGATGAGATGTCTTGGGATGAGTTGTCTTGGGATGAGATGTCTTGGGATGAGATGTCTTGGGATGATATGTCTTGGGATGAGTTGTCTTGGGATGAGATGTCTTGGGGATGAGATGTCTTGGGATGAGTTGTCTTAGGGATGAGTTGTCCTGTTACCTTCTACAGCTATGGTGGTTCTAGTACTTTCACTGTACCAGACCCGTAGCCAGGGGGGGGGGAGTTCTATGGGTTTGAGCGAACTCGCACTCGGCCAAAAATTCTTTCAAAATCATGCAGTTTTTCATCATTCTGAGCACTTTGGAAGTGATTTTGGCCATTTTGGACCAAAATTGTCGTAAGTGAACCCCCCTGGAATTTTTCAAAAAGTGAACCCCCTTGGCAAATCCTGTCTACGGGCCTGCTGTACTATAGTACTTCTAAGGCTATGATAAATGTAGTTAAAAGCCATATACTCCGCAGGACGTTTTCTCAAGTGGGTGCAAAATTCTTCTTCACACTTCCCAAAGTAAGGCAATTATTTTTCTTATTTTCAAGAGTGAGTACTAAGCATTTGCTTCAAAACTAGGAAAACCACTGGTATATATGTACCCTGCCTGCAGAGTCTAGTTAAACTACAGACGAAGCTCTCTTTTAAGAAGTGAAGTCAAACGAATGCAAAGGGTAGTATATACAGGTATGTATACAGACTGAGATATGTACAACAAAGATACATGTTCATTTTTCACTAAAAACTTTATCAGTTATATTTTGAAAAGATAGGTGAATGACTACATTAAAGTAATAATAGAAGTTTATGCTTTATTATACAGGAGTAAATCAACAATTCTCCTTTTAGTAAATGCTTTATAAAAAATAAAATGTTACAAGATTATTGAAAAGTTGGTACATGTACATCAAAGTGAATCAAGACAAAGCGACAAAATATACCAGAGTTTCTCACTATTAAGCCCATGGGTGTTTATTTGAAAAGAAGGGTACATCGAAATTATCAATTAAATATCAATTTGGCAAATTGGTGAAGATTGATGATCAAATTGATGATATTTTTGCTTATCACGAGGTCCTGAAGACACTATTATCAAACAAAACTAGCTTGAATGGCAAAAAAGCCATTATATGCCAAAAACAAGTTTGTTTTCTTCGAACATATGGGGTTTATAATGAAACAAATTAAGACTGCCACATTTTCAGAAAATAGTGCAAAATTTTCACTTTGGGAATATCCTGCCCACTGACATGTTCCTCCGGCCTGGGAAAAATATTTTGCCGTATTTCCCTCAATCAGTCACTATTTGTATAATATCTCCATAAAAATCACCTGCCAGCCTTATATCATAATCGGTTCTCTTGATAATAATGCAAGGGTGATCCTTTTTATTTAGGAGAAAGTCTGGTATTTCCTGCCCTAATAGACCTTTCCAATAAACAGTGCCATCTTTCAATGCACAAAAGAAGCTTGAATATATTGGCTAAATTCATGTCATAGGCTGTTTGTAGCAATGTTAACAAAGAATTAATTAGGACTTTTTTCAAAATTAGCAATAGATTAATCCTATTGTTAACTAAGAAACTATGCGTCATTCAAATGACAACATGAATGTAGCCCATATAACCCTGCTTTATTGGTGTAACAAAACATGGCAAATATTTCATAGTATTCATTCGATGAATGGCATTACAAGTTCATCTTTCAATTATTTACAAGATATATAACTGTATATATTATGTGTTCCCTTTTTTCCACATTAAAAATTGTAAGTAAAAACCTACTACCATACAACTGTAAAGTACCAACCAAATCTAATGAATTCATAAAATTATGCTACGCAGATAACAGGGGGGTCTCTCTCAGTTTCATTTTATACCTTATTTTAGATCCTCTTATAAATAATTATTGTATACCTTAAAATAAAAACTCTTATTCAATACCTTATATTTTGGAGGCTCTTATACCTTATCCAAATAGACCCCCCTGCAAACAGTATGAAATATATTGTTAGTGTAGGTTGAACTGTTTTACCTCTAGGGAACCCTTAATTGGATTAGCCAGGTATTCAACCTCAAAAATATTATATAGGAAACATCTTGGGTCCCAATTTATTCATTTTCACTGTATCGAAGTCCAATTTAAATGTATAACCAACAGTGATAAAGTCTACAAATTATTCACATACACTGTAGAGTACATGTATATTAAAATTATTTTCATTTTAGGCTAAGGTAATTAAATAAATTGTTAAGCATATTCACTTTTTCTTTTTCAAATCAGGTGCATACAAATCGAAACTACAAAATATAAATCAGATACAACTTACACGATATTTAAAATAATCTGTGATCCAATCATAATTCAATCTATTTTAGTAATATCATCTGCTATCCTATTTGTATTCATTCAGTCTTATCTCATATTAGATAATATTAATAACTACAGTAATTTGAAAAAATTAATGCTGAACAAAGAATTTAACTAACCCCGCCTAAAATACATGTACATACAATACACACACTTTTCACATCATTTTACCTTTCCAAAAATACAGATATATCTCACTAAAACCTACATAACATAATACTGGATGTAGGTTCTAAAATATATTTTACAGTTTATGTTATATCCTGGGACGATACGATATTGCCCATGGAAAATATCATACTGACAAACCTAGAAGGTATAAGTCAGAGTGTCAGTTTGACAATTTTTGAGGCCTACATCATTATTAACCCACGTTCCATCCCAAATTAAATAAGTTACTTATTCCATGAAAGCAATGAAAATCAATCTGTCTGTAAGAATTAGGGATTCTGGCACTCAATGCAATTTTTGGCTGACAAAAGATTCAAACCTGGATTACATAATATCAATTCTATTTTGATACATTTACAGACTTTATTTACCATTATTGGACATTAATTTCCATGGAATGAAGTAATTTATTTACTTGTTCTTTGAGGAAAGATCTATAATCAGAATTCCACATTTGATTACTTAGGATCCACGATATATATATACATTCCACCTTCCACTAAAACATCTATATCGTCTCATAATTAAATTTCTTAAAATACTCAAACACTCTTTTCATTGCTGCTCTCAAGATCAAGTTGGCAGTGACAGTTAGACTGACATTCTTTGTATATGGGACTTTAATTCCTCATTGCTAGAGACTGTTGAGCCTGGGACTGGTACACCTGGGACTGGTGTTACTGGTATGGGGGAGGTTGTGATTGGGATTCCACTATAAATGCCTCAAAAGCATCTTGGATCTCAGTATCAAAGTCTTGATCAAATTCACTTCTGCAAACATAAATAATATATCAGTTATGGAAAACAGTGATTGCCATTTCTTACTAAACAGTACTACTACTGTACTTTTAAACTATAAACATATCTACAAATATAACATAATTCACCTTTTAGAATCGAATGTATTAGTTGATGACTTTGAGCGTAAAGAACTTTGTGATATTCAGAGTTATATCTTAAAGATTGTTTCTAAGTGTTAATCAAAATATCTCAACATTCCCCTTTTTGACAGGGTGTAAACATATTGTCAACAGGGTGCTGGGTATACAACTGGGTTTCAATGGTAATCATGTTCAACTTACGACTGGATATATTGGCCAGCAGTGGCAGCATACTGTTCATCATCTGGATTCGACCAAGTACCTATCTGGAAAGATCCATCTGGATTTACAGCAAAGTCTGAAGAGGTGATGGATGCGCTATCATCTGGTACGGTGTAGTCATTGGTTTCATCGTGATAGCCTGCCTCTTCTCTTGTGATCACCTGACCAGTTGCGTTATAGAAGATAGGCTCAAGCTGAAATTATTAAACAGGGATATCATTAATATCATAATAGTCATTTATTTCAGTTTACTTTCTTGATCCACTGTCAAATTCAAATTTATCAAAGAGTGATGTAGAGAGGAAAACCACAAGGAAGAAGGAATACACAAAAATACCATGTTCTTTCGAAAACTGAGAACTACATTCAACATGATTCATATGTGCAATCCAGATTCCTTCTCTTCAATGTTTAAAAAAATAAAAAATTCCATAAAATTTCCAGAGAAGAAATAAAAAATTGTACATCCCCTCACTTACTTGATTAAAAGTATTAAAATAATTGTTATAATTACAAGTCATTCATTGACAAGTGAACATGTGTGAAATATGTCTTGAATATGGAATGCATTTCTATGTGAAAAATATGAGTGAAAAAATATGTTTAGAATATGTGTGAAATATTAGTGGAATATGCATGAAATATGAGTGTACTAGTTGTGATATATGTGCTAAATATGAAATATATGTTGAGTATATGTGAATTATGTGGGATAATATGACTATCGTATACAAAATGTTACTCGAAATATGGTGAAATATGAATACTGTATAAGAATATGAATGTAATATGACAATCGTAGAATATGAGTGAAATATGGCTTTGGGAAATATGAGTGCGATATGACTGAGCTAAATATGAGTGAAATATGTCTGTGGGAAATGTGAGTGAAACATGTGTGGAACCTGTTTCTTACGGTTAGATTTTCATTGAAGCTGAACTGTCCCATCTGAGATTCAAGTTTTGGTGATGGTGCTGACTCTATCCTCCCCCAGTTGCTAGCTCTTAACTCTATCAAGTCCAGCAACATTTGTTTTACAGTCCTGTAAAATGTATACATTTTATACAAGGTTATAACACAAGGTATACCAGTGAAGAAGCAGAGTATGATATCATATATATGCTATATAATATTGTATATAAGACTGGATTATCCAATATCAGATTGTTTCTCGTGGCATCATTTTATTGCCTCATCTTATATTACAAGAAGTGATCTGATATTCTGAATTTATTATACATGTGTTATGTTGGGTAGAACGCATGAAATAAATAATGTTAACGAACTGACTTGCTTATATTCTGAACATCTAAAGTTTGTTGCTTTATCCTTTGTATGATATTGTCCATATGTGGGGCTGAACCATTGCTTTTCTCTTTTTCTGAATCTTCCAGGGCAGCTCCAGCAAACTGAAAAATCAAAAATCTTTCAATTCAATAACACAAAGAATAGATAACACAAAACGTCTGAAGCAATAATTCAATAGATATTATTCTTGAGTCATTAAAATAGCCAAATTAACCTGCTTCGAGTTATTGAATGGATCTAATGACATTAAAACTAATTCTTCGTTATAGCTTCAAAGAAAAATCATACATCAGCGAACAATTGAAATAGAAAAGTTGTGAAACTGAATAACATTCAATTCAAGATTCCAGATTTGGTGAATGTTCGACTTCTAAAAAGAAAGTCAAAAGGAAGGAAGTTCTCAATTTTGATCTCCGAGAGAATCAACATCAAATCAATTTTTTTTAAATTAAATTACTCACCTTGAGTAACCTAATGGCAAATTTATAGTTGTTATCTGATGGATGGTCCAGTAATGTAAGTGTTAGATCTCTACAAGCTGTGCCTAACAGGTGAATTCTCTCATTATTTACCTGCAAAAACAAGGCATAGTGTATAACATAATACATAACTTGATAACAGCAATGCCAAGGCATAGTAAATCCCAACAAACAGTCATGTAAAGGACTGTTATTTTTTCATATTACCCTGATTTTAAAGTTATACAAATGAAAAAAATCCCAATAAAAAGAAAATATTATCTGTCCAATGCAAGAAAAAGAGGAATCTTATCATATTTCTAATTCTAACAAGCGTCCAAGAAATTTGACAGAAAAATGATTCTGTAAATCAGAAAATTAACTGTACTGATTTGTTTTCATTTTACAGTTGACTTACTGTCATATTCATAAAAAGTTCTCCCATAAAAATCGTGAACCCATGTAGTCGATTACAATCACTGAGGCTAGATGCTAGCTCATTCCTTTTTGTATGCTCTCTTTGACACCTAAAACAGAATTTTACTATGTATTTGTCAAGTTTTCAATAACTCAGACTGCCTTTATGGATAACAGCCCTGTATCCAGGGGATCGGAGGTGAGGTTCTATGGGGTGCAAGCAAACCCTTCCCCCCAAAAATCATTCAGTTCTTCACCATTCTGAGCACGTTTCAAGTGATTGTGGGCCAAAGTGGTCAATTGTGAACCCCCTGGAATTTTTTGAAAACTGAACCCCTCTTGAAGGGTTGTGATAGAATGGAAGGAGTAATTGTTGATTTCTTTACTGAAAATGTTGATAATCAAGTGAAATCAAAAAGAAATCAAAAATTGTCCACAACTGACAATAAACAAAACAATTATCTGAAACTAAATAGATGATGTGAAAATGTATAAATATTCAACCAATAAATAACATTGAATCGTCATAATATTATATATGATAGAGCTTTAGGCATTTGAAGTTGTAATAGACTGCTAGACTCAATAACACATAGTATAAGTTATTGAATGATTTGAAGTGCAATACAGAATATATTCTGTTCGCGAAATTTATCAAGACAGAATATATCCTGTATTGCACTTCAAATCATTCAATAACGTTTTTATTGTGTGCTCCTCTGTATTGCGACTGAGATTGTCCCCTTTGTACCAATATTTTCTGTATTGCAACGGAGATGATCAACAGGGACAATCTCAGTAGCAATACAGATTGGTACAGCACAAGAACTGACCAATCAGAGAGCTTCATTTTACAGATCATACGATGAATTAAATTGCAATTATTGAAGTGTTCAGGAAAGCATAACTTATTGCTAAATTATTTGTGAGGATTTGGTGCGAAAAAAAATCCAGAAATGACAGCATTTTTGCACATTATTTGAATACATCTCTACACAAGCTTACCTTTTTAAAAGAAGCTGTCTAAATGTTGCTAATTTTATATGCACAACTGGGAGAAGGTGTTGACTAAAATATGCACAGATCTTGGCGCCTGTATATGTGCTCTGTAGATCTGTTATGGACTGGAAATGTAATAAATAGAGGTTATTCACTGAGAGGGATTGAATATGGGGTTTATATTGAGGAATAAATACAATCCTAAGGGCCAAGAAGTATTTTACCATATCATATATGGGATAAACACTAGAAAATGGCAACATCATCTCGTAGATATTCCCAACTAATTATACGAGTATAGCATTTCTAGAACAGGCTTTAATCTGCTGGTCATGCTTTTATTCTGTTGGTATTGTTCTCAACAAGGTATGAGATATTCATGTGAAATATTTAAATATTGATTCTATATAGTGATCTTCCAAACTCAATACATTTGATTAAACAGTACATTAAAGCTATGCTTGGAAGAGATGTCAAAATTAATGGAAATTCCATTTTTGATCTTGAGAGGGATAAATAAAAAATAAAACAATATCTGCAAATGACTTTTAAATACTAGAATACAGTGTGTCTCAAAAAAAATGTTACACTTACAAAAAGTTCAATATCTTTCATGATTTTGACTTTTCCCCTAAAATATACTTAGATACCATAAGACCAGTCTTTCTCGAATAAATTCACACCATCAGATTCAAAATCCGTCCAAGATTGGCTGCACAGGACAGATTTTATAGACGCATGTGAAATCTGATTTGCGCCAACTTCTCAGTGGCTGGACATGTGGTGATCAATTCTTTTTTGGTGTGAATGCTGTGGACAGTGATATCTTGATATGATCAATGATCCAGTTGTTTCTTTCCTGGATAGAAATACAAGATTTCATTGTCAGAGTGTTCAATTTTGTTATGATCGCAACAGGATGGTGCAAAGGCCTGTGGCAGATCGTTTGGTAGAACTCTTTGGAAATTAGAAGATAGCATTGAATTACCCAATGGATTGGCCCCCAGGGTCATCCCACTTTACACCCTTGAGTTTTTTAAGGGCCTCTGAATGCAGTTTACATCATTACAAACTGACCTAAATGAACTTCTGCAAAAACAATTGATAGAATCAGAGTGATATTACAATTCATGCACGCATGGGCAAGGGTACCTCAAGTTTAATTAGGAGAACATGTTGAGGGGACCACATGTTTATGTCTTATACCCAATGATCATATGTAAGACAAATAGGAAAATTACATAATGACTCAGTTTAAGGTCAAGCTTCTACTCAGAAGAAAGTTAAATATTAAAGAAACTGTTCCTCTTTTGTCATTTGGTCAATCTAATCACTTAGAAGTTGGCGCAAGTCAGATTTTACCATGGGACACTAAAAGCTGTCATGTGGAGCCAATCAATGACAGATTTTGAATTTGATGGTGTCAAATTATTCAAGAAAGATTTTTCTTTTGGTATCCAAAGTATATTTTAGGGAAAAGTCAAAATTATGAAAGATATTGAACTTTTTGTGAGTGTAACATTTTTTTTGAGACACTCTGTAGTACATTTCCTTTGAATATAATAATGCTATACTTCAGAGACACCTCAAAATTAACAGAAATACACTTTTCTTGATGTCTGACATACTTTCCCCCTTGGCCCTATCAAACTTTTTCATGTGGATCATTTGAGTAATTTCAAGATGCAAGTATCCCCATACATTGCATAGAATTTTCAAGAATTCAAAGAAGGCTCACAGTCAGAGCATCATTATGTTCAGGGACACAGCACACATAGGTGAGGCACTAGGCGAGGCAAAACTGAGAGAAAGATAGATTTCTTACACATGTACTCGACTCGTAAACAAGCTACACCCATCTTGGTAAATTCAGGGTATAAAGTAACATGGCAATATACCTAATAAAAGTTGACAGATTGGTACTTATAAATGTAGTACATTTAATTAAGTTTCACATACCTTGTTAAAAATGATATCAACTATTTTTTCTAAAGTTTCTTCGCTATCGATTATTTGACAAATGTCTCTATTAAGGGATTGTACTGTTATATCAAAGCTGCCTGGGTGTCGAGTAAGGTCGTTCAATGTTGTTGTTACTCTCTCAATGGGGTCTATTGGTGGGGCTGTGGACCATGTATTGTATGTTTCCACAGGCTCTACAATATGAGGATCCCATCCGCTTGGCTGAAATAATCAGATATACTGTACAGTGCAAAAATAGAAGATGATACTTGTATTTTTTAAATTCCTCCATTAACTATGATCAAACTATACCTAATAAATCCAAAAGGAATTTGATGGAAAATACATCACAATTCTAGAAAAGATACCATATTCATAGAAAAGTTCTCATTTTCCAAAAATGTAAAATGCCAAACAAAAAGTTCGATTAGCAGTCCCAAAATGTATTGCCTCAGTGACTTTTCAAAACTCTAGAACCATTTACATCTAGCTCCAGCTTTATACTTCCACTTGTTGGGTCCCAATCTAGTCAATGTGTCATACATGTACCTAACTGAAAACCTGGATCCGCCTCTGTGTTATACCTGATATTGGGGCTGTATCCAACTTCTAGGTACAAACTCTGCAGCTTCTGCATTCAGGGTGGTTTTGGGGAAATTATTCTGTGTTGTGATCGTTGTAACTGAGGGGCTAGCAGTGTCTGTTGGTCGTGTTACGTTTACACCTGACACATCAGCACCTGAAAAGAACAATCGTAATTACGAAGGCTGCTCTTTTACCAAACTCTTATCTATGACCTAGAGTTATGAGTAATAGTTCTAAAAAATGTACAATCTAATTCCCCAGTATGCTTTGAAGTACAAAAGAGTGTGATATGCATAGACCAGGCCCGTAGCCAGGATTTGCCAAGGGGGGGTTCACATTAGACAATTTTGGCCCAAATATGGCTAAAATCACTTGAGAAATGCTCAAAATGGTGAAAAACTGCATGATTTTGACAGTTCGTTTGTATGGACCCACAGTCGGTTACAGTTGATATGGGGCAAGCCCAAATCATGATCTCTAGGCTACTTTTTTTCAGAAGAAATGTATACTAATGATTTGAGCTTGCCACACTGCATACCAGGCCCATAGCCTGAGGATTTACCGGGCGGAGATGTTTTACCAAGGGTGGAGCTATTGCCAAAGGGGTTATATGCGAAAAGTGCTCAGAATGGTGAAAAACTGGATGATTTAGAAAGAATTTCTGGACAGGGAGGGGGGAGCGGCGGAGGGGGAGTGGCGGAGGGGGAGCGGCTGCCGCTCCCTCTTCTGCTTCTCCCCCACCTGGCTACAGGCCTCATACTGACGTATGGACGTGCAAACTAACAACTCTGACAAAGGCTAATAGACCCAGGAACATCTTTACAAATTAAAAGTCAAGGTTAGTCTGATCAGTGGCTCGGAGTCCCAATCAGAATCCACACTCCACAGTAGATTTTTTCTCGTGGGACACAAACTGCCTTTTTTATACATGTTGCTTGGCCATTCAAAACATTGTCAATTACACTTTTGAAAGATTGTACCTGGCTCCTGGATCAATCTTAAAAATGTTTCTTCAGTTGGCTTGCGAAGTCGTTTTGTTTTCGCGGGTTTCCCTCGCCCTCTACCTTTCCCAACTTCCGGTGAATCTCCCGACATTGTGTAGGATGTTAGTGTGTTAGATTGTAGCGATTGATAGCACTAACTATCAATTATTCATTAAGTGTTTACATTAATTTACAACAATTGGTGTAAACACTTCTAAATATGCTTCAAAATATAACAAATTCTGGTTATTTTTGTTTTGTAGAAATCGAAATCGAGGCTAAATAATTTAGCCCTGATATTTAGTCCTATTTCATTAAATATTTAGGTGCAAAATAATTACTTTTGGTTTAATTTTGTGTTGAAAAATTAATGTGATGTAATTGAGTGAGTTCTATTGATCAGATCAATAGCATTTCAACCGATTCTTCCATTCAAGTTTTATTCACTTCCAAGATGGCAAAACGGAAACATGCTGATGTTCAAAATAGCACTTCTAAAAAGAAAACCAAGGAAGATATTATACTCCCTGCCTCAAGATCGTCCGACGAACCTGTAGAAAAGAAGGTACTCTAGCAATGTACTTGCAGTGATACTTTGGTTTTACAAAAGTTTGCATTCTTTTTTAATTTTAAAATTTTTCAACTTTGAAAGTGGGCGATAATGGAGTCATTATCAAAATTTTCTGTATGTAAAATCTTCTGAAAATCTTTATGTATCATAATATATTCATCATCATCATCATCATCATCAGGTTTAGGAGAATTTGGAGGCTTCAGCCTGTAATGTTCTCCCATCTGTACTAATTTATTTAACTGAATAGGGATAGGGAAAGTGCTATTGCTCACTAGAGTCCATTTCACTGCTTCAGTTCGTCAGTAGAACGGCAAAAGTAAGAAATTGGGAGACCATTGTGCAATAATATATGGAAAATTATATTCATAATGTACATGAATGACATTTGTATATCTTGGATTGCTTCTAGTTTGGCTTATAAAGTGTGTGGCCTCTTATATTTGGATGTTTCTCTGCCATGTTATTTTCAATAAGATTAACATGGCTGAAATTCTTCAAATTACAAGACGGCACAGGCTTATTGCACAAAAAACTAAGAAATCTGAAATATACAAATGTCATACATGTACATTATGAATATACTTTTCCATATATTATTGCACAATAGTCTCCCAATTTCTTATTTTTGCCGTTCTACTGACGAACTGAAGCAGTGAAATGGACTCTAGTGACTATTGTATATATCTGAGTGCCACGTCCTGTCTTAGAGGGTCTTGAAGCGGGAAACTGAGGGGGCATCAATAACATCCTGGGGTAGAGAGTTCCAGTTGTCTACAATCCTGGTACTGAAGGCATTCTTTCTTAGTTCCAGTCTAGTCTGTGGATTTCTTATTTTGTGGGTATGTCCTCTTGTTGGTAATGTTGACTTTTTGAAGAACTGGTCTATTTTCAAATTGTAGATTCCATTCATTATCTTGTACACTTCTATCATATCTCCCCGGCGTTTCCTCCTATAACTCAGGGAATATAACTTGAGCCTCTGGAGCCTCTCATGATAGGGGAGATGTTTCAAAGTTGGAACCAATTTAGTTGCTCTCCTTTGGACGTCTTCCACTTTGTTAATGTCCATTTGGTATCTTGGGTGCCATACTGAATTTCCATATTCAAGATATATATTGAACAACATCTCAGAACACCAGTGTGTTACACATCCATGTTCATGCAAGCATATTCCATTCAAAAAGCTAAGTAACTTACCATGAATTACTCACGTCGAGAGCTACCATGTTAGATTTTGAAAGTATAGCTCTCCATCGTGAGGATCTCCAGCCTGAAGAATTGTGACATCTAAATTTGATCAGCGCCAGTCAGCGGCTTACTGTTTGTCTCAAACTGTAGCCTACATATGGGCTCATATTATGTGTCTACTTTCCCCGTGCATATAGGATCGCGGATGTGCTTCTATGGCGATCAGGAGTTCTAATCGTTTTTTGTTCGATACACATTTCCAATATGGCGGTTAAACGGAAATATTATCGACGCATGCGCAACTTGGGAAACGTCAAGCCGCCATATTGAATATACCTGGCCAAAACTTTTGACACGACCAATAAAATAAAGTCCTGATCGATACATAGGGCAGTGAGACGTTCTATAGTTGAGCTGAATGAAACATCTAAGTAGCTCTCGACGGGAGTAAACCATGAACTGTTCCATCAAAAAGATAATATGCAAGAAGCAATGGCTGTTCAGGAAATCCAAAAGCACCAACAAGAAAGAAGACTGAGCCCTCTACAAACAACTGGGAAATGATATTTCCAAAGCCCATGCCAGCTCACACCACACCTACAGAGCTTGTCTGGAAAGTAGAAGTTGCGCCCCTTCTCCAGATAACTTTTAGCAGATGGAGTTGTTCCCAAAGACTGGACTCTGGCTAATGTCACAGCCATCTTCAAGAAAGGTGATCCAACAAGTACCGCCAACTACAGACTGGTAACAGTTACTGGTCCATGTATCTCTAACATCTATACCCTTCCACCAAATTACATGTAATTAAGGTTCAGCTGGAAAGTAACATTTTGGTAAAAAATTGCTATACCTGCACATGTTATTTTCTGGTACAAAATTAAGTATGAAGGCATGTGTGTATTTCCTTGCTTTTTCAGGAAAGTATCATTACATTGTCTACTTTTAGTAAACCTGGAAAACCAGGTCAATGGTAGCTCCTGTGTTGTTTGGAAACTTTGAAAGAAAATTTAGAAAAATAGAAAGTGTGAAATATCAGAATTTCCTTGAGTTCCCATTGAAGTATTACCAGACCAAGACCTGAATCACAGAATGGCTGACTAACAGAATGCAGAAAGTAGTTGTAAATGGAGAAACATTAAAACCAGCCAAGGTAGCATCTAGCTGCAGGCACTGTGCTTGGTCCTTAGATGTTTCTGCTCTATATCAATGACACTGGGGATGGCATCACTGTTTACTCTACCAGACCATCGGGTCACCAAACTAAGATAGTGGGCTGAGCGGTGGCAGATGGACTTCAATGGCAAAGACCTGGCGCATACATCATGAAAGGCCAAGTACTCCAGGATGTACCCCATAACCCCTCCCTTGGTTTGAAACTTGAGACTGACATAAACTGTAGAACTAGAGGCAATACTGCCAATTTAGATTTTTCTGATTTGGTTTTTATGCATGTTCAAAAATGAATCTGCTTTATTCCTTCTTCTTCTTCTTTTTCCTCTTACACAATGTTCTTGTGATGAGCACTATTGTGCTGCCATCGGTTACTTGCTACAGTTTTGACAATTTTGACAACACATGTACCTTTCTAGGAAAGAGAGAGAGATGTATGTATATTAAATGTACATATATTTACAGTTTCATTAAATAGTCACTATCCTTTATTTATGATTCCTTTGTCTTGAACCATTTGGTTTCATCAATAAATCTCTGGAAACTTTCAAGGATTTTTAGGTCCGTGTTCAATTGGACTGTTCATGGCTACGAGAAAGTATAACATTATCGACTGTCTATCCTTTGCTCCTAATGAAAGATAGACAGTTCATCCCTTGGTAGAGTGAATGGTACACATTCAAGCAGTGTATACAAGTGTATTTCAAATAAAGTGAACCAAATAAGTGAACTTGGCACAGATTGCCATTTATGGAGTTAAAAAAACAACAAAAAAAAAATATTAGTTGTTTCAGAAAGTTACGCGTTTTCTTTCAGTCAAGATGGATCAACAAAGAGCGGGTGTTAATCTTCAGCTCAAGGGGAGTGTCATACCAGGCAAGACACCTCATGAATGATCTGAAGAACCTCATGCCACATTCTAAAGGAGGTGAGTAACCAAAATGCCCAATTCCAAGGGAGGGGATTGATCATATTGCCCCATTCCAAAGGATGTCTATCACTTAACCAAATGAGGTGAGTAACCATTATCCCAAATTCCAAAGGAGGCAAGTAAACATTATGTGTCATTTCAAAGGATGTTGGTAAAGATAATGCCCTTATAGTAGGCAAGTAACCCTAATGCCCCATTCCAAATGAGGTGAGTAACCATAAAGTCACATCAAAGCATGCAAATGATCCTATCATAATGCTCCATTCCAAAGTAGGCAAGTAACCCTAATGCCCCATTCCAAAGGAGGCTAGTAATCATGATGTCACTAATACCAAAGCAGGTCAAAATACTAGTACCTCATTCCATGAAGGCAAGTAACTCAAATGCACCATTTCATACTCCATATCAGATGAGTAACCATAATGCCCCATTTCAAAGGAGGTATACAACCATTATGCCACATTCCAAAGGGGGTGAGTAGCCATACTGCCAAATTAAAGAGCATTATTCCACATTCTTAATGAGAAGTTTATTTTCTTTAAATGATTTATAAAATGCTCTCGAAAAATAGAATGAAACTTATGTGAGAAATCTTTTTCAGATACCAAGATGGATAGAAAAGACAAGTTGTTTGTAATAAATGAGGCAAGTTATTATTTTTTTAATTTCGTGATATCACATTTACATAAAAGTTACATCTCATATTTTGTTATTAAAACTGTTTATCAGCTAAACCAAAAATATTCAAATATCTTGTATTGAAATGAACAGATATTATATTTTTGTCATATATCACACATTTTAAATGTTATGATTATCAAACTCAAAAAGACAATTCAAGTTCCATTTTTTCCATATTGTGTATAATTGGATCTTCAATCTTCCCAAAAGTAGCGTTTCAGAAACTTGTATTGTTTCAAAATGGTGACATTTTCACCTTGTGAGTACCCATGTTACTATTTATAAATGTTGTTTTCTTTTGTTTTAGATGTGTGAGATGAAAAACTGTAATAAATGCTTATTTTTTGAAATGAAGAAAAAACAAGATTTATATATGTGGTAAGTTGAACATTTTTTTTGTTCAGTTGTTACAATTTTTTAAGAAGGTATGAAAATATGATTGCATGAGATATGAATTATAATCTTGAATACCCTCTTCTAAATTTCATGATAGTTTTTTAATTTCATGATGTTTTTCTATCTTGTAGCTTTGTATAATAATAATTTTATGTTATTTGAAAATCATCTGAAAATGTTATCCTTATATACCTACTATACCTTTCACATTGAAATACTAAAAAATTTTAGGATAACTGGTGTTCCAAGTTGTTCTTTCAGTATTACAAAAACAATTTACATTTTACGATATCTGGTGTTCCGAGTTGTTCTTTCAGTATTAAAAAACTATTTTACATTTTAGGATATCTGGTGTTCCTAGGGGTCCATCTGGCAAGTTTTTGGTGGAGAATGTTCACACAATGGAAGAGCTGAAAATGACGGGAAACTGTTTAAAAAGTTCAAGACCTTTGCTGTCTTTTGATGAGGTAAATAGTCCATCACTTCAGAAAATATAGTCAAAATTAATACCGAAAAACATTTGCATGAGAACACATTTTGAACAATATTGAATAATGGTAAGGCGGGTTTGGAAATGCCCCATAGAAAGCTAATAATAAGGCTCATAATAAGGTAATGATGTGTGTCAAAATGGTAATGAAATTGACTTTGAAAATGTTGTCTCTGATATTGTGACTTAAGTTGTTTTTTAATTGTTATTTATACATAATTTTACAGAAGTTTGAAACGGAACCACAGTATGCCTTAATGAAGGAACTATTAATACAAGTAAGTTCTTCATCACATTAATGCAATTTGCTTTCTTTCATGAGATATTTGTGTTTGTTAAATGATAGCAGGATGATCTCACATCCATAACAATTTAATTTTTAGATGTTTTAAAACTTTCATTTGGTGTTGGTACATGTTCATGATATATGAACTGGTTTTCTTTTATCCAGATGGAAAGTTGATGGTGAATGAAATATAGCTTCTGCGGTTCTTTATGGGTTATACATGTCGTGAGAAAAAAGCTATCACTTTTGGACACATAGTGTTAATACCTTGCTATACAGTCCATCTGTACATTCGTCAATCTGTTTCTGTCTGGGTGACAGCAAAATATCAATTTCTTAAAATTTTGGTCTTTTGTAACTTAAAATACATTTTGTTTTGAGGTGTCGGAATTTTTGTTCATAATCTCCTACTTTATTTCTCCATTAGTTCTGAATCTTATATAATAATGTAATTGTACATGTGTTCCAGACATTCAGCACACCTAATCATCACCCCAAGAGTCAGCCATTCACAGATCATGTTTTCACATTCTCAATAATGGACAATAGAATTTGGTTCAGAAACTATCAGATTTTAGAGGAAGATGGATCATTAGCAGAAATAGGTAAGAAACAACCTTTCCAATACATCCAAACCATTTTAAAGCAAAGAAACTACAGGGTATAATGGCTACATTCACGTTGTCACCATTCACGATGTCACCCTTTGCAGGCTGCAACATTTGTAAAGAAAATTGAAAATTTCTGCTATGAAATTGTAAGGATTGACATCTTAACCAATAAATAAGATGATTTACTGGAACCATGGATTGGTCTATTGTTTGATATTTTCTGAGCTTGATTCCTAATGTTCGTATTGCTATATGTGATGTATGGAGTGTCTAAGGACTGGTGGCCCATAACTGGTTTATGCTTTTAAGTCTCTATATCACATTAAAGAAAGAGCATGGAGGCTCTTCAAGATGTTGTCTCTGGTGCTGTCTTTTAGTATTTTAACCTATAAAGTCAAAAATAGCGATGAGCTTTTACTCATTGAAAATGAGGGTAATCCAATTTGATATCTGTCGACTGTCGTGTACATATCTGATTCGATACAGATGTTATGAGATTATCATTCAATAATGTATGGTGTTTATATTTTTTAATGATTTCAGGTCCAAGATTTGTTCTGAATCCAATCAGGATCTTTGAGGGCAGCTTTGGTGGGCCCACCTTGTATCAGAATCCTCACTATGTCTCCCCTAATGAAGTAAGTTAAACAAATATTATACATTTGTACGAGTATCTTTTGTAGCCTATAGCACCATGTCACAAGTGGTGACATAAAGTACTGTTATTGGCTCCGACTTTTTGTGGCCAGGTGTCACCATTTGGCATCTGTAACAAATAGCACGTTGCGACATTTTGCATGTTTATGCCTTGTGTGGTTTTTATGCTTACACAATCTGAATGGTCTCAAATGGAACTTTTGTGAGAGTTTGGAATATCACTTGTGTAAGATGCACTGATACAAGTACTTACCCCATTAGAATCAAATGTCTTGTATGAATTTGTAATGCATTGAATTGCATTGATATCAATACATTTTTGCTGCTTGTTAACAATAGCATTATCATGGGGATAAATCTGTATACCATATGGGCCATTGGATAAATCTGTACACCATATGGGCCATTGGATAAATCTGTATACCATATGGGCAATTGGATAAATATGTACACCATATGGGCCATTGGATAAATCTGTATACCATATGGGCCATTGGATAAATCTGTACACCATATGGGCTATTGGATAAATCTGTACACCATATGGGCCATTGGATAAATCTGTACACCATATGGGCCATTGGATAAATCTGTACACCATATAGACCATTGGATAAATCTGTATACCATATTGGCCATTGGATAAATCTGTATACCATATGGGCCATCGGATAAATCTGTATACCATATAGGCCATTGGATAAATCTGTATACCATCTGGGCCATTGGATAAATATGTATACCATATGGGCCATTAGATAGATCTGTATACCATATTTGTTGTTCATTTTCAGTATCGACGAAGCTTAAAATCAAAGTCAGCTTACAAATACTTAGATCACAGACAAGCCAAGGATTCCCGAAAACAGCGCACTAGTAAGACTACCTACAATGCTGATAAAACTGAGGATGTTTTCAAAACTTCAACAGATTAGTTCTATGGACGGTCAAACCTGTATGTGAACAAACCTCAATGGGAATGTCTTCATATGGGTCCCATTTTAGATATCCCATTGACAGAACTTCTCGTTAACTGTGTGTACACATGACAATGTGAATACTGTTATAATTCAATCCAGAAGCATTCACACAATATAAATGTATATGAATCATGGTAGCAAGATGGAGAGGTTGTTTAAACTCAAAGATTTGGATTCATCTAAACTGTATTCATAGTATACTCAAATACTGAAACTTAAGTGAATATAAATAAAAAAGGATTTAAAAAAACGTTTATTATTATGTCTCCTGAAAATGACACACCGTATTAACTACCGTCTTCCCTTTCCAAATGTCATTTATAAAAATGATCTATTGAGTATTGTTGGGAATTTTTCATAATCTGTTTGATTTACTCAAAGCAATTAGATAGTTGAACAGTAAGAGTTGCCAGCAGCAAGGAGGATTGACTCCCAGAATTGACTCTCAATATTTTCCAACAATGAATCCAATCCTGAAGGATGTGGTGATTATTTCCTGGGATTAGAAATATTTGAAACAATATCTTCATCACTTCTTGGGTGTTCTGAAAGGATGAGTCTGGGAATGAGTCTGGGTATCGACTTAGAAAATATTGAAAATTGTAATGTCTGAAAAACCAACTCAATCACACATATTATTAAACTTCAATATCTTATCCTTCTTCTGAGATTACAAAAATACCAATTTGTATCACAATTGATGAAGAATATTGGCATCAAAGACAGTGCATATCACTTTGTCAGAATTGAAAGAAAATCAATGGCAAATATTAAATCAATTATTTATACAAAAAGTTTGAAATATATCCTCCAAAACATTGCTTACTTTCTTTGTATAGACATTGAATGGTATTTCTGCATAAGTGAATTGGTGTTTATCTGGGTAATCAAGGGATTATAGTCACTCAAAGTTACTGAGCATCCAGTTTTGAGACTTCAATTGTGTTGGTGAAGTTACACATATTTCAGTCAAATTCATGCTGAGCACAACATTTTGGTTTCAATTTTATAATCTCTATACATGACCCTGGTGATGAAGAGTCAGAATCAGTCAAAAAACCTAAACCGGAAAACTGTGCTCATTGTGAAAACTAAAAGTGAAACAACTTTTTTTCTGATATTTCTTACATCAAATGGCAGCCATCTTGTTTTTCCCCCTTGAAATTAAACTAGCGGGAAATTCAAAAGTTTGAAAAAAATTGTAATCCTTAAATATATTTCAAAAATATGATTTTATTTTTAATTCTTCAATGGGTCTTAAGTTATTTCTTCTTTGTATGTCATACATGTTGCCATTGGTGTTTTTTTCTATGATGATGACTATTTTGTTTTTGTTAAGATACTTATTCTGACTCTCAGCAGGGGGTTAATTATGCATCAAATCTTGTGAAAAAGTAAGTATACTTATCAAATATAACTAGGACAGTAATAAAAACCATATTTCACATACATTTGACTGAGGGACCAAAAGGGCATATACCCGGACACATCCTTTTTGCTCCGAAATAAGACCTAAACTCGCGATTCAAATTCTGAGGTGAGAAGGGAAAATGGTGGCTGTTTGATTTCAAATTTTGTAATCATGACAGTAGTAATGTACCTAGAATCCATTAGGTAATGAATACATCTAGTATGTGCGGTCGGTTTTGGATACAGGGTTTATCCCTCGGTTAATATGTGTATCTCCCTTAGTCCCTGTTGTCCCCCAGGATATCTTAGGATAAACCCTGTATCCATAACCCCCAGTACACAACCCTTATGTGTGCTGAAACTCTGAATATAATCTGAACAACGTGAATGGATCATCATATATTTGCTGCACACATATATAAAGAACGCACACTGGTCCCAAAACGTCTTTATAACTTAATGAATGAACTTCCTTCAGAGGAAAATTATTTTCATCATTTCTACCAAGAGGTAGGTCAACATCAGTATCCAAACATTTTACTCGCTTGTTAATAATGACATTTGGTTTCTAAAATTCGAATCAGTCAGTACATACACGGGCTCAGTGGCTAGTGAACCCCTGTGTAAATAGTACGAGTATACAATTTAATATTTTATCATTCATCTTATGCCTGGGTCACATTTGCTCTGATCCATCGGCCGGCGCCCGGCCGATTGAGTGTTTTGTTCAATATTGTATTCAATTTTGAAGAAAAAACTCAATCGGCCGGGCGCCGTAGTGAAAATCGGAGCAAATGTGACCAAGGCATTACTCGATCGTGCTTCAGAAAGTTCAAAATGGCTACTTAACGCAAAAATTCTCAATAATTATGGCTATGTAACACTGTACTATCATATAATAAAATTTTTAGATTCATGAATAATTTGGTCGTTGGGATTTGCTACTCTGTGTAGCTGCCATTTTCTAGTTTTGTTAAGTACGGCGCCTTTGTTAATAACAATAACAATTACTGGATGGCACTTGATAATTTTGGTCCTTGGTGTTATAATAGTGAAAGGTGTTCCAAAATCGATGCAGCTCTATGCATGGTACTGAATACTAAATATAATGTGACACGAACCCTTTCTTTCTCTAGATAAGAGATTAATATATATAATAGAACAGTAGTCCTAGATATAACAATAAGTCATATGTTAGCGCAAGTTGATAAATGTTTACAACAGTCAGATAAATAAACAAAAGATGATAAGAGATTTATTCATAGTCTTTGGTATCATATTGACAAATACAGGAATAGAGCTGTATACACACGCAATATTCGTTGATACATTGTCACGAGCTATGCATAGAAATTAAATAGATATCATACAATCAGATAGTATATTTGTAATAAATATTAGGGGATACTGTCAAAGATGTAATCTCTCCCACTCCGTTTGGTTAACGAAAACTCACCTTTTACGGATATAGTTTTAAATATCACACGAAACTTATGTTTCTTCATTTATTTTATCAACACTATCGTGTTTTACTTTATTCTATTATCAGATAATCGTAATACATTGTCTTATCGAAGTCATGACACATCCCCTATTAGACAATAGGTGACACCTTTGATTATATTTAATTTTCGAGAGGCCACTACGTGCAAATCCACCACTAAAGGGATGTTTATAATGCTCAGGATACCATAATAATTTAATTACGGAGCAGTTTCACTTCTTAGATGATTTTTAGGCTCTTGCGCTATTGATTCACTCGTCATCATATTTGCCTGTTAGTTTCCATGGCAATATAGAAATTTGAGATCAGCAGAGTTTTGATTGGATGTCAAATTTAGATGTTAATATAGTAAGCCTGCGCTAGTTGACCAACTCCTGACTTTCCATTAATTCTTACCACAATTAGCGCTAGGAGTTCTAAGAGAAGTTCGGGATCTTCCGAGGAGGAAATCAGGAACAACTACCATGTCGTTTGATCTCGGATTGATGCTGCATACTCGCGAACGCAAACGCGCTTTCCAAGCGGGGCATGTTGGAAAACTTGGTCGAGTCGCATCCTTGGAGGAGGAAGACAAAAGTCTGAATCAGTATGTACACCGAAAGGAATTTTCAGATCCAAACGTGAGAGCGCAAAAGAATGATTCCGAACATGACAACAAAGACGACGATAATATGGTTGCCCAGGGATCTAGTAAAGTGTCGTCTCCAGACTGGACACGCTTTGAATCGGCATATGCACGAGGTATAGTACCCAAAACATATTTACTCAATAATGGTACCTAAACATGTCATTTAAAAACATTTGTTCTAGCCTCTTTGGCTAATGTGTAGATTACGATCCAGATACTTTGATAATTTCGTCAATCTGATCACCTGATGTACAAGAGAACAAGTGTTGCGTACCACGTTTCTTGTAGTTTCACAACTCAACTCGTCAAGACGTGATACCTAAAACAGCTAAAAAGTAATGGAATATGCAAGTTCCGTTCAATCACTTTAGAACAATCATAGGATATCCTATGATTTTGAGGAATATCATTTTTATCTTTGACGAGGTGATATTGATATCTGCACGAGAAAGCAAAGCGAACGAGTGCATACATCAATATCACAGAGTAGATTAAAATAATATTCTGAAAAAAAAACACGGGATGTTCTTATTATCTTATACTTACAAGGAGTGCACTAAATGTATATTTATCATTGCAAAATGCCAATTTCATGCCAAACAGAGTCAATTTGGCGGGAAATCAACAAGCGAAGTACATCGTCACAATATCCTCCGCATATTGAGGTTTCCGGAGAATATCGTCACGATATCCTCCGCATATTGGTTTTCCGGAGTATATCGTTGCGATATCCCTCCTGTTATTCATTTTGCCAATAGATATCAAATTTATTTTTTAATGTTATTATACATTTAGCGCACTAAGTGTAGGATAATGGGCAATATTCTAGGACATAAATACCTGTTTAGAAACACCATGTTAACATTGAAATGTACTTGATTAAACAATCGGTTTTAGCTGAATCTTCAAAGTTACAAAGATCGATCGCTAAAAGGCCTTAAAAATCGCATATAAATAGATAATAATATTAACAGATCCTTTTTAGTGATACGATTCTTATCTTATATTTGATATCTCAGGTCGATACGACTGAAATAGCAGGAGAATATTTCTAATACAAGTATTGGCCTTATCCAGTGTTTATAATTGTTTTTATAACTTTTGAAAATAAGTCAACTGACCTACTTTCCCGAAAATATTTTGCCGCAAAATACCTATAAACGATTTTGGATTTTCCCATATAACACTAGTACACTATTCCATTGTAATTATTGGGTAAAGTCAATATTAGATAATCCTTCTTGATATCAATTTATGGACTCGTGGATATTTGATATTAAATGTTCGATAAAAAAATGATATCACTCAAAGTGATACTATATTCTGTCATCTACGGAATGGCCCAAAACAGGCCAAACCAAAATAGAAATATTTTACTTTTGACATTTTAGCAATCATTTCCATAGTAAAGTACAGAAAGTACTTTCAATGGATGTACCTATTCAGCCTATGTTATCCAATTTGTTACACTACGTTCCTTATTCCCTGTGCCATGAGCTAAAATCAAAATTGTGCCCCTTTTCCCAAAGTTTGAGGATATATACAATTGTATTTGTATACAATATTGTAATTTGCATGTCAACCATCGACTAATCTGTCTGCCCTTTCGCATCCTATTAATTTATTCTTTGAATTCAGATAGGGTTATATTGTTGGATATCATTATTGGAATACCTCATCAACGTGTACCATCTAAGGTTTTTGACAATGCTTCCAAATAGGTAAACAAAATGTTGTTGGCTGCCAGAAAATATAATTTCAATACCATTTGTCATGGTTTATCATAATGGTTTTCTTCGAGAATACATAATGCGGGCCTGGGAATGCGGCGTGTCACATTCATTGCAACACACCTTGCAACAATGTCTTATGAGGGTAATTTCTTATATTGAGAAGTTTATCATCTGTTGAAATTAAATACTTGTAGCTATAAAAAGCGAATTTGTTTGACCAGTCCTAATGTGTGAGGAGGCCTTTCAGGCAATTTTCGAAAGCGTAGTGAGAACAAGTTTGGTGTAGAGGGGAGGGGGATATCTCCCACCTCGGTCTCTCTCTAATGCCTAGGCCACATATGCACCGGGCGCGGGCCGATGAGTAGTCATCGGCCGATTTCTAAATTAGTTTCGACAAAAATTATGTAATTCTGCAATTTTAGTTACAAAACATGAAGGTACATTATGTAAAATTTTTAAGACAATTGGTGTATATTTAACAAAATACCAGCACCAGTCCTGTTACTTTTGGAACACCCTGGACCCTCTGGAGGTGTTAAAAAACTAAAATGAATCTGATATACACATAATCACAAGTGAATCATCTATTAATACATCACTCTCATTTTAATAATGACAATTCTAGATTTTGATTTATATCAAAAGTGTTCAATTCAACAGGCTAGGTGCATTTGGATTTGTGAAATGCAACCTGTGTAAGGGTAAGTTATCTTATAAAGGTAAATGACATTCTATATAAGCTGCCCTAGTCATTCCACAGTTCCAGGTGTTATTTTGTGGAGCCCATGTCTTGCCACATCACACGTGGAAATGAGTTTGACAAACCTTGGACATCTTTCTTTCAGTCCATGGACTCTAAAATAACAAGAATTTGCATTGTCGGGAGCGTAAAATTGGTTATTTTGAATGCCGCCTCTTGTATTTTTCATCTGCCTCTTGTACACAAAGTTACTGAAACCACTGTATTAGGCATTTGGTGATTTCTGGGCAGTTTAAATGAACAAATATATTTATTGTATTAATACAACCAAAATCTTTTTTTTGAGTACATGAGGTTAACCGCTCATTAGATAATTTTATCATTGCAATGTGCTATTTGATGATATCTGGGTACTCTAAAATTAAAGTGTCTAAAACAATAGATATAATAATTTCAATTGTTTTTAGGGGTGTGAGATGTGGCCCACCCCCTCTGAAAAAATTATCATTTTAAGAGGCTATTAATGTGATTTCTGGGTAATTTTAAAGAGTATGGGTTATTAAAAAAGAAATTGGGAAAATATTCAATTTTTGGAGGGGGGTGTGCTAGAGGGGAGTGCGGTACCGGTATTTTCACAATGAATAGTATTTTCTTTGTCTAATAATGTGTTCTTGAATTACTTGTTATTTAGTTTTCATTGGTAGTTTTTACAGTTTCTATAAAGTCATTTGGTTGGCCATCATTGACATATGACAAAATAAAAGTTTATTATTTTGCTGTTTTTGACGACATTGCATTGACGGGTATCCCAGGGATTTTACGAGTTCGCAATGACTATGATGAGATCCCTCAAGGATATGCTTTATCTTATTGTCATGAATTAAGTTACTGGCGACAATGAGAAGTTTACCTAAAGGAGTGGTATCGATATGGAGAACTTTTTGAACACACGTTTCTCTTAAACCAGTCATAAAAAATCTAAAAATTGTACACATCGTCAATTTAATGGTCATCTTTTGATATAATTTGAAAAATATATATATAGTTTATCTATATTGTTTTAGAAAACACATCAAACACTTGAAAGTGAAATGAAACATCTTTCCGAACCTCATTGGAACAAAACGACATAAACAGTACATGTTTAGGTTTCTCAATATTGTAATTGTACAAAGGAATTGGTTGATTTAAAAAAAGTATCTTGTTAATGAAATAAAAGGTTTATATTGATTTTTATCTATTTTGGGGGGATTTTGTTTTAATTTTTTGAATACTTTTTTAAAATCAACCAAAAATTCCTTTAAATAACTATAATATTGAGAGGTCTAAAAACATGTTGTATATGCTATTTTGTTCCATCAAGGTTCGGAAAGACATTTTATTTCATTCTCAAGAATTGGTAGAAAGGAGCAAAAACAATTGCACTAAAAAAACAAAAAATGTTAACAAAAACAGTTGTATAAAATATTTCTAAATAATTTTCGCATTAAATTGTTGTCAATCAGTCAACATTACATAAAATACCGTGTTTTTTACAGAATGTTTTCAATAATTGGTTTAAGAGAAAAACATTGTTGAATTCAGTTCTCCATATCGATACCAATCCTTTGCTAGAGTTAAAGTTTCGTCCCCATATATGAGAAAATGAAATCTGAGCATTAACAATCCACGACCAGCATTAAAGGAACCCAGTTTCTGGTTTTATCGTTTCATTTAAAATTCAAATATGACTGAATTGTATTGTTCCGACATAGCATCAATTCATGTGTAAAGATTTGGTTTTATTTTCCTATAACGACCCAAGAGATTAATAAAAAATCGAAATTCTTCGTCAAAAGTATTGATGCCCCTTAAACGTGATTTTGATTGACACCTGAGGTTCAAAATTGCTTGATTTTTGACCTTAGTACACTCAATGTCTCAGTGGGAATGGAGTTGCATCTAGCAATTTTAAATTAGCCGCGAAACTTTTGACCAAATATGTTTGCGCTCTCATTTTCAATAGGTTATCACCCCAATTCAAATGGTATAGCTGAGGGCAAGAATACTGCATATTAAACCTTAATTGTATGCCAATTTTGTTTTGTTTTTCAAATATTTCTAAAGGATAAAAGTAAACATCAAATGTGTTTCCTGAGCAAAAGATATTAAACGCATCTGTTCTAGTTGATACAAACCTGATGCGTCTCGTATATTTTCTTATCTGAATTAGAGCATTTAGCCTCATCATTCACTGTCAAAGTTCTATGTTTTCTCTCTTGCAGGCTCGATATCTCACAGTTCAAATGAGATGACTATTAAATCACAACTAATTTTCGATCTACTTTGACGTTTACATGCCGAGTTGATGTTCAGCATATGGCCATATATCTTTCTTGGATGTGGGCTTTATTTAGAGACATCTACTTAATCCCTAATAAAGCTCGAATATTATCTGCACAAGTTCCGTGAACTCGGCTGAATCATGACTTAGAACGCTCCTCTCATAAATGAAATATTGAAAAAGCCACCTTCAGTCTACTTGGTAGTTTTAAATCCCAGATTCCCGCAAATTGTTCGGAAGCAATTGTACGTATTATCAAGTATCATTATTCTCGCGCACCCCCCCCCCCCTCCCCCCTCCACACACACACATACAACGATAACCTTTACATTCTATGGACTGTTCTTTCCAGAGTTGTTCCCAGCAGGAGGTGGAGGTCATAAAACTCAGGAATTTCTTTTAGAGGTGACCAACATACTCATAGATTATGTCCACAAGAATAATGATCGTTCAAAAAAGATTCTTGATTTCCACCACCCCCACCAACTACGCGAGATGATGGATCATTGTCTCGATCTCCACGAGGATCCACGAGATCTCGAACAAATTCTGAGTGACTGTAAAGAGACATTAAAATATTGTGTCAAAACAGGTAAATACAACAATTTCTTTTCGAAAATCTTGAGAATTGATAAAACAATTTTACTCCTCTGAAATTTTGAAAAAACTTAAAGATCAACGTTTTAAACGTTGATACTAACAGACTAAATCTGAGTTTCTTAATACTTAAAAAAACCACATTGTCACGAAGCACCCCTGATCTGAAAATAAATACAGCTCGACAAACGGTAACGCCAAGACCTAGATACATGTAACTCCATCGAATATTTCGTTCTTGCATAACAAGAGGTCTTGGGATAGGAAGATGGGACATGGAATGGAACATGGAACATCTTCAAATGTGGCTGTTCAAAATAATATTTTCGATAATACTAATCTGTGTTTGTATCATATAGTATGATTTTATTGCCTTGTTTTATGATATTAGTTATATTATGATATTAGTGGTTGGTTGTTAGCAAGAACATTTAACTGTGAGACAAAATTATAAAAAAAATCAAAGGAACATAATTTCCTCATAGTATTTAGATGGTTATTTGTAAACAAATTAGATTAAATTAATCAAAAATTTAATAAAGTCAATTTAATTCCCCAGGTTTGATGATAACTAAAGCCCGGTATACACCAATGGGGCAAAATCCCACTTGCCCCATCGAGTCCCATCTTGCCCCATCGAATCGCAATTTGCCCCATCGAATCCCACGAAGTCCCATGGGACCTTGATGACTTTGCCCCATCAATCCCCATGGAGTCCCATCAAATCCCACCGTGCCCCATTGGTGTACATGTATGTCGGGCTTCACACAACACGTCATATGAGCGAAAATCCCACGATGCCCCATGGAAAGAATGAACATGTTCATTCTCGATGGGACTCCATGGGACTCCGTGGGATTTTGCCCCATCTTGCCCCATCGAGTCCCACCGAGTCCCACGTGGGACTTCATGGGACCTCATGGGACCTCGTGGGACTCGATGGGGCAAGATGGGGTTTAATCCCACGAGGTCCCATGGAGTCCCACGGACTTCATGGGGCAAAATCCCAAAAGGTCCCACGAGGTCCCACGCAATGTTAAGTCTTTGGAGGCCCCAACTTGCCCCATTGGTGTATACCGGGCTTAATATGATCACGTTTAATAAGTTTATACTCGGGAAAGGTTCTTTAAAAAACAGAATGTTTTCTGATTGTAAAAGTATTGCTATGATGGTGATGTTAGGAAGAGAGAAGTCCGATATAGTTTTGAAATATCAGACCCTTCTCGATTTCCAATCAGAATATTTTCTGATTGTAAAAGAATTGCTATGATTGTGATGTTCAGAAGAGAGAAATCCGATATAGTTTTGAAATATCAGACCCTTCTCGATTTCCAAAAGAATTGCTATGATGGTGATGTTCAGAAGAGAGAAATCCGATATAGTTTTGAAATATCAGACCCTTCTCGATTTCCAATCAGAATATTTTCTGATTGTAAAAGAATTGCTATGATGGTGATGTTCAGAAGAGAGAAATCCGATATAGTTTTGAAATATCAGACCCTTCTCGATTTCCAATCAGAATATTTTCTGATTGTAAAAGTATTGCTATGATGGTGATGTTCAGAAGAGAGAAATTCGATATAGTTTTGAAATATCAGACCCTTCTCGATTTCCAATCAGAATATTTTCTGATTGCAAAAGTATTGCTATGATGGTGATGTTCAGAAGAGAGAAATCCGATATATTTTGAAATATCAGACCCTTCTCAAATTCCTCTCTATTTCTGTGTAACAAGAGAAGTCAGTATCATCCTCTTGTATACATGTATAAATCATTATGATAAAGACTCAGTCTCCACCTTTCTTGGAAATACGGAAAAGAATTATATATAAAAATGCGGAAGTTTCTATAATTCTAACCACAAATCACCGCAACATAAAATGACAAATTCAAGGTTTGGTAGCCCAGATGTTATTGACGCACGATAATCAATTACCCATTATACTAAATGTTGCGAAATGTAACACTCGAATTAATTCAACTTAATTGTTTGCAAATTTAATCTGTAATATGTTGACCGTTTTGGCGATGGACAAGAAATAATTGATTAGACCTCCAACTCTTTTCTTTGCCTCAGAAGTTTAAACTATTTACCAAGCTTCCATCAAGAACACATGACAGCTTCCCAGTAAAAATCGAAACTATCGGGCAGTACTTGAATGATGACAACTTTCCAGGAATAGTCGGTAGAAGAGCTTACATTACTTTTGGTTATGACTTAGATTTTAGAACATGGCGATCAGCAATGGCGTAAAAAGGGCACAGGTCAATAAAAATGACATTAATATGTAAGAAACTGTAATATTCTCGAGCTTCTCTTGCCAGCTGTTACCAATTGTGTAAATCACAGGGAGCTCAGTGGAAAATTAGACAATAATGTCTCGTTAACACTGTGCCAGAATAACTGAGATGGATATTTAAATCAATTTAGATTTCCTTGTGGGCGGAAAATTTCCAGCGTTTTTTAATCCATATAACAAAATATCTGATTAATATATCAATGTGCCTACTGATTTGGTACAACTGATTTACATGTACAGGTGTATTGCGTTGTGATTTTCAATAACATCTATGGAGGTACTGTGAGGCACGGGCAGGCGAGGCTAGTGCCTCACCATAATTTCAACTAAAACTGGAAATGAATCCCAAAGGTAGTAATATACATTCGTTGACCTTTAGCCTTTTGCGCTTTTTGTTTAGTTATAATTATGATATCAGTCATATCAACAATGATTTCAAACCATGATTTCAAACAGTACGCCCTTTTTTATCTATCAGTATCTTAACCATGGACGACATTTATAAAAGAAAGCGCGTGCGAAAGATTTCAGTGAAACTGCATTCGATCCTTTCCATATAGTTTGAGAAGAAGCATAATTCATAAATTGTAAACGTAATACTTTTACTCCTTTTGTCATTTTCAAATATATTCAAACCAAGGGCAAGTAAAAGAATAGTCTGATTCCATTGAAATTTGCATTTCTTCGATAATGATGAATCATTACATCAGTAGGTATAAGCTCATGATTATTTAGAATGACGATATGAGCAGTGCTTAGAATCACATCCTCTCCAGACAAAATTTTTTTTTATCAAAATCGTTGGTATGTTTTGTTCAAAATAGTGAGTAGCCAAAATTCAATGATTTTTAATTAAAGGCAATGGTCTAACTTTGAATAATGTTTAGGTCATCCAAGATTTTTCAACCAGCTGTCTCAGGGCTTGGACATAGTGGCACTTGCTGGGGAATGGCTCACTGCAACTGCGAATACCAACATGTGAGTGCTCATGAACGTATCTGTTACAACATTATGCGAACGTATATGTTACAACATGTTGCGAACGTATATGTTACAACATGTTGCGAACGTATATGTTACAACATAATGCGAACATGTTACAACACATTGCGAACGTATATATTACAACATAATGCGAACATGTTACAACACATTGCGAACGTATATATGTTACAAGATACTGCGAACGTATATGTCAGAACATAATGCGAACGTATATGTTACAAAATGTTGCGAACGTATATGTTACAACATAATGCGAACGTATATGTTACAACATAATGCGAACGTATATGCTACAACATAATGCTAACATATATGTGAGAACATGTTGCGAACATATATGTTACAAAACAATGGGAACGTATATGTCACAACATGTCGCGAACGTATATGTTACAACATAATGGAAACGTATATGTTACAACATGTTGCAGACGTATGTTATACCATATGAAAAAGTAAGCTAATCCGTATACAATGCAAATCATACTGACGCCCAAGCTTCATCATTTGAAAAAGAGTTTATGGCGCATGTGCAGTGACATGGAATAAAAAGAAAATAATCATCGAAATGTATTTCATTTGACTTGTCCAATGTATCTTGACTGGCAGCTGACTATCTCGGGCACAATATACGAAATGTACTTCACTCAGTTGCAAATCATTAAACGTCCTGCATATTTATAGCTCATTGTATTTAATTTTGGCATGTTCGCGTATGAGATTGCCCCTGTTTTTTGTTAGGTTTACATACGAAGTCGCCCCGGTATTCACTCTGATGGAAGACATAGTGCTGACCAAGATGAGAGATATTGTTGGCTGGTCTGATGGTGACGGAATTTTCGCACCAGGTTTCAATCTTTTTTATCTCAAAATAAGACAGAGTTATATTTTCGAAATATGAATTATGAAATGAACAATTACAAATAATAGCCTCCTTCTAGGCTTTCTCTTAATTTCTTTTTCTTAGTTTTCGTATTCTAATTTTGTCTCTGGAACAAAACACAACGTTCAGTATATTGAGCAGACGTAGGGTTTAAATGACATGTATCCCATGCTTAACTTCTTTCGATGAATTCTATATGAAGCAAGAGAATGTTACTAAACATATATCAATTGCCAACGTACATTCACGTAGGTAATGTAGCTTCTAATGTGTGATATAGGGGGCGCCATTGCTAACTTGTATGCTGTTTTGGCCGCTAGGCATCGCTGCTGTCCAGAGCAAAAAGCACAAGGAATGTGTGGACTCACCAGACTTGTAATGTTCACATCAGAGCACGTAAGTTTACCAATCTGAAAGAGACACGAGGGGAGGAATAAACTACATACACAAAATAAATACTTGAAATATGAACTATAAAACCGATCCTCAAATCCAGAGCGGTCGATTTACTACGATGAGAAAAAGAGGTAATTAAACCCTAAATTCGAACAGAATTCTTCCGCAGGGACAGATTTTTATTTAATAATCTGTCATCTAAGAGGGAATTATTTCTAACCTTATAACTCAACTCAGCTTTAACTTGCAATAGCCGTCTCTTGTGTCGATGGTTCTCGAGAGCTCATTTACATAATCAGAAATGTTCCCTGCGTGGGTGTAACATCAATATGCGTCCTAACTAAAGTCTGATCGTCAGTTGACGTGGGCTCTTCTGTTGACAAACTGTAAAATCAATCTTCGCAGTTTAAATAAAAAAACTAAATTTTATGAACATTCGATATGGTTAATCAAACTTAAAATAATCTAACTCTATAATTAACGAGGAAATTAATACGACTCTAAATTGTTTATTCAACTAACAGTGCGGTAATCGTAATAGTGATATTGTTAAATTTACTGCACTTTTTCTTCGATTACAGAGTCACTTCTCAACCAAGAGAGCTGCCGCTATTGCAGGGATAGGCACCGACAACTGTATTGCCGTAAAATGTGATGAGAGGTTAGTGTTTCGGTGATGTACTATAGTTACATGAGTTAGGAGTCACATTTTGTCTAGTAACAAAGAGCATGTCCAATGAGGCGTAAAGGTCAGATAACTAAGGATGAATTTGACCTAGATTATAGATTCATCGTGCAACTGTACGTTACAGTCACTTGTGAACGTGGAATGAATATAGAACTCATAATCGGTCTTCCTTAGCGCAGTCGGTCCTTTGGGAATGGAGCATTTTGCGAACAGTTTACTTCTAATTTGTGTCATGTTGAATGCTTATTACAGATAAGAGACTCAGGTCACCATATTAATTGGTTGAAGATGGACAAACCATTCTTTATAAAGTCCCGTCAGAAAGTCTTCGTATTAGTCCACAAACTCATACCCAGTCTTAAGCATATTACGGAAAAGAATCACATACAGAAAAGAATCCTTGTATACAAGGTGGTCCGAAAATATAGACATAGTGATTACTTTTCTCTTATTTACTGTCTTTTTTCTTATCATAACTCAGGTGCCATTGCTACAGTGTATATTTTGCTTTCTAGAGGAAAGATGATTCCAGGGGAACTTGAGAAGTGTATTCTCCAAGCAAAATCAGAGGGTGCCAAACCATTCTATGTGACATGTACCACCGGTTCAACTGTTCTTGGGGCGTTCGATCCCATCAATGAAATAGCAGATATATGTGAGACATATGGAATGTGGATGCACGTGGACGTACGTATCAGTCCTTTAAGGCCACATATAAGTTTAAACCACTTTACTTATATTGTAGTCCTACCCAATGCTATCAAAATGTGATATGTTAAACTTTTTTCAAAATTTTAAAAGAGTTTTTTGAAGGACTTGTTTCGGAAAATCGTTAACTAATTTAAATTAAAATTAAATTAAACTTTAGAGGTCACACTTATTTTTGGTTCGGTTCTTAAATAAGCAAAAAATTACTCATCTATGCATCAAAGTTGCTCACAGAAAATTGTATTTTAAAATTATAGTTCTTATAGAAACCAATGGTGCGGTGACATTTAAAACATAATGCAAATCTTTTTTAATTAAACTACAGTTCATTCTATTTAGTTGCTTGTTCTGTTAATTAATATTAAACCTCATTTAGGAAGCAACATAATAGAATGAACTTCTTTTGTTACAGCTAAGCTAACTTAAAAATTCTCCTACATGTTATCCATGTTCAATATATATCTCTAAAGCCCCTGAAGGAATTACTTATTCCTTTAAAGGGTTTATTTGTGTGTCAAAACGCAACATATTGATGCAAATAGAAATTGAAAAAGCAGGGTAGGAAGAAGTTCGAAATCAGGACAGCATTTCAGAAAAAAACATGTGGGTGGGTTGTTTGCATCCATACCATACCATATACCGTTCATAGTAGATCTAGACAATGTGTGTTTTTAAGTCTACAATTTGCTGTAGAGGGGGGTGCTGTTGTTTTTTGACACCCTGTACAGTGTAGACTATAGCTATTCGTACTGGAAGAATTATTTCGCCAAATAGACATTTCCCATGGTTTATCTAAATTGATTATTCTTTCTTTAATAGTACCTAATCCATTATGTTCTTATTACAGGCAGCTTGGGGCGGAGGTGCTCTGTTGTCCGAACGTTATCGCCATCTTTTCAACGGAGTAGAGAGGTACACATATATGTAAAAATATCTAATAATTCTATAATTTTAAGCATTCGTATGGGACAACTCCATCTTTAAGACATTCCTGAAAAAGCAATATGCTCTATCATCGAATATTGTTCAAAATGGAATAATGATAATCTGTTTTTATAACTGAACCGCCATCCTGTCCTTGAATGATTTCATAAACTATGCTATTATGATAGTTTTTCTTTGTACCTTTGCATATTCCTATATCCTAAATACCATTTCTTTAGATGTGATTCCATAACATGGAATCCTCATAAAATGATGGGAGTTACTCTGCAGTGTTCAGCTATTCTACTAAAGGAGAAGGTATCTTTGATTGAAACCATATGTATTTATGCTGTCACCATTGCACATAAATTATACAATTACACATACATATCACCATTGCGCATACGTGCCACAATTATCAATGCATGTCACCATTGTACGTTAATGTCAATATTACACATGTTTCACCATGGCAACCATTACACATGCATTCATGTCAGTATTACTCTACATGTCACCATTACCCATAGATGTCACTATTACGCAAATATATTGCAATTACATGTATATGGCACTTTTATGCACACATCATGTCACCATTACACACACGTGTCACTATTATACATGTATGTCACCATTACACACACACGTCACATTTACACGTACGTCTTTCATGTCACCACTTCAGATACTTGCCACTATCATGTGTACGAGTCGCAGTTACACGTGGATGCTCACCATAGCACATTCATGTCACCAGTATATTCACATGTCACAAATACATTCACATGTCACCACTACATTCACACACACACCCGGGCTGTTTTACACAATCTTCTATCCTATAGCTTTAGTGCAACTTCAATAATTCCGCTTCCCACATTTTTAATAATGACCTCTAATAAGGTGACATGAGGTAGTCAAAGAGCTTTAGAATGCAAACCTTGGCTTTCAGGATCTCAACTGAGTAATTCAGAACTGTTTTTAGTTCCGATGATGCCCTTTAAAGGCGACCTCAGTCTAAAATGTGGAATGACCTTACATGACCCAAAAATGAGTCTCCAAATTCAAAAAGTAGTTCAAATTCATAGTAGTTATTGACCAGCCAAACGACCTTTATTGTCACATTAGACTTCGAATGTCGTTTTGGTCGACACATAGGGATCGAAACCAGCCATAGTTTTCTCTTCATGAAATATTGTGCTTTATGGATTATGATGTTGGCTTTGAGGATAGATGTTGACCCTTTGTTGACCCGTCTGTGGATTTGGGATAGGATTTTATTTGTCCCACATCATTTGAGACAGGGTGCTCTATCTTGTATTTGAATACTACATGTAGATATAGTATGTACAACTATTTTTGATGTCATGAATATTGGTTATCAATTTAAATTCATTCTTCAACATGTAATGACTTCAGTAAGAATGAAATGTCTCTTTTTATGGCCCTTTATTGATTGTGATAATGGTGGGGGAGGGGTATTCCCGGGGGTATGAGACATTAACCCTAGTTACTCTAGCAGTAAGGAGCAGTGTGAAGCCTGAACATACAAAGTCCATTTAGGAAAAAATATTCCAAGCTTAAGCAAAATAATGTACATGCGCTCGAACTGTGAATGTATGTTATCATTAGGATTTAATGGATTCGAGTTGTAGAATCATAAAGTCTTATATGTTCAACTTCTTCAGGTTGTAAATTTTTGATACATTGAGTAGTTTTTCAAATATTAAATGGTAAAATTTTAAATAAAACTTGGCCATTAACAAGTTCACATACACATTTGTGTTCTAATCAAGTCATAGACAATTTCTGGTTTTAGATGTTGTACTTTTTGTATGTTTAAAACAGTATGCTAATTTCGAACTTGCTACAACAAACAGATTTCCAACTAGATAAATGGACTGCATGTGAATTAAATTGAATGAGTGATTAATCGATTGATTTATTCTCAATAAATTGATTGATTGCTCGGTTCCATGTATCAGTCGATTCATGCATGAATGGTGCCACAATATTCACAAGTTCTTTTTTTGTACCGTGCACACTCTAAGGGCAGACTCAGTTACATGGAACCCTCACAAGATGATGGGTGCCATGCTCCAGTGCTCCGCCATTTTGTTAAAACACAAGGTAAAATATCGTAAGTCTTGTGATCAGTTTTGATAAAACCAAGTCGCTTGTGTCATTCTGTGATGTATTCCCCATCATGTCGTTCGCATTATGATTTATATTCACAACTGATTTCCCATCGCATCTTTTATCGCATAATTTTATTTATGAATTGAAAACACAGTACTTTTACGATATTTTTCCTTGTTTTGCGTTTGTTATATTCCTCTGCTATTTTATTCTTTAATGCGTTGCACGGTTTATATGTATATGTTTATATGTTTTAGTTGTTTTTAGCATTATGTAGTCAAACAAAGGGGCAGCAAAGACTAGAGACCTCCTAACTTTCTAGAAACTGTCACATTTTTACAATGCATTTTGCTCACAATATTCTCTTTCGTGCCTTTTTTCTCAGTTTTAACCCTTTCTCATGGTAATCGTTTATTTAAAGATATTTGGCCTTCACTCTAAAGGTGAATTCTATGCCTTCTACTTGTGATCAGATAACTATTAAGGCTGTAAGAGAAACATCGCCATGTATTTTTAAAATATCCCATCCAACATTTTAGACTCTATTCTTTGATGCTGCTTTAACCCTAGTTTAAGTGCCCCATGTATAGCCACAAAACTTTGTGTAGGCAAGATCCACTACCTCAATCATCCCATTCTATAAATTCCATAATACTTCTATATATAAACATTCATATATCTGAAATGAGATGGAAATCAAAAGTATCAATACAAAAATACTCGTTTTTATAATTCTTTTAAAAGCTTTTTACAAAAAAACTAATTTTTATAATTCTTATAAAAGCTACAAAAATACTTTTTTATAATTCTTATCTTAAAAAGCTACAAGAATACTTATTTTTATAATTCTCATAAAAGCTATAGAAAAAGTGATGAATAAAAGTTACTTATAATGTCTTAATGTATTAAGTAGAGTCTGTTTCCCTTGTTGAATACATTAACGTCTACTATACTTAGCGACTCCGTTTTAACACTTTCAAAATGCTTTTAGGACATTCTGAAGAATTGTAATTCCATGTGCGCAGACTACCTATACCAACAAGACAAGCACTATGATGTTGTTTACGATACTGGAGATAAAGCGATACAATGTGGACGACACAACGACATCTTCAAGCTGTGGCTAATGTGGAGAGCAAAGGTATTGAGACGGTTTGCCCACCTTAAACAATGCTTCTTTCGATATTACATCATTCTGATACTCATCACATCTTTCTGTGTTCATCTAGAAAGAAGCTGATAGACACCTGTGATTTTACATGATGATATTACATAGTCTAGATACATCAGACTTGCACACAAGTGTGAGAAGGTGTTTAGGCAAGTAGTCGAGGGTTCACAGAGGCTTGTAGCTAGACTACTAGATGTGCAGTCATATTTTTGAACACCCTGAAGATGAAGGCTATGTATTATGGATATGTTTAAAGGCCCCATATAAAGTTTAAACCACATCGTAATAGTTAATAACTTTCACAGTCATGAAACATAATAGTAAATGTATGATGAAAACCTTTTTTTTCAAACTTTGCATGGGGCCTTTAACAGAGGTATACAATTTTCAATCCAACCATGTTAAAGGATTTAAAGGATAATTTAAACGGGTTATCTGTCATTTTGATTAATTATGTGATGATTCTATTGTTTTAGGGCGATAAAGGACTTGAGTCTCAGATAAACAGAGTTTTTGAGCTTGCAAAGTAAGTAGACTTGAACAGGGTCTCCAGAAAAGATCGTCCCTTGATTAAACGCTATAATGACTTTCTAGACACTCTTAACTCACAGTATATAGGATTAGAATTATGATCACATTATTGAAAAGTATAACTTGTAAGTATAAGATGCAATTTTGATAAATAACAGTGTTGTATATTCCATATTCTAATACAATTTCTTAAAATTATTAGGTATTTAACAGAAAAGATACGAGAAAGGCCTGGATTTATGATGGTGATGGATGAGGTACATTTTAAGATATATCATGGTTGTAGCCAGCCATGAGGCAGGCGAGACATTTGCCTCTCCAAAATTTGGTAGAAAACATTTATGTAACCTTTTTTCAATTGAAATCCTGTCAATGAAAAATGATAGTATCGTACAATGTATATTACGTTTAACAATTTTACACCACTTTTTTCTCGCATTGCCCATTTCTTGATCCTTGTTACACCCCTGTATACTGGCGGACTTAAACGCAGTAATCAATGAATTGTGGGTTGCATAATGCTCTAGTTTTCTTTATGCTTATAAAAACGAGGTCTTTAAACGAGCTCCTAGCCATTAAGTGTGATTAATAGTTATTTATCAAATGGAAAGCTCTTTTGGTAGCATTTATTTCTGTAATAAGCACGAAATGAAGTGTGTTTTAATGTTTTCAGCCGGAATATACAAACGTATGCTTCTGGTATGTGCCATCAAAGATCCGGCATTTGGAACAAGGGAAAGAAAGGGATGACGAATTGTCCAAGGTAGGGCCGGATTGAAAATATTTTTCAGGATAATAATTGTCTAAAGATTATTTTAGAAACGCAATTTTGGATAATCAAATGGGCTAGACGAGGCCAGACTCGACAGACGTGAACAAAGCATTGATCTTTTAGTAAACGTAAGATTATTATCATGTCTACCTGAATTTCAATGCATTTACAATACCATTGCATTGATTGAACATACTTTCAGGTGGCTCCTCGTATAAAGTCGATGATGATGGAAGGTGGATCTACGCTTGTGGGATACCAGCCACTAGGAAAGAAACCAAACTTTTTCAGAATGGTAATCAGCAATCCTGCAGCAACTAAGGAGGACATCGATTTTCTATTAGAGGAAGTTGAACGTTTGGGTGAAGAAATATAAGGCGATGATTCTGAATAAGCGGTGTCAGAGTAGATCAGACACGTGACATATTGTTTTTAAGCTTACATGATTGGATGAGGATATATTGCGTTTGAGTAGATCGGACAATGCAAGTGACATCTCCTATTACATGATTGGATGAGGAACTGCTGAATCAGATTAGATCTGATCATGTGACATTTAGTACGTTCGAAAGGTTCCGAATTTGCTGTGTCAGAATATATCGGATCACGTATAAATTGTATATCGTCATTACCGTAGTTTTTGCAGAGATATATAGGGTTTGTTCCGAATCTTCTTTTTCAGAGTAGATCAGATCACGTTAAATATAATAGTTATAATTATGGTTGGGTGAATCGATGTTTCCTATTCAAGGGGTTGTCTAATACCCGGGACTTATTTTTGTGTACCAAACGAGACAAAACGACATCCGGGGCTTAGTATCTCCCTCATTAGACTTGTTCCTATTGGTCGATAGATTGGTCGTATTACGTTCTCCCTTGGATTATCTAAGATGTAGATCAAACCTTGATCTTGATTCGAAAACTTCTAAGTTCAGATCATGTCAAGTGACGATACAACTATATTCAACTATATGCAGACACCAGTATAGTGCAGTAGACAATACTAAGTACATATTGTATATATATAGTGTTATTTAAACAAAATATATAAATGAATATGAATATAATATGTGTTGAGCACGAAATTCATGTTTGTGAAGGTTGCCTTTGGGATGAGCTCTATGCCATTTAGACCAAAGACTATTTGTAAATGTGAGAAATATATATCTAAATTATTTTTTGTTTATTTTGCAACGGAAGTAATATTTGAAATTTGACATGCCAAACATGCCAAAGAATAAAGTATGTAATGCAATGTAATATCTATAACACTGATCTACACTCTCCTCCATAAGTTTGGTAATCCCGATTCCTCTATTAATTCAAACTTACACAGGGGAGTGTATTGTATATCTATTATGCATTCGAATCATTTGAACTGGTTAAACTACATACTTATCCATAGTGTAGGTGCAATAGAAATACTGTACTATAACCTTTCTCATTTAAAGTCCGAACGTGTTTTTTCTTTTTTTGAAAGCGGCATAACAAATAAGCAGATGTTTAGAGGGAATGCCAGATTCATTATATATTGCAGTAATAATTAACGTTAATTAGAATACATGTTGGAATATGAGATAAAATAGAATAAAGAAATTAGATGAAACATACATTTATTTCTGTTTTATCAGTATGTAGAATTTTTTTCTATATTCTCAGGCCCAATTGTTTACAAATCAATAACAATATACGTACATAATTCCAAAACACATTATATACTTGTTCTGGATTCATTACAATTGCATAAAGATTGTAAATCAATTAATTTCAAAACTCAAATTAGCCACTTCAAAAACTGGTGTCCAGGTGAATGGCAAGTTCATACTTCAAAACAAAGGACAATATATTTAAAGCTGGGCTGTATAGGGTGACTCAAAAGTCGTTACCCTCTACTTTTGGAATACCTTTCTCAATTATGATGGACTTTTCGTGAATGATTTTGCGTAGGTAGAGTGTTCAATGCATGAAACGTTTGTGTATTTACATAGCATTCATGATTTGTAGATATGAATATATCATGTTTTCTGAGGAGGTATGCCCTGACGCCAAATCACTCAAAAATGTTTGTGTTTCTTATTTAACTAATAACCAAATCAGTACATCATATTTCGCAACATGAATTTAGAAAACTGGGTAGATGTGACATATATTGATAATGTAACCAGCTGAATGTACCAAAAGCCATCCAGAAATTACTTAAATAATGGCGAAGATAGATATCCCAATTTTAAGCATACTTGAAGGGAACACCCAATCACTCTAAATTTAAAATCATAGATGCAATAGAAGTACATTCTGATACTCAAACCATCTTTCTGTTTCACTTGAAACATCTCAGGGCTGAGAAGAAATGAGATGTCATGGGTTGTTTTCTCCATCTCCACAAAAAATGTAACTAAGATTCCATCATAACCTAGAGTGTAATACCTCTCCCCCCGCCCCCCCAAAAAAAGAAGTTGAGCAACCTTTGGATAAATTGTTTTCTCCATCTCCACAAAAATGTAACTAAGATTCCATCATAACCTAGAGTGTAATACCCCCACCGCCCCCCCCAAAAAAAAAGAATTTGAGCAACCTAGATTTGAATTTCCTCCTCGACAACATTAATGTGATAACTTCTTTTTGAAAATGTCAATATAAAGTTTTCAGAATGTGATCTAACAGAGTTACTTGAAGGCAGAATCAGTTCTATAGGGGGTAACATAATTGCATGCTTCGTGTGCAATTGATCTACTAGCAGTATATTCCTAACGATATCAAATATAATATCTCCCAAAATCCGCGATATGTTATAAATTGATGGTAAGGTTATTTGAGATTCAAAGTGCAAAAATGGGAACATTTTTTAAATTCTCCCGAAAGATAAATTTGATAGCCACGTTTATAAAAAAGAATACAATTATTGTAAGGATCTGTAGTTTTCTTAAAGTAAAGTATGTATATTTTTAAAACAGACTTGACAATGTGATATGAGCTAAAAATATTCTAAAACTGAAACAATATTTTGTTACGGTTACTTGCTAGATTTGATACTCCCTTTAAGCTCCCATCTTGGAACCTTAAATTCAATATGGCAGCTCCCCGTATATTTATCCCATTTTCAAGATGCCAAAAACATGTTATATCAATAGTCAATGCAAGCTTTTTGAAATTGGAATAACCCATAATTAGTGTACAAACTCACTAAATGGTCCGATTACATTTCCGCATTTAAGTTACTCTTGGTCGTTTGGTAAAGAAAAAAAGGAATTGACGTTTTGGTAACCAGTAATAAAAAATGAAAGGACTGTGGAATGTGTAATTAAATATATAATTTATATGAACGAAATACACTCCTTGAAGATACCTACATTGAACATTGTACATTTACAGTTCGAACCCAGGACCTAACTATTCAGGTGTTTTCGTTGTTCGATGTAAACATGACGTCCCCATCGGCGTGTGAATCTCAACTTTTAAGCTTGCTGTTGATTTAGATCATTCCTTAACTCATAAACAAATTCATTAGCATTAAAACAAACATTAAAAGATGAAGGTTAAAAGTGACGGAAAGGCAAATGTATTAATCCTTAAATCTACCATCCCATTTGGCAAATATAATACGGGCTGTTCGGAAGCAAGAATCGGAAAGATCTTATAAGATATATTAACATGAACATGTTGGTTAGATAGTTTGCTTGACAAAAACATTTTACGAGGATTTAAGAATTAAACCTCAGTGTTAAATATAAAGTTAAATTCAAATAACTACATTTTCCTTAGGTCATCCTCTGAAGTCAATCTGGATCATTGACTCCTGGGATATTTTGGTTATGACATGTACGTGTTACAAAACCAACGATCGCGTCATCTATTTTATTAGGGATTAAAAGAGAATTAAATATAAATCAGTTATAAATCTATCTGAACAGAAAACCTACATTCCGTCCAACATCAACAAAACAGCCAATCAGCGCCGTATCATACGTATGGACAAGATTTTAGTGTCTTAAAATTTATAATTAGGCAAGGAAGGTCTTGTTCTGGACAGTTTCAATCATTACTTGGACAGTGACACACACACTTACAGAATTAGTTTTTAGAGTCCGATTCAAACTAGAACAGAAGGACGAACAGACGATCACATAACTTTGGTGAAGGTAAGTGTAGTATAACAATTAACTAATGACATAATAATGTGAATAGTTTTTCTCCTAAAATTGAGGAATGTCAAGTGTTCGACTACACTGAACAACACATTTACCCGAATATATTGGTGTTATTCAGCGTTTTCAAAATTTCAACCCTCACAACGAAGAGCTGTAGATAACTGTATCGGCTAGTGTAACGACATTTTAAAATGGCACAAAAGCTGAGAAACCTTTCAAGTGCATGCATTGTTAGCTAGTTTTCATTTAACTAGAAGAAGTCATATTATTAAAAAATAGGTCCCTTGTCTAAATATAGAAATTATATCAAAAAACATATTTTCGAAACAGTGTATTCACTTTTTATTACACGAAAAATGAGTTCCTGCCTTCATTTACCAATATTTCTATACGTTATTAAGGAGGGGAATGGAGCTGTCTACACGGTGTAAATGGCCCGTGGCCCTGTGCTGGCTCTATCTTGTCATGGCAGCGCAAGTACACGGTAAAAACTCTTTACTAAAAATTAAACAGAAATAAAACTTGTAAATCCAGAAGGTCACATTTTCTTGCATATATATCTAAAATTAATATGTAATCAGTACAACCAAATGATTCTCTTAATTCTGTGATGAAATTAATTCATTTAACAAAAATATGAAATATTGTTGTGAGCTGCAATTTAAACGCGATTGACGGTTTTTGATATCATATTCAAGTTATACATACGCACCACAATCGCATTTACTTTTGCCTAGGGACACAATACGATATCTGGAGCTGTGATATCAATCCTTTGGTGACGACTTGCTTCAATGACAGCTTTGCAATGAGTACGTCTTCTAGTGTGGAGTGGACACTGGGTAAAAGAGGAACACCATCTTCGGGCACTGGTCCGCAATCAGCAGCGACATATGGTATGTTAAAATCAATCTTCCTCCTACCACACCTTCACCAAAATTCATACATTTCAATGTATAACTGCAGATCTACTGAAAATAATGCTGACTTAATATAATTGATAACTTGGATATTTTTAATATCCATCATATTCACAAGACATCAATGTTTCAGTTTGCTTTTTATTGTATAAAACGTGGAATGGAAATGGTATAACCTGAAAATCTCATTTAATCGTTACAGCTGACGGCATGGTATTCCTCGAGGCATCGGGAGGGCAAGAGCAGAGTGCTACTCTTACCATGTCAGCACCAACAGCTACAACACCACAACCTATGTCCGCATACGACCAAGGATGCCATATTGGTTTCACGTACGCATATTACTGATGCTACTTCGGAGGAAGCGAAGGAAATGCCCCAGGGTCCATACTTAATTAGTACTGATGAAAATGCTGTAACTTTTTTGTTTTTCATATATCTTTCTAATTTTTTCAGTGTGCATTGTTGAGTATTATACTAATGTACTGTGAAAGTTACAGGAATGTGCTCCAACAAGAAGGTGGTGCTGGGTTTAGCCAAAGTTGGTTATTGGTGGATCGGGTTTGCACGAAAAAAGTCTCAAAATGACCAACTTAAAATGTGAATATTGCTCCTCAGTCGATTGCTTGTGCATCCCCTTATCACACTTCATTGTCATCTCTAAATCATAATGAATTATATGGTGTGTGCAACCAACACTTGAATCAGTCATTTTTCTGATAGGAATTTATCCAATATATTTTTATTGTATCAATCTGACTATGGGAAGTTACAGCTTTTAGTCACCCCTGTCTGGGTTCATCTCCAACTGATTTTCTCCCTCTTTGAAATAGTTGTACCTACGATATATGCCAGGGGTAGATACATTGTCCTTCCATTAGCTTCATGAATGTCCTTTTTTGTATCCTGTTTTGATTTATCTAGGAGTATATAGAACTTGGTTCTGCTTCTAATTTGATGCTGAATATTATTGATACTCTCTTCAGAAGTCCATGTGGTGTAATTTCTCCATGAAGTCATCTGATCTTAAAATGCCCTGTGATATTGGTTCACCGTGAAATGTAATTGTATTCTTATAAATTGCTCTGTGATGTCATTTCCACCTTGCAGTTTGCTCTTTGAAGTCATCAATATGTGCTGCCTTAGTATTAGTGTGTATTTATCAACTGTCGTAAAATTATGTTTGAAAATGTTCACATTTTAGGTCGGTTATTTTGAAAGAATTTCGTGCAGACCTGAACCACGACGAACCACCTTAGGCTCCACCCAGTACCACCTTTCTGTTAGAGTACATTCTTGTAACTATCACTGAACATCAGTACAATGCTCAACAAAGTTAATTAGAAATGTAAAAAACTAAAAAAAAGTTACAGCATTTTTATTACTACTTATTGAACACCCTGTAGATAAACTTATCTACATTTAGAGGTTTATCTTTATATGGAGTTTCACCTACGAACCCTGGGATATTTCCTCCTCTTTTGGGAGGGATGCATTACTGTAAAGAACCTATGAAATGAAATATTGTCTAAATGAAGTCTTACCTCATGAATGTGTACCCCCCCCCCCCTGTGTACTTCACCTTGCTTGTTGTGTTGGGAAGGTGAAGTAGACAGGGTACATAGTCTTGAGGCATGACTACTCAGAATGTAGGTACTAATTGATTAAATATCATATATATTTCAGATACCATTGCTATTCAGCTAAGGACGTTCACTATAACCGTGATAAGGATTTTGGTAGACTTGAGGTGACAGTCGGAGCAGGATCACCTGTCATATTTTGCAATGGTTAGTTAAGTTATTTATAAAAAAAGATATATATGCACTTATTACACGTACAGTTTCGCAAGTGTTTGGTTAGGTATCATGAATGAGTACTGACATTGAATGCAATTAATTGATATCAAAATCATATTGAGTTTTCCAAATCTAAGGATAACGTTTAAAGATGGCGTCCGATAACGCATTCTTGGAGGATGTGATCAACAGATGCTGTCATCTTTATGACAGCTTGAGAAAAATCAAGTCTTCCCCCCCCCCGTGTCACATGTTACTCCTGTACTCCTAAATGAGTTCATATCATCATCGAAATCATTTTAAGACCACCATCTTTGCCATAATTCTTCATCAGATTTTCGAATTTCAAAAGTTACCCTTCATATGAATTTCTTTTTAGACTACACAGACCTAGACCTAAACTGGCAGCAGGGCTCAGTCAGCTATACTCCAGGCAGTGGTAGCAATGTCGTATTCGAGGGTTTTACCGGACAAGGTTTCGAAGGAGATGTGTGCATAAACAACGTCCGACTGTACTGTGAAGGTCAGTAGTAATTTGCATGTCTTCTTTTACATCTAGATTTTTGTGTTTCACCAATTCACCGGTCCAATATTGAGTTTATTTTGATTGCCATTGATGAGTTTAAAAACAATCAGCATTAAACTATGCTGCTTTAGTGCATCATTATAATTCCATTAGATTCTGTGGTGACAACTACGCTAGGCCCTACAACAACAACAACTGCGCCCGTAACGACCACCATACCAGCGCCAACCGGATGGAGTGCATGGTCAGAGATATGTAAGGATGCCAGTGGAAATGTTCTCGATTGTGGAGTCCAAGGTTTTGGGTATGAATGACTTAGTGAATCGATTTGGTACCTTCGTTAATTAAAATTAATTGACCTTTGATACATATGCTCGCAAATTATTGTTTTGCGAACTCTAATAATTGCTACTTGCTGCTGTTCAAATCTATAAGTTGTACATCTGCCCCAGTCCCAGTCACCCCAGGCTTTTCCTTATTAAACAACTGTGTGTGAGCTAGATGGCTCTTAGAGATTTTAATTAAAGGTAGATATTCCTTGCAATTCCATAACCCCAACCCCCCCCCCCCACACACACACACACACACACACACACACACACACACACACACACGCACACTTTTTAGCTTATTATTGCTTGTGTTGTAGCACATACAATCAGGTGTGTGAGACATCAACATGCACAAAGGCAACGACACAATATGTCTTGAACGACATCTTTGAGGAATACAGAGGAACGACATGTTGGGGAAAATGCAGTAAGTTTCTTTGGCGCTTGGTTGTTCCTTCTTTACAACTCAACACTTCCTCCCAAGAAAAAGTGTATATCAATACTTCTCATTTTGATTTTGCCTTTTACAAACAAACATTCAGAATTAAAAACATGAAAAAAAGTAAATTAAGAAAAAGACTAGAAGCTAGTCTTCATACCATTGTAGAAATATATACATATTGTGAAAATATCGGAACAAAACAATATGATACAATACGTTTAACTATTGTTTTGTAACGAAGAGCTCAAAATATATCTTCATATTTAATCTTCTAGCAAGCGCTGGACAATGGAACGCGTGGGGAAATTTTGGTGCATGCTCAACTACATGTGGTAGTGGTACCTACTGGAGATATCGTACGTGCGCACGAACATCGAGCCAGTCAGCCTGTGTTGGTAAGACAATATGGCCGGAGTCAATATTGGGGTGGAGGTTTGGGTCAAATGCTCATACAAAAGCAGCCATGTTAAATCCGGATAGAATTGTGAACTTTTATGCCTACATCAAAATATTGAGTCGTAACCGCTTGGTACACTTCATAGCCATTCAGGCCGGGTCACCTCTCTATATTTCCTATATTGAAAATCCAGGTGTTTAATAAATTGTGTTTATATCATAATGGGCTTGTTCTTGTAGGCTACGATACTGAGAGTCAGAACTGTAACACAGATGCTTGTCCTCCCGCTCCCGCTGGCTGTTCTTACAATGGCTGGTCCAGTTGGTCGACCTGTTCGGCAACCTGTGGACCTGGAACAAGAACAGCAACACGCACTGATCCCAAAGATCTTATCAACTGTGTAGAAACCCGTAATGAGGCCTGTACTGTCCAGGCGTGTTGGCGTGAGTTTCGTTCAAATCTTTTTGGCCAGTTTGCTGCACATTTGTATATTTCTGTTTGAAGTCCAACAACAGTAAAAGCTATTTAAGACTGCCAAAGGTTGCCCTAAAAAGTTTATTCGTTTTCTTCAAATCTAGTGGTATTGTTTATCTGTTAAATTAAACTTGTATCTAGCGTGTCAATATGCTTATTACCATTACTTATGGAGCACCAGGTAGTTCATTAAATTCCGACCTTATGTCATTTAAGACTTCAACTGAGTGTCTAAAACCCTTAAGAGGGGTGTATTTGGTCTCAACTATAGCTCGTTTTATCATTTGTAGAACATGGAGGTTGGAACGATTGGGGTCTGTGGACTGGAACATGCGTTACCTGTGGAACACCCAATACTCTGACGCGACAAAGGGCATGTGATAACCCAGTACCGATCGGGACAGGAAGATACTGTCTTGGGTCCAGTGAAGAAGTTCAGAATTGCCCCTACATGGGACAATGTCCTGGTATGTAAAAATCTATAACACAGTAGATTTTAACTAAATTTTCATATGAATGGGCTTGGGTGATGGCATTACCCCAGTCAATTACGGATTAGTCCATTAGTCCATTAACCCTATAACATTCTTCTAGAATTTGTCCTTAATATTGTCGCGCCTGGGCCGATTCGCCGAGCACCCTGTATACTGGGGAAAGGCCTGGGACGACGAAAAGGGATCTTTGGAGGTGTTTCAAGGGTGTCGACCTGGTTTGGTGGTACGACAGTTACCAATAGAAGATGGCTCCACAAAACAATTATGAACAGGGTTTTTATAATCTATTCTAACATAAGTTTTTACAATATAATAACAAAATGTCCATATAATATACAAGTTTCTCTTCAAGAGTCGTCTCTGCTCTGGAGCTTGTTTAACACTAAGAGTCACTGCGTCTCTCTATATTCTCCTCCTGTAGTTTGTTCAGCTCTAGGAGTCACTACGTCTCTTAATCTTCTGTATGGAGTTTGTTCAGCTTAAGGAGCAACCTCAGCTCCGGGAGTCACTTCGTCTCTGGGGAAACCACGCAAACTCTCTCTCTTGGAAGAGTACCAGCCTCTAGAGCACTCTCTGCTTGGGAGTCGCCACTTCTCGATAAAAACCTCTGCTCTTGGACGATTCACACGCTCGGAGTATCTCAGCTCGGAGTCGTCTCGTCTCAAGAGAAATCAACGCAAACTCTGTGTCTCTTGGAGCACCTCAGTTCCGGTAGTGTAACTTTGGCTCAGACACAAACTCTGTCTCTGGAAGGGGTCCAGGCTCTGGAGCAACCTCTGCTCGGGAGTCGCCACTTCTCGGGAAAAACCCTCTGCTCTTGAACAAGATTCACACGCTCGGAGTATCTTAGCTCGGAGTCGTCTCGTCTTAAGAGAACAATGCAAACTCTGTGTCTCTTGGAGCACCTCAGTTCCGGTAGTGTAACTTTGGCTCAGACACAAACTCTGTCTCTGGAAGGGGTCCAGGCTCTGGAGCAACCTCTGCTCGGGAGTCGCCACTTCTCGGGAAAAACCTCTGCTCTTGAACGAGATCCACACGCTCGGAGTATCTTCAATTGGAGTCCTCTCGTCTCTATAAAACTGTCTCGTGGAAGGGGTCCAGGCTCCGGGAGTATCTTCTGCTCGGGGAGTCGCCACTTCACAGGAGAAACCTCGTCACCCTCTACAGAGAAATAACACCTCTGGAATGTCAATCAGATGGTGAGATTAGACCAGAGCTGCTACTTCTCGATCTCAGAGTACCTTAGTTCCGGTGGAGTAACCTTGGCTCCAATGGAATAAACCTTGCAACACAGAAATACCTTGGTTCCAGTAGTGTAACCTCAGTATCTAACTTCTGGAGGAGTCAAATCACCTCGGAGGGTACATCAAGTTCAGCAACTTGTATCAATTTCGGATCATCAATAACTCGGAGGAGGAGAAGAAGCAACTCACGAATATCGATCATTAAACTGAGATTAGACGGAGTTGTATTCTCAACCCTCGGAGCAGATTCCACTCTAGAATAGATGGAGGAGTAAGCACTCGGAGCAGTGAGTCCTCAGAGTAGGTATGGCTCTCAACTAGATGGAGGAGTAATCACTCGGAGCTGGCAATCCTCGGAGTAGGTATGGCTCTCAACTAGATGGAGGAGTAATCGCTCGGAGCTGGCAATCCTCGGAGCAGATACAACTCTCGAATATCAATCACAACGGAGATTAGACAGAGCTGTAACTACTCGGACCAAATATAACTCAGAGGAGATATAACACTTAAATAATTGGAGGAGTAATCACTCGGAGCTGGCAATTCTCGGAGCCAATGGAGGAGTAATGACTCAGAGCTGACAGTCCTCAGAGCAGACACGACTCTCGAATATCAATCAAACTGAGATTAGACAAGAGTCGTACCTACTCAAAGCCAATGTAACTCGGAGGAAAAATTGTTCTAAAAATGGTTGGAGGGGTAATAACTCGGAGCAGTGACCTCTTGGAGCAGACGCGACTCTCGAATATCAATCAAACTGAGATTAGACAAGAGTTGTAACTACTCAGAGAAGGAATCACTCCTTAAAATGGCGTCACTTCCGTAAAAAATAAAGATGGCCGACCGCAGGGAACTCTGGGAAGAAGAAATCAAAATGGCGGACGGCAATATGGCGTCAAACTCAATAATCAAATTGTCACTCACCAAAGAACTATCTATTGTCTTGTCTTTTCCCCAATTGTCGCAACGCACGCAATTTACATCAAGCAATAGCAGCAAATAGTCAAATAATATCCAAATATAATCCACAGTTGTAATCAGCCACGCTCGCACATAAAATGCCCCAAACTGACGAGGTCCTGCTTGTACAAAATCTTGGTAAGCTCTGATTTACAGGTCACGATCTCACGCTAAAGTCCAGACATCTCAGGTTGCATTATGGGAAAACACAACTTAAGTTGGCGGTAAATTCAAATGAAGCAATCTGATTGGTTGAGCTCTGTTGCTGAGTGCCTAATTATTCTAATTTATTCCACTACAGTCTCCTGATCAAGTAAACATCCAAGTTACAGGGACGGAACATTGAATAAACATGACATAACATAAAATCTTGTAAAATAAACGTTTATATGCCCTAGTTACTACTCAGGGGGAATTTAAAATTCCCACAATATTGTTCATTTGAGACTAAATATTCCATTGTATGAGAATGATCGATGTCGAGTATTGGAAACCTTTTTTTGTTTGTTCTTGTACTTGCATTTTACTAACTTCGAATCAGTATGATTGAAAAGTCCAGTCTTGTGGTTTTGAATTGTGATCTTGATTTCCGAATTGCGAGGGATGACATTTTGTCATGTTAATTCTATATGGCTTGTGGTTTCTTTTTGCAATCTCTTTGGTTTATTTGACAGAATATGTAATTTATACGGGTATTGTTGTTTGCAATATATGTTTCCATGACTTCATGCGGGTCTTAATGTGTTTGGTGTATCTGTTTTCAGTCGACGGGGCATTTGGAAATTGGATGGCCTGGTCAACATGTCGCTCCCCAACTAAAGATACATGTGGAAGTGGAACGCAGGTGCGCTACAGAGTGTGCAACAACCCACAGCCAAAATACGGGGGCAATCCTTGTACTGGTGTCATAATGGAGACACAAGCCTGTGACCTCGGGGTCTGTAACACAAGTAGGTCTCACGACAATATAAATTATAAGCATGATGTAAATTACAGTCATACTTTGTTTTGTCCGAACTTATATAGTATACCATTGCATGAACGTAAAGAAGCTGTCATATTAGCCGTGTAAGCTCAAGTTTCGCCACCGTGTGGCTAAATTTTGCATAATTTTTTTTTACTAACAAAACTTGTATTTGGTGTGACTATGGAAGTATAGCTGTAAAACGATTTGTTTTGCCCACCGTGTTTCTATGCCGTGCCCCGCCGTCTGCCCAAAAGTATTGACACAGCCTAAGTGTGAAGGAATTCTAACTTCTCTCTACTTACCAGGATATAGCTTATATAATTCATGTTTCGTTTTCCAGAGTGTCAAAACGAGGCGGACATTCTCCTGATAGTGGACACTAGCGGCTCGATTAACGACCAAGAGTGGGCTGACCAGTGCAATATGATTTACGACTTTATCGGGGCCCTTGATGTTGACAGCGGCAGGATCCGCGTTGCGGTTGAAGTTTTCAGCAGAACTGTGAAAACTTCTTGGGATTTTGACGACCATGATGGGGATTCAGCAGCCATGTTGGATAAAATTGCGAACAGTTGTCAGGGATTAGAAAGAGAAAAATCAACAACGAACCATGCGGGTGCTCAAAGACACGCTATATCTGTAAGTTTACGCTATATATCTGGAAGTTGATGATACCCTTATTTTATTATTTTGATCAATTCGGTTCATCTATTGCTTAGAAAATACTTGTAAAACGGTTATCTTTACTGGGACACCCGATCTATAAAATGAATGTATATATCAACCATATCTTAACTCCAGAATCTTTGGGGACAAACCTCAAAAGGAGATCGACTTAATGTTGTCAACGTTGAGTTCATGCTAACTGATGGATGCTCAACATTAAATGCAGATCAAACAGTGATAGCCTCAGATGAAACACATGCTAGTCCAGAAAACATAACAGTCATTGTTGCTGCTGTTGGCGAGGATCTTACTACTAATCAAACTTGTATGGATATGATGATAAATATGGCCACGGGTGCTGATCCTTATGCATTGGGAACTCTTGTTGAAACCACCGATTTTGTAGATTTGACAAATAAAGTTGATGAATTGGTTACAAAGACTTGCTTGTGTAAGTACTTGTATTCAATGTTAAACATGTTTTTCCTGAATGGTATTTTAGTATAGTATTGCTATTGTGGTTATTGCGCTTATCGTTATCGAATTCAAGTCTTACATGTATAAAATTACTAATGCACATAGTACAAAGTATTGCAATAATTTTGAACAATCGTCCCACCATCTGAGATCTGGATGATGATTAATACATCTTTATGATGGTGTATTTTCATTTTGTAGTGGCTAGTGCTTGCAACTTACTTGACCCCCCTTGTGGTGACTTAACCCTCCATAGCTGTACACCAAAGGACCCCGCCTCGCTGATGGATTTCCAATGTACGTGTGGTGGTGGTGCTTGGGGAACAACGTGTTCAGGTAAATATACTGTTTTTGTTTTTTAACGGATTTTTGTTATAAGTTTAATAGAGATTTTAGAGATTTTAGGAAATAACATGACAGGGTATTACAACGTTCCCTTAAACTTGAATAATCATCAGTTTTAGTGATTCGTTTTTCATATTACCCGGTACGTATCTGATAGTTATACAAATTGAAACATGACCAGTGAAGGAAAATATTATCTGCCCAACACAAAAAAAGATATTTCACTTTTTGTGATTTTACAACATGGGGTCTATGAGGAATCTCCCAAACCTAGAAGTCACATTTTCAAAAAGATAAAATTTTCAAAGTTGATGAACTCTTTTCAAAACCATATTCTAAACGTAATTTTACATGTATATTCCAAATATGACACCAGTTTGACTGAATATTGAATTTTTAGTGACGTAAATTAAGATTACTTCTCGCATCTAGTCTATTTTAGGTAGTCTGGACGCTTCCTAGTCAACTCGTACCCAAGACAACTCGTACCCAAGACAACTCGTACCCAAGACAGCTTGTACCCAAGACAACTCGTACCCAAGCTTATTTTCAGTATTATGGGTGCATATTAGGGAAATTGAGTTTGTAATGCTTTCATGTTATAATGTGAATCAAATAAGCCTCAATATTTTTTTGAATTTAGATTTTTTTCTCAATGGATCAGAAAAGCATTTTTTTATTAAATAAAAGAAGTGCTTGAAGCGCTATTTTTTGTCAAACATATATATAAATAAATATAATTACAACATTAGATCTGACACTTGTTCCAAACACTCATAAACATACAATATTTTGAAAAATGATTATAAACATATGTCTCTTCACTCGAACATCCTGAATCTGTGACCAATATAAAATAATAGTCAATATAAATTGACACTCAGCTCAAAATGTCACAAAATTAAATCAATTTCTTCCGAAAATTCGTCTTCAAACTTTAAACTATTCTGAACAGTATATTACAATTATAATATGTATATCTATTCACATTCCCAGTCCAATGTTTGATTCAAAACAAAATATATACTTGGGTACGAGTTGTCTTGGGTACGACTTGTCTTGGGTACGAGTTGACCAGTTACCGTCTGGACTATAGATTTGGTTTTTTTTCTCATACACCCTAACTTGCCTTGTCTGACTCGTTTATTTGCAAATGCACCTATTGATATATCTATATCTATAATTCTGGAAAGAAGGATAGTCCTGTATAATCCAGATCTTTTTATGTATTATTTTCATGTCATGTTAATGGGGGGGGGGCGTTGTTTAATTGCTCACTGGACATGGGTTAGTTGTGGTGAAGACATCTAATCTTCTTTGATAATTTCTTTGTTTTGAACAACTTTCTTTATCGGACATTTTCTGACAACACGTCCAAATATAATATACATGAAAAGTCAAAATATTTTGACTCAAATGCAACACTGATTTGGAGCAGCAGTTACAAAGTAGTTTCTTTGCCCATAATACACACTCGGTGCAGAATTGACAAAATGCCAGAACCAGTCCTGTTACTTTTGGAACACCCTGTATTGTCCAAATCGGAGAAGCCGGCGGAGAAGCAGCAACAATAACGATTTTAACAGCGTTTCTTAGCGTGAGCAGTTTGGGGTTACCTTGCATAAATCACCTTGATTTCTCAATTCACCAACAGCTCTGAAACATCTTCAAATAAAGTTTATCTTTTTGAATTTTCAAAAATTTTCTTTTATTTTGCACCAAAGCATACAAACGTCATTGATACATACATTAGAGGGGTTTGGTTACAGAACTTTGCAAATAGTTTCTCCCCGGAATTCAAACGCCTAGTCGCCTTAAATCAAAACAGAGACGACAAGATAAATGGAATGAGCAAGATTACTAACTTAACATTCACAGGAACCTTGAACATTCTAAGGTAGAGCGTACACGTACACATCAATGCATATGATCGTAATGATTTATGATATATCCTTTCGTTTTTATTCAGGATGTAGCGCACCGAAGGAAATCCAGTTCGTCATTGATAACTCCTACTATGTCAGCCCAACGGAGTTCACCACGATAAAGGATACAGTAAAAGCAGTCATACAAGAATTCGATGTCGATACCAATCCAGTTAAAGTTGGAGTGATGTTTTACTCAGATAGTGTGAGTAATTTATATAATATACGTCTCAGAATGGTAAATGCTAGAAAATTTTGAAAACATATTACAAATTAAAACCCCAATGTCCGAAAAAAAATTATTCTGTGATATTCTAAGACCATTATATTTCTTTTCAATTAAAACAATTTCACCAAATGATTTGTAATAACCATTATTTTTCAAAATATTTTAGCTTGTGATAATACATTCGTCTTCTTGGGTGTCTTTATCACTGCTATGTAAATAGGTTAACATAATTTAAATAAAGAAATAAAATAAATGAATGAAAAATGTTGTGAGTCAGTTGATATGTATTATTCCATTGACGATGTGTTACAGGTGTACCACGCCTTCAAACCTTCTGATGGACTGGATAGTACAAGTATGTTAGCGGCAATCGATGCTTCTGCGTATGCCTCTGGAGCGCCCAACGCATACAAGGCATTTCAGGAATTGCCTGCAGCATTTACAGACCCTTGTGAGTGTACCCTATATATCGTTTGTAACAATTATTGTTTGTTTGAGATAAGGTTTAAAATGAAACTTGAAGTTCAACGTTCAGCAAGAAGCAGAAAGACTTGAAAGGAGTGGTATCGATATGGTGAACTTTTTTTGTACATACGTTTCTCTTAATCCAGTCATCAAATATATATATATATATATTATATTGTATTGTTTTATTTCCTTCATAAAATATTTTTCGCATTAAATTGTTGGCAATATGTCAACATTACATAAAAGACCGTGTTTTTTACAGAATGTTTTCAATAATTGGTTTAAGAGAAAAACATTGTTGAATTCAGTTCACCATATCGATACCTATCCTTTCGAATTATCATACTGTCTATAGGCTTTTTCAAAGATGCAATTTCAACCTTCCAAGTAAGTGGTACTTTGTAATGTCCTGTTATTTTTGTATTTTAAAAAGCTGCTCCCGATGTTGTTCTCTATTTCTCCAAAACTGTGAACCACGAAAAACCAGCCTTAACGCAATCGCTTGCAAAAGACCTAAAGGACAGTGGTGTGCATATTTTCGGGGTAGGTTATCTTTGAGGCAAAACGTAATATATAGTAATATAGCAGATGCTCTACATTTATCTTTTGCTCGGCTATTTATTGACCTACTAGTAGTCGCTTATTGGATTTGACGTGAATTATGCCCAAAAATGACATCGACTGGGCATTATACACTTTACTTTGATATGATTACAGATAAACATTGGGCTAACACCGCCAAAAGATGACGAGATGAAGTTCCTGGTGACCGAGTCATATCTAGACAACTTGTTTTACGTCAATGACTACCAAAGACTTCTAGATCAAGTAAACATAGAACTATTTCGGGATATCGCATGTCAAGGTGTGTTTAAATTGTCCAACATTATTTTTACTCTTGAAAATGTCCACATATCACGCTGTTCAGTGGAGAGTGTAACCGATTTCCATTTGATTTATGTCCAACCTTATTTTTACGCATAATACCTGGTAGAGTCCACGTTCTTGGTGTGAACAGTATTTTCAGATCTTTTATCCAAATCATTATTTCTAGACATTTTTGAAATATAATCATAAACTAAACATCAACATGGACAATGTAACTCCGATTTTCTTTTGTCTTATTCCTTTTTTGGATTATTTTGAGGCCAAATGCCAGGTTACACAATGCACGTCAACATTTTTAATTGCCCATCTCCGTTTCTTCTCCGTTGTCTAATTATTCATCTCATTCTAGCAAATAACTTCTGCTATAAGGGCTGCAAAAACAGTGGAGTATGTCTAAACTCACCGACGGGGTACAAATGTGACTGCCCCGCTGGATTTTGGGGACCCGATTGTAATGGTATGTACACTACTTCCTATTCTAGCCGGATCTTAAAAACATCGCCCCCTGTTTTTACTATCATAAAGATTATCTATAATCTTATTATCTATAATTGTGTTCTAAACTGTCGCTTGTTTATATGGTGACTATGCAGTTGGTTCATAATGATGACTGCCCAGTTGATTTTTACAGGATGTGATGCTAAAGCTGATGTTGTAATGGTTGTTGATCATTCTTCAAGCATTGGAGATGCAAATTTTGCACTCATGAGGTTCGCATAACTTTTGAAACATACGATTGTGCATACCTATAATACGCTAAATATTTGATTTTTGATTTTTATTTATTAAATTCATATAAACATATCCACATATCAGTGATAATTTAATAAACCTAAACATAAAAGCCTAGAAACTATTAATATCAAGGGGCAAAGATACGAGAGTATGGTGAAAATTCAATGTGACTGCCCTATATAAAGTCCGGGGCAAAAATCTCTGTGTTCTTTATCGGAAGTAGCTAGCAACCCCAAATGTGCCCTAAATAGCCATAAGTTACATGAGGTTCCATGTAACTCCTCTCATTGTCATTAGCCTAGAATAGGACGTCGCGATATCCAAGTGTGATATTTATACCAAACTTATAAAATACAAATAGGAATACTGTCTAAATTCTAGGACATTCCTCAGTGATTTGGCGACGAGATTTGCTGCTAGTGGACCAGGACATGTTCAGCTTGCTGTTGTAGACTTTAGTGACACTGTGAGTGTATCATTCTAATATATCAGAGTCAGCTAGCATTTGCGAATTCAACTGTTGTTGGTTGTCGGCTGGCGACTTGACCGTCATTCCGTGGCCAACTCGTATAAATATTTATTTTCTATAGATACGAATAATAGCAAGTTCTATGCATAATTAAATGAATTGGCAACATAATATCAATCAAATCGTGGTTAAGTCGTCAGCCGCCAGTCGGCAGTTGAATTCGTGAATGCTAGCATAGCCTAGCTTTTTATCCTACATATACAGTATGAGTACTTACATAGAGTGCAACATGTAGAAAAAATAGTCCCATGTGGCCTATATGTTTTAGGCGGCGGTTCATGGAAACCTCGATTTAAATGCCGATCCTGCAACAGTCGCTGGTATAGTAGGAGATGCTGCACAATATCCATATTTAACTGGAATGACAAATACTGCAGATGCATTGATGGTTGGGCGTGAGGTTATTCAAGACGGCAAAAGGTAAAGCCATAAATAAAATGCAGCCTCTAAGTCTGTCCTGATTCTTGTGTGATTTTATTTTTCTGTTTATAATATAGAAAATCTGATCCAACATTATAAGTACATTATGTAAAGATAACAAAAAATTCATACTCAAAACAAATGTAATTTTTGAAAATTATATAAATAACTTATTTGTGATTAAAGAGTATTTTTTATAATTATACGAAAATATATATCCTGTGAGAATTATTGTTCCAGAGCGGGAGTACCCAGTGTTCTGCTATTGATAACAGATGGAGAAAGTAACATGAATGAAAAACGAACACTCATTGAGGCCCAAACTAACCAGTATGAAGGCATCACAACCAAGGTTGTTCAGATTGGTGGCGGCGCATCTCTCGATGCTGAAAGTATTGCAATTGCATCTCCACCGAGTGCAGTAAATGTATTTAAAGTTGCTGATTTTGCTGGACTTGCAACTCCAGACCTCTTTACAGACATATCCCAAGCAACATGTGACCGTAAGTTTAAACTAAGATAAATCAACTAAATGATCACCTGGTCGTTATACCGTAGGGAATCAATCGAGATAGAAAATCAATGAAATGCTATATATTTTAGACATTGATTTATCTTACATGTTACAATCATTACTATCTTTCAAAACCAGTTGTCAGAGCACCATCCACTCTGTTCCTTCCTTAGAACAGAGAGAGTGGATACTGTCTTGAATTCGGCGTTCGGAGGATGGTTAATTGTGAGATTTTGCATATGGTTAAAAGTGGTTATTATCAGGCATTATTACATAGGGTTAATTCCAAGTTTAATCATCAATTAATCATCATTAATTTTACCAAGGAGAGGCATCAAAAGTTCAATTTCTGATAGGAAGCTAAATAAATCTAGTTTTTAGTTGGACCCCCCCCCCCCCCTCCCCCTCAAAACTAAATACAATGAAAGTTGATCGCGGACTTTTCACATGTTTTAGCGACTCAATTTGGACTTTCATGGGGGCAGTACTATAACTTATTTATAATTTCTTAAAACATGTGCCAACAACAACAGGCATAATATTCCATGTTACATGCATCTTGGTGAAGAAGGCATCTGGTAAAGTATCTATTTTTAAACCGTTCCAAGGCATTTCGAGTCGAAATTGCAAAAAAAATTAAATGTTGAAATTTGTCAGATAGCAAACTGAAATAGATTTGACCCCCTCCTCCAAACTAGATTTATTTAGTTTTCTATCAGACATTGATCTTTTGATGACTCCCCTAAGTGCTTATAAGCATGTCTTGAACATTCAAAAATAACAAAATTGACATTTCTTAAATCATTTCTTTCTATGGGTTTGAACATGATATGAATTAGCGTTTAAAAAGTCTGCTATACGTAACCTATAATCTGTAGTCTGTTTGCTACTTAAATTTTATTTTTCCAGCAATTGATATGTGCTCCAGTTCACCATGCCCAAGTGGAACGTGTATAGATATGATTGGAAACTATGTATGCAAGCCAGATACTCAATGTTCGTATTATATTTTATATAATATGTACATAACTTTTTTTTAAATTATGTTTAATTTATATCTATTTAATTAATATTTACATAAATATTAACTTATTTTTTATGTGTGTTTCACTTTACATTATCTAGAGGTCAGTCTGAAAGTATGTTGTTATTACTTATTTGTAGTTTGTGATGCGAAATTAGATATTGTGTTTGGAATTGACGTTTCCAATATGGACAGTGCCACAATGTCGGATGTTGCAACATTCGTTGATAACTTTTTCTCCAAATTTTACGTTACTGCTTCCAAAGTTAATGTTGGGCTTTTCAACTACCAAGCAAGTGGAAGTCAAACAGTGAGTGGCGTTTAACTTGAAACCAAAGAATGAAGAGAAACAATATCCAAGAATATACGCTCAATCTTTTCAGCATCTGAAAATATATTTTAGACATTTTATTTTATCCAATATCCGAGGTTTATATTGACGATTTGAGAAGTAGAAATGTTCAGACTGATAAGAATTAAAATGAAATGTCTATTCTTATTGCAAAATAATCTTACGATTCAAGGCATGATCATAAATACGACTTGTTGGACATTTTAGAAATGGCAATGTAAAATCGTGATATTTCTTCTTTATCATATCCTTTGTGTGTATTCAGATAATGTTGAAACTTAGCGATGGCACATCACTGAGTGCAGTATCGGCAGAACTTGGAAGTATGACTTTACCTGGTACAACAACAGACTCCGATTCGGGGGATGGTACGTATGCATGAAAATAATTGACTCAAATGAACAAAGATATATATGAACCGTATATGATAGGTATTCTTACACATGACAAGCGTAAAAAATGAGACATAAAGTGAGGTAATCAGTTAGATTTAATATAATACTTTACATCGTGGAATTTCTGCTGAAATGGGTATTTAATAGGGATCCAATTATAAAAAAACAGAATACCTATAAACTTTGCAACAACGTTGGAGGTTTTTCAATCTCAAAATCAAATTAATTAAATTAATCTTAATATAAAAAGGATTGCATCTAAATGATCATGAATGATGGGGATACCATCGCTAATCGAGTTTTATTTTGTAGCAATCAACTTTGCCCATAATACCATGTTCACATCTGGCAATGGAGATAGGACTGATGCCACAAACCTGTTGATCCTTATCTCTGATACACCAACGGTTGATTTTAATCAAGCTGTCCTCAATGCAGAATCAGCCAAATATGGAGGTAAAGAGCTATATCGGTTCCTGTCTATTAAAACATCAAACAAAATATCATGTAATTATCATTTCCAAACTGCTTTCTCATAAATGCATTATGATCATTTATCTCATTACATCTTTATTTTCATAAAGGGGTACACATCAAGGCTGTAGGCTTTGGATCGAAATATCTTGCTTTAAATAACCAGCTACAGAAGATTGTTAGCACTCAGCCAACAATCGCAGATAACTTGTGGGCAGTTGACACAGTGAGCAACCTTGACGATGGCCTCGCAACATATATTGCAGAGAGCAGCTGTGACAGTAAGATATTATCCATGTATGGGTATTAGATCCATAGGAAGTAGTGTTCTTTCTCAAATCGATATCTACTAAAGAGAAAATATAAATATGACAGACTACTACTGCTATCTTTCTGTTGGCCTTATCCCTTTGTAATTCAGAAAACCATTTAAAGGTACAGCTGGAAAATAGCATTCTGGTAAAAAATTGCTATACCTGCACATGTTATTTTCTGGTACAAAATTAAGTATGAAGGTATGTGTGTATTTCCTTCCTTTTTTCAGGAGTATCATTACATTGTCTACTTTTAGTAAACCTGGAAACAGGTCAATGGTAGCTCCTGTGTTGTCTGGAAACTTCAAAAGAAAATTTGGAAAAATAGAAAGCATAAAATATCAGAATTTCCAGGAGTTCCCATTGAACTCTTACCAGATTTACTAAAAGAAGACAATGTAATGATACTTTTCTGAAAAAAGCAAGGAAATCAACACATACCTTCATACTTTATAGTGTACCAGAAAATAACATGTGTGGGTATAGCAATTTTTCCCCAAAATGCTATTTTCCAGCTGAACCTTAAACCGTATAAGTTGATGGTTATTTATCGTTTCACATAGCCACAAAAAGTGATCTCATGTTATTTTTCTATCCATTCTTAAGTGCATAATGATACGACTAGCTATGATTCTGTTATAGAAGACTCCCAGTGTACCCAGGACAATGGTAACTCTGTCCAATGCCCTAATGGAGGGACCTGCATCGATGGAATCTTTGGCTTTCTCTGCCAATGTCCATCTGGAACATCTGGCCCTAATTGTTTAGGTATACGTTGCGCATTAAATGCACTTTATTCACATATACAAGGGATGGTTCAAAAGTAATGGTATAGACATACGAATTATTGGCCCATTTGATCTATATTTACTCTCAAGTTAGATCATCCAACTGTGTTTCGTGGATAATCATGCAGTTGGTGTGACTCATTTTATATTAAGACAATCAGATCTAGAATTATAATTATTTTCAACGTTTTGCATGGTCTATCATGCGTTATAGTATCTTATTCTTGTTTTCTAGACTTAAACATTGTCTTTTTAGGCTGCAAGGCAGAGTTGGATATTTATGTTTTACTCGATGATGTAACTAGTGGATTTGAAGCAGAGAAAAATTTGCTTCTTGAATTGGTGGATAGGCTCGATGTAACAGGTGGCGCTGTTAAGGTAAGTAATAACAATTTTATGCCACATTAGTGAACACTTCCTAGAGGTGGTTGAAAACATTTTGTATAGCATGAGTGTTCACAACATATTCCTAAATTAATGTACATTCCCTATTATGGTGTACTGAGGTCATGGTTTCAGTTTTATCAATTTATAGTTTTGTTGTAATACTTTTAATATATAATGTGTAATTACAGATGGGACTGGCAGTGTTTGGTAATACCGTTGCAGAACAATGGAAACTCTCAGCATACTCAACGAACGCTGATCTTAAGACAGCTATAAGCGCCTTAGTATACGGCGGACAGAGTAATAATCTTAAGATCTTCTAAGTCCGTTCCTTATGAAAAATAAATAATGCAAGTCCTAAGGTTCCAATATACCATTTGAAAGGTGAGAGTGTCAGGTTGTATGGTCTGGAATAGCTGAGTGACTTCATATTTGATATGCTGGTGCTTTTGGTACATAGAACCTCTGTTCAAGAAGACATTTTCGATGATGGTAGCTGAATTCAAAATGGCTGTCATTTTTCATGGCAACAATGTACTTTTTGAAAACATCAACATCAGTTATCGAAATTGATCCTACGTCGTTTCATAGGCTGAATTCAAAATGCCACTTTTTGGTAAAGCATAAATTTTTCTTCTAAGTCATATTTTGAGATTTTGAGCAGGTGCTTTACGGGCATGTGTCAGCTGTAGAGGGAATTTCCAAGATGGCTACTGAATTCAAAATCACCGCCATTTTCAGTCAAGAGAAAAAAGATTTTCTTGAGGCAAATGGGTCTAAATTGTGTAGGCTAATACCTTATGGTCATGGGACTTCTATATAAGAAGGCGTCAGATCACATTACGGTTAGAGACTAGGCCAAAGGGATACAGTAACACTCTCATTTTACCGTCTGGTTAATATTTATATCATTTAATGTTCAAAATTGCCCTTTTGCTCAACTAGTTCTGATTTCAGCGATTTTGTCATCAATCAACATGCACGTGTTCATTTTTACATAGACGTCTTTTTCATTTTAAGCCGCGGCAAACACAAATCTTGCCTTGGATCTAGCTTTATCGACTGCCTTCACTCCCGCCAGTGGTAACAGAGATGGTGTTCCTGATCTTATTCTACTTGTCACCGGAAATTCGGCTTCTCTCGTTCCAGCCACGATTAGCGCTGCACAGTACATACAGACTTCGGGTATAGATATCGCAGCCATAGGTAAGAAATAAGAACTTGTATGCTATACAGATTCAAATCTGTGTACCTTCTACCTACTCCGTCATATTTTTTAAGAATTGACCAAAAATAATTGGACTTGCATAGGACATCGAGATATTTTAAGCTTTCTGTTACTTCTACTTGTATTTTGAACAAGACTATTTTGCCGTGCTTTATCGTAGGATTTGCAAGTGCTCCACAAGCCGAGCTTCAGCAGATAGCTAGTGAGCCATCGTCAAGATTTGCCTTATTGGCAGCAAATACTGCAGAATTGGAAAGTGCACTATTTGCAGACCAAGTCATTCAAAATATCTGTGATCGTGAGTGCTTGTTACTTATTTTAAAATGTATACAGAAGCTGGCATAAAATTAAACAATAAATGTTAAATAATTTAATTGTGATGGAGATCTTTGAGTCACACGGTACACTTTGTCATCAAGTGCAAACCAATATACAAAAGAAAACTAGGTCAAGGTAAACTGCTTACACCCTTAGGGCTTGCAATTGACGGTAATTGGAAGCAAACTAATGTGTAAAGGCAGATTTAAATTTCTGCTCTTAATTTGCCTTAATGTTGTCCTGTTTCAGCTGATGACCAGTGTGACAGCTCACCGTGTGGAGGACAGAGCGTGTGTAAAGATGGCGTCTTTGGTTTCACGTGTAGCTGCATCCCACCAGCCATGGGAACACAATGTGATATATGTAAGTAAAGGAGATGTAATGTAATGCGTTTGGTCAGAGCTCTAAGACTCAAAGGATTATTAACACGTTCATACAAATAGAAAGTTGTAAAACAAAAAAAGCAACATAACTAAGAGAATCATATTACAAAACCCTTTGAACCTTTACTCAAAAAAATGCAAAAAGTCGAATATAAGAAGTAAATGACATCATGTGTACAAAAGGCAAAGAAATAATACCTGGTAAGAAAAATTTATAATGTAATATAAAGAAATAGTAAGATTAGCTTAAAATTCAAACGCCATAGACATGTCATAGATATGCAGGCCACGAATGTTCATTTCAAATTATCATTGGTATTATGTTATATCAGTGTGATTCATTTTCAGCGTGTGACACCCTATCTGATATAGTGTTTATCGTTGACTCCTCAGCCTCAGTCACTGAGGCAAATTTCAATATGGTTAGAAGCTATGTTGCTGACCTAGTTGGACAATTTGATATTGGCAATAGACATCAGGTAAATGTTAAACACAAGACAATCCAAGGTACCTTATCTTACAAGCAATGCCCATTTTATGACCGTACTTGGTATCATGGATTTTGAATTATGAGATGATAGTAATTAAAGATTTGTCTAAATCAAGACTTTGAATGAGGGCAATAGTCCGCTGGGTTACAAGACATGAATGCATTAAATCATACACAGTTCATTGAGTCATTTACTTTTCACACAGTGCACAGGATTATTTAAAGTTTCTCGAGAAAATGAAATTCTCGATGGAACCTTTTGCAAGGGTTTTTATTTGTAAGATTTGGCCCTTTGACATTTTGACCTGCATAAAGCACATACCTTGCTTGTCATCCTGATTACATTCTCAGTTTTTCACTAAACTGTCAACTCTAGCTCATGAGAATGATGAGAATAACTGATGTAATTTTATAAATCATGCCTCGCCTGGCAATGTGTGAATTTCTGCTATTATGTATATTAAGGTTGGTGTAATCCGAGTGGCTGATGGCGCAAAATACAGTGCTCATTTGAACACATATACGACCGCAAGTGCCCTTGAGAGCCAAGTGAACAGAATGACGTTTTCAAATAGTGTCAATACAAATCTGGCTGCTGGCCTCAACAGTCTGGTGTCCATAAATGGAGCTAGGGCTAACGCTCGTAAATTTGCCATCATACTGTCTGATGGTTATGACGATTCTGCTAATGTCAACAGCCTTGCAGCCGTTGAAGCTAAAAAGGCAACGGCGGACGGTAATGACCATATCGTTTTTAAAAATCAATATTCATATTTGATGTCTGCGCTTATAATCCCAATACAAAGAAATGTGATCATTCTTGTCTAGATCGCCCATTTTTACAATGGAATATCCAGACACATACTCCAGGATGAATTTTTTCTAGCACTTATACGTTTATATTGTACACCTATACTTACGTCGATGATCAAAAGTCATTTTTTCTTGTTTGTCTGATTAGGGTGGCACATAATGGTGGTCCGAATGCACTCAGGAATCACACAACAAGATGCTGAAAACGTCGCTTCTATTCCATACAGAGACTTTGTTGTAAAACATGAAGACTACAACACATTGGAGACACTCACCCCAATCTTGCTCGAGGGTCCCTGTGAAGGTAAGTGAGTGGTGTATGCAGTTTTGCAAATCATAATACATGGTCCTCTTTCTATATGGCTCTTCCTGGCAAAACTTATTGAAGAGTTGAAATTATGTTTTATTTAAATCAAGTACGCAATTTTGCAAATCATAATACATGGTCCTCTTTCTATATGGCTCTTCCTGGCAAAACTTATTGAAGAGTTGAAATTATGTTTTATTTAAATCAAGTACGTTATCGTGTAATATTATGCATCTTAGGAATTGCTAACCCCCTCTCACTTTTTTTTCAATGGATCTAATCTGTACATATAACTTCCTTATACCTCTATAATACTCATTCGGCCAAGGAAATACTACGAATGTGACAACTGATCCCTAGAGGACTATAATTCTAGACAACGAGTTTTCTTGAAAACGTGTAATTTAACCTCCCTAATTTTATGTTTACACCAGACGTCGCATACTATTTTGTTGTCATGAAAATAGAATATTTCTTTAATAGTTTAATATTGGGTTTACATTTACATTTAATTCATATTACAGATCAAGATCAATGCATCACGCTGAAAACAGCCACGACAAACCCGTGTGGAACCAACGGTGTGTGCACAGATGGTATTAACGGTGTTATCTGCTCGTGCCCACCAGGATTCGTTGGACCAAACTGCGATGACGGAATGAGTGAGATTTTCATAGAATATACAATATATAGAATTAACCATAATGCTGAGGCACTGTATTTTTCTTGACATGTATGGGGAGATGGGCCATCCTTCCATATATCAAATATTTATTACCGAACGATAAGAGACCGGGGCACAAAGTAAGAAATATCGCATTAGAGGCATCCTTGGTCAAAGGGTATTTCACTTCTTCCCATACCCTTGGTGCAGCCAGTTATACAATTGTTGGGACTGTGCAAACAAACTTTGAAATAGCCCTTAAATTACTTGTCAATCAAAACCATTGTAACAATCATGGGTCAAAATCAGCAAAGATTTTCCAAAGATGTTCACAGTGATAAACGGGCATCATGTGTTCACTAATGAGTTTATTGCCCCAGTCTGGATGCATTTCTCTATAAGAATCCAATTTATAAGTAACTTGCATTCCATTAGGGGTCATAAACAGAGGGAGGACAAAACATCCCCATTGAATTATGTATAGAACATTATGATTGGAGAAAGCAGAAAACGCATTTTCTGCGTTGACCACTAGGAAACTCAGCTTAATTATTACCCCTAAAATGAAACTAGTTGGGGTTAAGTAAAGGAGAAAAGGAAAGCATTAGAGGCATTTGCCATAATATCCTTTTAGTCGAAGCGAAGATTTATTTAGGTCACAGGTCTGTGTTAAGATCTAAATGTTTAACCGATGTTTTTTTCAGTTTGCAATGGCGAAGTGGACATTATGTTTGCCTTCGATTATGCAGCAGGAATATCTAAAAGCGACTATGAAAAGTATTTCGACTTCGTTTATGGTGTCACCGAAAATGTGGACATTAACAACGATCTTGTGAGGGTGGGGATAGTAAACTACAGAGGGTGAGTTGGTTTTATAAGCATGATCATTTCATCATTATTTTGATTATTATAAAAAAAAGTATGATTAAAAAGACTCAAATTCTGCACCCTTGTTTTGGCACCATGTTCAGTCTGTCGGGTATAGTTGTAGTTTTTAATAAACCGTTCACATTTATCTTGAAATGGGAAAGTACGTGCCATCAATGTTGATATATCCCCTCCCTTTTTTGCCACAACGCCCTGCTGTTGAAAGAGAGTATTGTACTGAGGGGGTGAGTTGTTGATTATCATGATGACCATTAGAGTCCAGTAGCGTTGCTACAGCCTTCTCAAACGGGGGTCCTAGTAAAATGCCCTTTACCATTTCGTCCTCATCTGCTCAGGAACCCCTCCTTTATATGTTTCACCATCCTTCCTGTGAACAACTAGGAACAATACGTTTCCTCAATGTATTTTCCATTGTGCGTATATGTCTTTAGGGCGAATGTTGTGACTACAGTAGTTGACGCCACAGCATTTGTAAGCGACAAGCAAGGCCTTCTCAAAGAAATCAATTCAAAGAAAGTCAACTCATATGGATCTACTTCGGGTCCAACAAACTCAATCGCAGCTGTGGAAGCAGCTACCACGTTCTTTGCTGCCAACAGCCGCGCCGGTGTTGCAAAATTACTCTGTATTATAACAGATGGTGAAACCAGTGCGACTTATTGGAATTCTCAGAGCATTAGCAGTGCAAAGCAGAATGACATCACAATCATGTGTAAGCAATTCAGTTCCTTTAATTCTTTTGCATGTTAAGTAAATATGGAAAAATCGAATGGATTCGAAATGAAAGTACATGTACATTCAACTACAGTAGAGAAAATTGAGGTAATTCGTCGTTCTTCAACGTGTGCTTTTTTTACCACCCTGATTTCAGTTTGTTCATCTCGATCATATATTATGCACATTGTTAACTGGATCGTAACTTGAATTGTCCCTCATGTATGGACTTGGTTCCATAATTATCTCTGTTTTATATCTAGCCTTTGGCGTTGGGAGTGCTGTCAATACAATGAAGCTGTCCATTCTGGCCAGTGACCCGAAAGACAACGAATTTTCCTCAGGTGACTACAATAATGTCACCAACAATATTGCCAGCTTTTCTGATAGAGTCTGCCAAGGTAAGACACGGTGTGCGGCGTGTGCCCACATTCCTATTACAACATCTATCTGCCAACATGGTGTATTTGTTTTCTTAAAGTTGTAATTAGATACATTCACGATATATGGACAATTTGAACTATATTGTCGGATCATATGTTTCATTTCAATTGTTGTTTAAAATACTCAATCTATGAACAAATACTTGAATATATTATTTATATTATATTATTTAGACCCAGATGACTGTGTTCGAAGCGACGGTTCTCCATCATGCGGTAACGGTGGCACCTGTACTGATAAGTTCAACACAATGACATGTGACTGTCCTGCCGGTTTCTCAGGACCTAACTGTCTTAGGGGTAGGTTCTACATCGTGTTTTCGTGAGTGCAATCCTGAATTTCTGTCATAATTCAGGGTTTCTTAAGATCATGTGTTTTTCCCTTTGAATGTAAAATGCTAGTTGTATTTTATAGAATGCAGTGGTGAAGCTGATATTTTGTTCATCCTGGATGCCAATTCAGTCAGAGATCGAATAGAGATTGTGGACTATATCAAATGCGTTGTAGGTAAGGAAGTATAAATATCAATACAAAATATTATCCCGGAGATTATGGTCATCTTCATGTATGGACCATTCTAGCCCTGGTGGAGTATGTACTAATAAAGAAACGATATGTAGGTTACATTAATGGCTAAAACTGAATATTGATGTTAATTTTTGAAGATTTTAGTGACCTCGCTTCCTTACTTTCATTTGAGTAGTTTGGTCAAAATTTTAAACATGTACCTCTCAATGATCGTTTGCATATTATCCAGATGAGGTTGCCCTCAGTGATACAGCAAGTGGCAAGACAGGGCATCAGATCGCCCTCATCGCTTATGGTGTTAAAGCATCTGACCCAGTACTTCTCTTGGACTATTCTGAGAATAACATAGATATCAAATCGAAGGCAGAGGACTTGCTTCTTCTGACGCCGGGAACACAGTCGGATATCGAAAAGGCCTTTACTTTGGCCCAAACGACTGTGAGTCAAGATAACGCATTTATTTGATAATCAAGTAGTTTTCATTCTCGTGATCGTTATTTCATTCAGTACAGATTCGCGGTTTGTTTTACAGTAATTAGTGATAATTATGTATACATAAGCATAGTGTCATATTTTGTAATTTTATTTAATTTAATGATTTATGTATTTGAAGGCTAAACAGAGGTCTGGTTGATTTTATAACTTCTCTTTATATGTTTTCCTGTTTAGATTAATGGCTCCCCTCGTGCTGTATCCAAGGTTGTGTTCTTGCTCATGGATTCTGTCGAGTCCAACGGAAAAGGTATAAAATTCAGTTTAAAAATTTTGAATCTTCGATCTTATCTCATGGATTCTGTCGAGTCCAACGGAAAGGGTACAAAATTCACTTTAAAAATTTTGAATCTTCTTATCTCATGGATTCTGTCAAGTCCAACGGAAAAAGTATAAAATTCACTTTAAAAATTTTAAATCTTCTTATCTCATGGATTCTGTCGAGTCCAATGGGAAAGGTATAAATTCACATTAAAAATTCTGAATCGTTGCATGGTAATTCTGTAGAGTCCAACGGAAAAGGTATAAATTCACTTTAAAAATTTTAAATCTTCTTATCTCATGGATTCTGTCGAGTCCAATGTGAAAGGTATAAATTCACATTAAAAATTCTGAATCGTTGCATGGTAATTCTGTAGAGTCCAACGGAAAAGGTATAAATTCACTTTAAAAATCTTGAATCTTGCAAAACTTCTTCTCATGGATTCTGTTGAGTTCAAAGGAAGAGGTATGAAATTCACTTTAAAAAATTTTGAATCTTCTCGTGGATTCTGCCGAGTCCAATGGAAAAAGTAAAAAATTCACATTAAAAATTTTGAATCTTCTCATGGATTCTGCCGAGTCCAATGGAAAAAGTAAAAAATTCACATTAAAAATTTTGAATCTTCTTGTCTCATGGATTCTGTATAGTCAAACGGAAAATGTATAAAAATTAAACTTTGAATTTTGTAAAACTTCTTACATGTATCTCGTGGATTCTGTCGAATCCAACGGAAAGAGTATCTATTGTTAACAAAAACATATCTCAATGTTCTTGTTTTTGCTTTGACTAATATAGACACGGATGCGATGCAGACATTATCAACCACTATGTTCTACGATAACTACCACTTCGTCTACGTTGTCAATACACAAACTACAGTAAGTTTCTAACTTCACTGTTTTTATATCACCACCACGTGTGAACATGTGTGAACATTTTGCCAAAATGAGACAATACTTCTCTACCACTTCTAAGTTGCTCCTTTTATGACGTAATGTTCAAAATGAAGATTAATTTGATGAAACATGTTTTGTTAAGTAGCATTTGCACTTGGAGGGTTGCTGTTTTACTATATGTAATATATTTTAAAGGTGGACGCTGCTGTCAGTGACCAGGCTCTTGCCATAGCCACCCCTCTACCCAGTGGTGAGGCAACGTCCTTTGAGTTGGAAGGAAACATGGGACTTGTTAATTGGACATCGCATCACATATGTGGAGGTATGTGCATTGTTATATGTGATATCTGTGCCTTTTACCTTTCACCCAAAATAACCTCTCTATCTGATCAAAGCTTGTATTCGCGAATGCAACTTTCTGCTGTCGACTACTGGATTAAACTACAGTTTTATGACCAACTCGTTTAAATGTGAATTGAATAGTATACAAATAGTGACTGCCATTGAGGGAAATAGTGCAAAATATTTTTCCCGAGGGAATATCCTGTCCTGGGAAGATAAAACATACTAATGCCTGGTCACATGACCTAACTGGTGATTAGTACATTTCATCTTCCCTGATAGCAGGATTTAGGACTTTCTAGGGAATAAGTTCATCTATTTCATATCATGTGGCCATGAATAAGCGAATGAGCATCTAGAATACATATGGGGTATATAATAATGGCAGGTACTATTCATATTTAAATGAGTTAAGTGTATTTGATTGAACAATTTGCTTATGGTAATCCCAATCAAGTTGGAAAGTGCAATAAAATTTGAATTATAAGCCCTGTCACTGTGATGAGTAATTATTTATGATAGACAAAAACGATTGTGATGGGAACGCTTGTCAGAACGGTGGAACGTGCCGGGATCTATGGATGCACTATTCGTGTGACTGCCCACCTAATACTAACCAACCGCATTGTGACGCCAGCCCACCAGATGGTAAGTGACCGTATATGCTCAAGTTTATGCTGAAAAACGTATCATTATTTTGCTAATGTTTTGACCCATTTTGATACAATGTTGCTTTAATCACAATCAGAGACAATTTAAGATTTATGAAGCTAAAAACAAGTTCAATCTGAATTTTTATGAACTAATATTATCATGAAATAATCCTTTCTTAGGATGTCAAATTGTGATTGATTTGATCTACCTGGTTGACGAGTCATCGAGTGTTCCATGGGGGCCAAACAACGCTGTAAACCCAGCACCAGTTACCGAAAACTTTGAATTTATCAAACAGTTCATTAACACTCTAAATGCCGAACTACCTATAACAAGTGGAAACACACAAGTTGCACTTACCAGATTCTCGTAAGCTTGACCGGAAGGTCTTTTTATATATTTTCTCATTCCTTTAATTGAAAAATGGTCAGTAAAGCAAGATATAAGAATAGGAAATACTTGCAGTAACTATCAACAGAGGATTTGAAGTCGTAAAAAATATATGAAAGTCTTTATGTTTCAGAACTGTTGGAAGGGCATTAAGTAAATTGAACGCATTTACCACCAACCAAGCAGTTGAGGATTATGTCAGTTCATTAAAACTTAGTGGGGGAGGAACCAACACGTTTGATGGTTATGTTAAGGTGCGTGATATGCCGTATATTGATGCGTAGAACCAGAGAACAACTCGACATCCATAGTTGACACACTATCAAGTAACCAAAACGATCGTAACCAAAACGATTTTTAAAATCAAAATACAAGATCAATATTGCATTTAAGTCTTTTTTGTTCCTACCTCTCTAATTACGTATATTTTATTTAGGTCCAAAGTGACGTCATGGTTGATGCAGCTGGCTACCGGAAATCAACTGGCGTTGACTGCGTTCTAATTATGGTAACTGACGGTGCGTCTAAAGTACCAGGGCACGTTGACGAGGCTCAAAAGATCAGAATAGCAGGATGTCTCATCATTACTATTGGCGTTTTCCTACAAACTGATGCTGAGGTACACTCCACTCCACGTGCCCATCGTGGAGTCAAATATAACTAGTACTGTAGTCTCTGAGATCCTTTACAACTAGACAACTCATGTCTGGACAAAGAAAATAGATGTACCTTTTACCAAAGTTGAAGTTTATATTCTGTGAAACTTTGCCAAATACCAATTTATCTTTATTTATCAATGCAACCACCTTATTATTAGCTTAATGAATCAATTACCTCTAGCTATTAATAGTATATTGTATATAGTAATAGTGTATGGCATATTCAATATTGGTATATTCAGTATACGATACATTCAATATAGGGGTTATGCACTGGGAGGTTTTAGATACAGGGAATATCCAGAGGGATATTTTTTGTGTCAAGACCGACTGTGCATAACTGTTGTATAAGCATGCAACCGCCCCGGGAATTCCCGACATAACTATTTCAGCCAGAGTTCTCCCTTAGTATCCACGTACTCCTTCAGTAGTTGAACTACAAACGAGTTTTCTTTTGGTGTGAATGTTTTCTATGTTTAGTAAGAATTCACCCACATTATTTGTTTTAATACTTTTTCACTCCGTTCGTCTGCCAATCTTTTGTTTGGTTCAGTGTTGAAGTTATGACGGGAACTCCCGGGAAATATGGCGGGATATATAGCCATCGTATGTCCCGGAGAATGATTTATATCCTGAATCCTCGTTGGAGCGGGACATTTGAAATATATTCACCTTGATATGGAATATATTCCCGGTAAATATTACCCTAAAACATCATCAGGTATGGAATACTCAATGTTATTTGGCATGTTCAATTATAGAGAACTGAAATCAAGATGCAAGCGTCAGATCCTTCCACCGATTTCTATGACGTGGCATATTGGGATGGACTGCCTGCTATTGCTCTAGAGATTCTTAAACGATTTTGTGGAGGTATGTAAAATTTATTACCATTATATTGCTCATGGGGAGCATTCTACACGTTCCAATCCAATCCGTTCCATCCAATCCTTACCATCCGAAAACAAATCCAATGTTATGATATGAAATTTGATGCTCATAGTAGGAATCGAACCAGGAAACTTTCAATCTTTCCCATCTTACATCAATATCTCTAATACGTTATCACTTTGTGTTTCAAGATGGCTTTTGAGCATTCCAAAGTTTCTTATGCATACATTTTCTTCTCATATCTTTACATCTGCTTCATGTGTTTCCTACTTGAAGAGTACATTTATTTCCAGATCCTGATCCCTGCGACCCCTCACCCTGCCTTAATTCAGGAGTCTGTACTGCAAAGTCTGGCGCTGCCTTCTGCAGTTGCCAAACTGGCTTTGTTGGACAGCATTGTGAAATAGGTATGTATTCCAAATTCAGTACCAAACGATTCATATTGCACAAAAAATGGGACAACGTCTTCGTATTAACATATTTTAAACTCTTAAAAACATGTTTATTCATAACATTTACAGTGGTTGATTTATAAGATCAATAGTGTTAAATATTACATACAAGACGATACACGTTATCACCACTGTTATAGCAAATTATGGTGACTCTATGGAATCGCCCATTTGTTCCTCTGTTTGTCCGTTCGTCTGTCCGTATTTGTCTACCCGGCCGACTCTGGTCCGTCAACTATATGACATTATCATTCCTTCGGGTTGATGATTCGCAGTGATAATTTTTCTTTAATTTCACACAAGTAGCCCAAGTACATGTATATCACTATATTTGCAGCGGGCTCTGTATCCGCCAATGTCGTGGTTATGCTTGATGGATCTAGCAGTGTAAGTGGTGCAGATTTTGTACTACAGACGCAGTATGTCAGTGAACTAATTGAGAGAATGGACACTCTCTCCGACGTCTCCCTTGGTATGATGATGTATGATAACGCAGTTAACGTAAGTGACGTCTTTGAACAGACATACATAATAAAGATAGTCTATATCTGAATACTTGATCAATAATCTTTATCTATCAACAGATGAGATATTGGCGCCCATGTTTCAAAAAGATGCATTTCACACTAAAAGACATATAGCGATCAGGCAGCTGATCCATTCCCTTCCAGTTATTTTCGTGTTGAAATTATTGACAGAGTGCGCAAGTTATGATGTATCTATTACTAGGTGATAGCGACGGTTGGGCAATACACAACCAAACTGGAGAACCAAGCTGTCGTTGGCACTGTCGTACAAAAGGCAGCACAGGGTGGAAAATTGGCAGAGGCTCTTAATTACATACCAGCTAACAACATATTCCCTTCTAATGGAAAGCAAAACTTGCTCATATTATTAACATCTGATACATCTGTGAGCACAGCTGATTTCACAGCTATAACCACAGCTGCTACGGCTGTGATGGACTCTGGGGTATCTATTATGACAATAGCAGTTGGGCCACAATCTCCTTCTGGTACGTAAAGACATGTTATAAATTTGTTCTGTTGGAGGATACGCTCTCTTATATTATATGATATTATGTACGAATTTATGAATGAACAATAAACAGTATGATATGTTATGTCATAATGTTTGACAAATGAAATAGACCACAAAATGCAACTACTGCAGTAAAACCTAATGCCACTGGGATCAGCCAAAAAATGTTTCGATTGGTAGCCATTCATATTTCGATGTATTGATATGGTAGTCTATGGTCGATTAAAAATGGGATCAAAAATGCGTTCACATTGAGAGGTGTTCAGATTACAAAGGTGTTCAGATATATAGATTTTGCTGTAGTTTGTTTAATCATATTAGAATCGTAATTAAGACTTCACACTATATGTTGATCTGCTGAATTTGACAATAACCAGTATCCACGGCTCATATACTAATCCATAAATGATATAATCTCGGTCTTAATCGTAACTAATTATATTGTAAAGTCATTTGGATTATTCCATTTCAATTTAAGGTCAAAATTTCTTGAACCTAATCACAACCAACCCAGCAAAACAACTGTTTGAGAAAACCTCCTGGAGCGAAATACCGGACGTGTACTCGGCAGCTTCACATGTTCTGATTGAGGGTAAGTTCAAAAAGATTGTAGTGTTAATCTCACATTTTTGATTCTTAATGTTCCTTGAGGTTTAACAATTTTCCAAGATACTGTAAAACCTATTTTCTAAATGAGATCATTATTTTGCCAAAGTATATTTCCTCTGATTTCTGAGTCCTCTGGCCTATTCCATAGACAGTTAAGAGAATAGAGATCAAGTTTAAAATGTCTACAGCCATTTATCTCTTGTCCCATTATTGGTATTTAATATGTATCCATTAAACATGGCTGCTGCCTTGACAACAAGTCATCATGGTTATTGTTTTAAGTGATTAAGTGAAATCCCAAATTGTGTTATAGCTGAGACCACGTGTCCTGCCACAACTACGTGTACTGTAGGCCAGACCTGTACACCGGGAATCAACTACTACAGATGTCTGTAATTTGAGGTAAGTAGAGGTACACCCTCCCACCTCACACATACATGAACTTTGCGATGGAAGTCGATGTCTTAAACCCTGGTTATATTTTGCGACTTTAACACATTCACCATGTTATTCCTGACCTTATACAATCGAAAAATATAGGAATTAAAACATAAACAGAGTTTACCATCTCGTAAAACTGGGAACTTAGTTTTGCCAGAATTATTAGGGGGAGTGAAGCTATACAAAAAGATGATGTCTTTAGTAAACGGTGTAACTCTATTCATCAATAATGGCTTGTCTGTAGATTTTCATCTTCCAAAGCCAGTATCCAAATTAATTCCAAAATAATTTTTATTTTTTAGGGCAACTGAACAAAACTGAAAAATTGATGACGACCGACCGATAACCATATAAGCCTACACAGTCACTTTTCATATGTAGACATTTTACCATTAAGAGAAAAAATGTGTAATTGATGAAGGTATGAAAAAGACATTAAAGATGTCAGCTGGACACTACACATACATGAATGAAAATCCCAAATTATAAGAACAATTTGTGATTCCTTTTTGGAAGACCTACCTAGTATTTACCTATAAAACCTTTAAAGAAACCCTTGTTATTCTATACCATAGTACCCAACAGTTGGTAATTTGATTGTAAGCAGAAACGGAATCAGGGTTATTTGGAAAATAAGTCCTTCATGTCATTTTGGGGTTCTGGGATTTATCAGTGAAACGATGACGTCTGAGGACAGAAAACCCATCAATGATGGAAATCAGAAAATCATTGGACATTTAGCAAAATGTTGCCTAGCGTGTTTTGGTCAACTCTTACCTTCATCGTACAGTGGTTGACCAGGTGAACGAATTTTTATTTATTTTTATCCTACGGAATGGATTAAGCTAGAAACAGGAAATATGGGAGAGTGCAATTACTTGTCAATGTCTTTGTAGCTATGAATATATAGTCTATCGTGACTGATGTTTTTTCCTTTCTTATAAATAAATCTTGAGCAAATCACACTAGACTCTTATGTTATCACTTGATTATAATTAATCACAAATTCCTGATTTGTTACATGTATGTCACCACCAAACGTGTTGATGTATTCTTATAGTCTCTAACTCTTTTGTATTGTTTAGACTGCCTTCAAAGAATGGGTATCGAAATGGCGAACTTTTTGAACACACGTTTCTCTTAAACCAGTCATCAAAGATTTCTGAAAATCTTACAAATTGTCAATTTATTGGCCATCTTTTGAATGGTAACAATATAATTTGAAATATATATACATACTTTCATCTATATTGTTTTAAAAAACACATCAAACACTTGTTTTGTTCTTGGTATCATGTTTCCAGAGTGAAATGAAACATCTTTCCGAACCTCATTGGAACAAAACGACATAAACACATGTTTAGGTCTCTCAATATTGTAATTGTACAAACGAAATTTTGGTTGATTTTAAAAAAGTATCTTGTTAATGAAATAAAAGTTTTTTCTTGATTTTTATCTATTTTGGGGGGATTTTGTTTTAATTTTTTGAATACTTTTTTAAAATCAACCAAAAATTCCTTTGTATAACTTTAATATTGAGAGGTCTAAAAACATGTTGTATATGCTATTTTGTTCCAACAAGGTTCGGAAAAACACTTTATTTCATTCTCAAGAATTGGTAGAAAGGAGCGGAAACAATTGCACTAAAAAAATTTAAAAATTTAACAAAAACAGTTATATAAAATATTTCTAAATAATTTTCGCATTAAATTGTTGTCAATCAGTCAACATTACAGTAAATACCATGTTTTTTACAGAATGTTTTCAATGATTGGTTTAAGAGGAAAACATTGTTGAATTCAGTTCTCCATATTGATACCAATCCTTTCAAAAAGTTCTAAGAAGTTCAAATTTCGATTTGAGATTCGACCTTCCTGAGGTCAAAAATATATTTTTCATTTACAAGATCTCGGAAGTTCAAATCTGACTTTAGATTTAAACTCACAATATCGTGAGCAACTAGGTGGTGGCATTTTGTCATGTTAATCCCTTGTTTACAAAATGAACCACTTTTATGCAGAAGTTAGATCTTTTTGTGCCTAAAATTAGCATCACGTCAGGATTAAGGATCTAGAGGTCCTCGAAATTCTGGCATTATTTTCTGAAATACTCGAGAGAGATACAGAAAGTTACAAGGAATTCAAGATAAAATTTGTAGCAGTAAAATATGTATAATGCACATGTAAAAGCAATTTGCATTGTCATATTTGCATTATTGACAATGTTTCGCACATACTTATTTGTTAAACTGGGGCTTATCCTGGAGTTACTGACAAGGGTGTTGGCACTGGTTGGGGTAGGGAAGACCACTCGCAGGTTTCCCTCATCCATTGCTGACTGGAGCAGCTATCCCATGACTCGCTTGTTCGGTTATCTGGTTGCCAACTCTTCCAAGGGACTAGATAGAGAAAATGAAAAAGATAATGTCTAATACGAGAATCTTTAAGAAAAAATATTTTTTGAATTTCTCAACCAAAATATACTTTTTTATTATTTACTTTTTATTTCAGAAAAGAAACATGTTAAGCAGTCACAAATTACAATACAGTTACATGGAATACTTACATTTGCATTACAGTTTTGGTTTCAATTTTGTTTAAGAATTATATACCTTTTCCACAGTATCATTTGTTTAATTTTACTTCCATGATTCTCCACTTATCACCCCTGCCAACTCGTTTATCCATAATGAAATATTCCTTCACATTACTTATAAAATCTTTAAGTGTTGGCTTTAGCATAGAATATTTGCACAAATAAACATATCTTTTAAAAATACATAGCATATTATTTAGGATGATTGTTTTATCATTTATACTCTCAGGTCCTATCAATACATTTTGTTTAGTACATAGCATTGTGATACTCATAGTATCTTTCTGTTTCACCTGAAACATCTGGAAAGAAACGAGATGTCATGGTTATCATGTTTACCCGTATCCTCGCCCGTATCAATCATGAAAGTGTCGAAAAACCTACTTGGGAGAAAAGATGAGTTCCATTGGTTTGTGTGTACTATATTTTCAACTAGTATTCTCTTCATCAAAAAAGATTCTCTTAAACTTCCATAACAAACAACGTAGTCCAATCTATTCCTCTGAGTGTTACGCCAGTAGTAAGCCATCTATTGACAGTCCTAAAAAAGATCGGTTATTCCTTTACGCCGAACTGATAGACACTGACATACTATTTTCGTGACCAGTGTTTGGCATGAATGTTTTTAAAAATGTGATGAGTGATGACATTTTATCATGTGTAGCTGACTGAGTCACACCAGCCTCGTGGAAAACAGAGCACTATCTCGACCATTGAGATTTTTATAACTTTTGTTTTGAAACAAACCGTCAAAAACGTTAAAAATGGAGGAAATTTTGTTACGTCCAACATTGGTCGATTAAGTTTGAGTGTCAACATGGCCATTTTGTTAACCCTACTATCACACCAAACTAGTTCTCACAATCGTAAAATCTGACTATGTAAAACATGTTGGAATTCCAATTTCAACAAATAACAATATCTCTGATTATGTACAAGATAAATGCAAGAAGGGCAAATTACAATACAATGCGCTTCTCGGTATTGGAAGTGGTTGTGGAGGCCTAGTCCCAACATCCGCATGTCAAATATACAAAACGTACTCCATTCCTACAATGACATACGGTGCTCAAATTATTAACTACCAACAGAAAGACATAGATGTTTTAGAGAAAACACAGAGAGAAATAGGGCGTAGAATCCAGTCTCTACCTCACTCAGCTAGTATCCCCGTTTCGACTTTACCCATCGGCCTCATGGATGTTGAATATTATATTGCCTTCCTAAGGATGATGTTTCTTTGGAGTTTATTGCAACTCCCTAGCGCAAACATATATAAATGTCTGTTCATCACAAGATTTGTAAAAATGTTGCATATTAATAGGGGAGGTTGTACTTTTTCGCCAATCGAGCGCATGCTACAAACATCACGAAAATACAACTTGAATAACCATATTTTAAATATGCTATACTGTAACACTATTATTCCCAAAAGTAGGTGGAAGAACATTGTGTTCACTCAAATAACAAAGGTTCAAATGCAAGCGACATTCTTTAAATCGATCATGTACAAGGGACTAGGCTATTTTAGAATGGGTAATTTCGAGGTACTGAGGCCAGTTATATGGTGGAATGTTGCAAGACGTTTTCCTGTTGCTTTTAATGGGTGCAAAATAATGGTGAAACTACTTATGGATGAACATTCGCTTAACTCCAAATATAGGGGTAGCGAGAATAAAACACTGTCATGTTTATTGTGCGACACCTACGAAAAAGAAGATGTGGAGCATTTTTTACTTAAATGCCCTTCAAATGAATATGTCATATTCAGAGAACAACTTAATACTCATTGTTATGAATGGGATATCCAAATGAATGTTAAAAACCTCCTTGGCATTGGTACGGAAGAATGGCATTTTACAAACGAACAAACACTTGAGTGTCTAAAAGATATTGCACGTATAGTCATGCAACAATATACGTGCCGTCAGCGATATCTAACAAACGTATACACTTAATGTAACTTCACTCAGTGGAGGAGGGTGGCCCTCAAGGGAGGTACATGAGCCGACCAGGGGACTATCCTCTCTCCCTGAAATTAAGTTAATATCTAACTATTATGGATGAACAGTCCTAAACTTGGGGAAGGTACAATAATAAGCAATGCTTTCTTGTTCTTTTTGTTGATTGGTAGTTGCAACGTCAACGCGGCAGCCTGACGTTTTTGCAACAAACGATTGTGTCTCTTAAGCAGCCTGTACATTTTTGGTTTTACTCGCATATTTGTATTTATATTTATGTACATTTACTTTACATACTAATTTAGAATTGCACCATATAGCAACACCACCAACCTCTAATTAACATAAATTGTATATTTATTTTACTAGCCTACAACATATTGAAAGCATCTATACTTTCATACAGTACTGCAGTACCGACCTTGGGGAAGGTACGATGATATATGCTATGTCTTCTTTTTAATTTTATAGAAAATGCAGCTTCATAATGTCATTTTTTGATTAATCTCAAGAGTGTTAGGTAACAGGTCGATTTAGGCCTACGGCGTTCGTCTACGCGGTAGCTAGGCGTCGTCGTTGGTTCAAAAAAAAACCAAAACAAACAACAAAGCAATGAGCGTTTGTAAAATATAGTTACTTTTTTATAATTACGTTACAATTAGGTGTTAGGCCAATCTTGGTCGGCGGCGTGCGTCTACGCGGTAGCTAGGCGTCGTCGTCAGTTAAAAAGCAACGACATTGTTTGTTTGTAAATAGTGATTATTTTCAATTGCAATTTAACATAATTTGTATACATGTATCTCCTTTATATAAAGGGCAATAAATATATACATACATACATACATACACTACGTTCTCAAAAACGGGCTTCAACTGTGTACGAACGGACTGGACCTACTAAGAACCGTTTGGGATCTATTAACAAACTTCATCGAACGTACTCGAACGGGTAGGTCCTCTAGAACTTAGACAATGCTCAAAATGTTCTCGTGGTCGTCACGTTCTACAATTAGAACGAGTGACAACGTACTAACGACGAGCTGGACGTACTACGAACGGAACCGTCGTACTTCAATCCTACGAGGGACGTTTTAACAACGAGTTGAATTGTCTGAGGACGTGGTGAGAACGAGGTGGAACTAATTGCAAACGGGTTTAAACTGATTGAGAACGTATTTAACACTGCTTATGAACGAGTTAGCAAAATTATAGCTATCACACCAAACAAGTTGCCACTGCGTTCTTCAAAACTGTGTGCGAACGGAATGAACGTAGCTGCAACTTTCTAAGGTCTATTTACGAACTTTATGATCGTTCTCAGACGGGAATGTGATTTTAGAATTTTGAATCGATTCAAAATTCGATGGCGACCATAACGTTCTGTAAACAGGTCATGTTGACCTTCTAGACTAAGGGACGCGTTCTACTACGTTGCACACCGACGTGGTGCGACCTGAACGAACTGCGAACGAGAAGGACGTATTGAAGACTGTTTAAGAACGAAGAAGCTAATTATTTCAGACACATTTCCCGACCACAGCCAGATTGAGCCCGTTTTACGACGTTTTCGTAGGACTGGCAAGAACGGGTAAGAACGAGTTTGGTGTGATAGGGGGGTAACATACCAGAATACACTCTAAAAAAAGTTTGCTTATAAAATTTGGCATACGTAAACTTGAAACATTTTGTGACACTCAAATTTTTTTATTTGGAAATTTAAGTAATATTGACGAAAAACAAGCAATTTTAAAATATTCATGTTTCAACAAAATTCGACGAAAATTTCCAGTTTTGCAGTTTTAAAGAGAGTTTAAAACATTTTGATTACATTTTGATTACAAACTTATTGCATTACCTATGGTTTGTCTGCTCTCTTAAGATATTGTTACTATGTGTTGGAGATGTTTAACTCCTAAACAGGAATATAATGTAAGTGTGGTTTTATTATTGTTTAAGAGTGAAGACCCCTTTTAATACTTTCAAGATGCATGTATCATATGATTTGTTGGCTTTAAGTCTAAAATGGTTTATCAGGGCACTGAAACACATCCCTGCTTGGATTTCTATCCCATCCTACCACTACAGCATTTCCTACTGTCTCACTCGATTAAAAAATCCTTTCCAGTAGCTAGCATCTCATAAAATCTCAAGAAATTGGATATTTTTCTACAACACATCAAAGTAGGCGACAAAATTGTGTGTGGGGTACTATACTATTGATGGAAACGTAATTTGACTTTAATTCCAATACCTCCAAATTTTCTCAATTTTTTTCCTCAGTTACAATAGGTCGAAAATTGATGATAAATTTGATGACTTTTTGAAAATCGACATTCCCATGTTAACCAATGGGAAATGGTAGGTTTGTCGCAAGTCATATGACAGAATATCCATCCATCCGAGTCCTTGCAAAAAATACGAGTTAGGCAGGCAATTGAATTTGCTAACTTTATTTAACAAAAAATTGATATGTTTCTTCAGGTTCAACAAAGTTATAGGGCTTTAAAGTCAAAATTGTTTTTCAAAAAACCTCTCCCATTGAAATAACACAGGAAGCGAAAAAGTATTTTCAAAAATGAATTTGAAGCGCTGTAACTTTAATATTCATCAAATAAACTAAACACTTAGTGTTCAAAAAAGTTAGACAATTCAATTTTCTATATAAAAATATTTTTTGCTGAATCTTTTACTGAAAAGATATCCTGATTTCTAATTTGCCCCGAACCCTCCATTTCCCATTGGATTACATGGGAATGACGATTTTCAAAAATTCATCAAATTTATCATCAATTTTCGACCTATTGTAATTGAGGAAAAAAATTGAGAAAATTTGGAGGTATTGGAAATAAAGTCAAGTTACGTTTTCATCAATATTATACGTTATTTCATCGCCGGTTAAGTAAACAAAAATTCAAACGTAAAGAGGCTTTAATACATAGTCCAATGGGGAAAAAAGGTTGCCAAACTTATATGGAGGGGAGTGTAGTCTTTGCTATAACACCCCCATCACCTTCTTTCAAAATCATGCAGTTTCTCACTATTTTGAGCACTTTCCTAATGATTTTGGGCCAAAGATGTTAAATGTGAATCCCCATGATTAATTTTGAAAAGTCACCCTCCCCTTGGCAAAAGATGGCTACGGGTCCGAGCCCAATAGTATGCGTGAGTTTACCAGCAAAAGCGACTTTGTTTAATTGTATACTGATGTATGCCTTTAATGTGAAAGTCATATTTGACAAGAATTTGAAAACGTTTTTACGAGTTATTAATTTAGTGATTTTGACTCATTTTTCAAGTTTTAAAATTCTCTCTTTTCTCAGATATGTACATCAATGTATAAACTTTTCTAAAATTATAAGTGCAAAGATATAAATCACGTGACCACTGTGTATGTCGTGACACACAGAGGCAGATTTGAGATATAAAAGCAAAGCTCTGAATAGTTATAAACCTCTCAGTAGTTTGTTTACGCACAAATGTACACCAACTCGTTGAAGAAAGTTTCAACTAAAACATCTATTTGTAAACACACAAATGTGACAAAACATGACATTTTAGCATAGCAAAGCTACTTCATAGTCTTTACCTAAACCCAGTAGGCATCAAGTACCTGTACTTAAAAACAACAGAGGGCACGGAGCCCTGAGAAATGATGATCTATTAACGGATATGAACCCAGTTGAATAAATCCATCATCAAAACCAGACAAGGAAATGATCAAACAAATAAATTTAGAAAGGAGATATAGTATGTGTTATTCAAGGGCGCAGCCTGGAACGACTTCCTCATAGTGTATACGCACTTGAATCATTTGTTCATCCGTTACCTCATCGTTGGATTAAGGAAGTCAACATAAATGCACTTATTTTCAAAAAAACGTAATTAGTACCTTTTTACATTTAAGTAGGAAATTAAAATCAAATAAAAATACGGTTTAATTGTGAATGATTTAGAATCACAAGCTGAAAATTTGAAACAACATAGGAACTTTTCGCTGTTTAGAACTTGCTCCGGTAAGCTTTTCAATCATCTGGTTTCGCATAAGGTTACCAACTTCTGAATTGATGCAGCTTCAATTCGCATGTACTGCATACATACATTGTAAACAAATCAAAAAGAGTACTGAATGAAGAATAAATACTTGAAATAAAGGCAGATGTTTGATCAAGAAAATACCAAAAGGAACAAAGGTGAAACGTCAACTTTAGAAGAGTCTATTGGACTGACTAAACACGGATTACCAAGTTGTATTTCTTAATCGGACCTCCTACAACACACGTTAAATACAAACATGAATTCGAAGATTTTTTAAAACGACTAGAAATTTAGTGGATGTGTCTTCAATTTTAATCAACCACAATGGACAGAAATAAATACATTCCGCTTGAAGACACTACTGTAAAAGTAACGTTGCCAGAAAGGTACAAACCAAAGAATCAAAGGTTGAACGGAATGAATGGTGTCATCCACGCTAGTAATGATATGACTGACGACGATAGTGTAACAAAACGGCTGGAGGACATGGCTACTGCCGTACAATGGATTAAGCAAGAAATTGTAAGTTTCTTAAGATACTATTGTGTGGTCTTGAACTTGAACATTTTCTCATTACATGTTTATACATGCTTTTGTGTTGTTCTGAAACATTCATATAATGTTTTTGCAATTGTAGTAGTAGTACCTACTTCATATAGTACTTGCTTCTCGTGATAAAGATTTTTGTTGGTTAATCGAGTTCATTAAAAAAAAGTAATGTAAATGGATTATAATTGAAAGAACATTTTCAAAAGAAAAGTCACCACATTTAAAGTGTCTTTTCAAAGGTACTTCTTTGGTGACAGCGTGGGTATATATCGTTCAAATTGGCTATTGAGATTCAATTTAATGTTTTCAACTTGAAGTGTGCAGCATGACTCTAGATTCATGAAAATTTCTAATTCAAAAGTCGTGTTAACATGGTAAGTGAATTGATGTATAGATAAACAATATCCGGTCGTTCGCGTCATACGAAGCAAGTACATGCGAATTTGACTTCCCCAAAAGAGAAGGGAGACTGTTTTAGACGTTTGTCCTGCGGGAGACAATGATATAAATCATAATAGAACAACTATTTTGTTTACACGTGGCCCGATCTAACAACAAATACATTATCTTCATTAATGTCTCATAAATTCCATTATATAAATAGACCTATAAAGTAACAATAAAATCATATATTCACAAAGTGAATTTGCTTTTTCTTGACTGATTAAAACATATGGCATTATCTACCTCGTTGTAATCATATGTAAAATATTTGAAATATAAATACAATATGAGGTTGACCTGAACTATGCACGGGGTGGTCAAACTGTTAAAGTGTTTCAACATTTGGATGTATTATTGAATGATGCACAATTTATTTGATGTGCATACTACTTTTATTGGGAGAGATTTGAAATACTGAATAAAAACAAATCGCGGAAGATAAATGGAAGATAAACGAGGATATCAATTGACCTTCAAATAAACTATCGCCCAAGTCAGTGTACAACTTTAAGTACCATTATCTTCAAAGCATACTGCATGCGTATTTATAGACCTTGGCATCTATTTCAATTTATTTCCAAGATTATCTGATAACATTGCAGCCAAGTTTAAAAATATCTCAAACATTTTTAATCAACATTGTTCCACTTTATTAACATCTTAAACAAGTATTAAATGAGTCAACTTGAAAAATGATTAAATTTCACAATAAAGGTGATATTTAGATTCCAAAAAGGAAATAGTTTGGTTCGGTGGTGGACTTGAGGTTTGGTAACGGTGGTTATCTTCTTTGTTGTCAATCTGATCGATCAGTTGAAAACATGCGCTGCTGTGCTAAATCCTGGAAGAGATGTTAAGCACAATAATGACGTCATTGGATAAGTTGATATGAATGCGCGAATGATCATGACCAATGGACTTTTGGACTTATTTTTGAAAGCATTGACAATTTTTCAAATAATTTGCTGACATATATTTGTGAGGTGGGGTTTTATCGTCAAGAAGGAAAATAATATTTATTGAGATCAACACTACAGGGACGCTGTTACAAAAACTTGCATCAATAGCTACAATTAATGTTACATATCGTGACACGTAGGTTAAAAACATCATGTCTCTATTTCACCAACATTAGTTTAAAATGAATTTAATTCTGATTTTAGTTCATTCCCAAAAATGTGCCTTGATAACCATTCCAATCTGAAGATAACAATTGATGACCTGAAAAATTCGGGTCATACGTTGGAATTTAATCCTCATGTTTTATAAGTGTAGATCTCTTTTCTGTAAAATTGGATCAAAATAATAATCGAACTCGAAATTTTCTCCTGTATTACAACAAAAATCTCTGTTAGATAATGTTTCACTTTCAAGATTTTTTAAGATTGACAATGTAGGTCGACAAAGTAAATGACTTTTAAGACCAACATTTTTTACCGTATCTAGATCTATAATAAAAACAAAACAAAAGCGATTACCAGAACCATTTTTCATTTGTGAGGGAATGTTTGAAAGAATACGTTGTTATTCCATTGTTATTTCAATCATACGAGGGGTAACCAATAATTATGTTGTTTTAATTCTGCATATCATCTGAATTCTCGTTGATCGAAGATGATCCTAGTGCTGGATTTATAACTGCTCTTGTGGTAATTGATTACTGCTGACGTTAATGTTGGAAGTCTGCAGACTAGATTAGCACAAAAAAGCGTTTTATGAACTGATTCTGACATCTTTATCTTAACTGAAGTGCTATACGAAGTATATATCTATTTTTCAATTTCATTGCCACGTTGTTTTATTTACGATTATAACCCTCGTAAAACCTCTCGATATTTCACGATCAACAAAACCAGGGATGATAAGTATACCCTCCCAACAAACAATGACTACATCTAATAGTTAACAACATCATGATTAATCGATGATATCATACACGAGTTGCATTGTATAAGATTGGTTGAAGTATCGATTCACATTTTTTCAAAGTTAAAAAATGGTAAACAAGTAACAGGTACTTGTTATTTGTTGGTGTTGTTTCTGAAATAAAACAGTTTATACCAAGATATACGCCTGGTATATTTATCATGTCAGTACAATTCAGTTTCGTTGATACCGTTATCAATTCAATGAAGTCGTGCCCTGCTCTTTGATATATAAATGAGGTTACTAGGATAAACTACGTACAAACAAAAACATTATAACAAATTATAAATAACTTCCAATGATTATATTAGAGACTATTAAGTAATTCTGAATTAGTCCTACAAAATCTTTATAACTGTATAACGTGATTTTGTGGTTCAACAACGAGTATCCAAGGGGCTGTGGGTTCGATACCCATTGGAGTTGACTGACTTTTTCACATCAGCCTTTGGCACAGAATTTCATATTGTGTTTTCATCAAACAAGAGACTTTTGATTTCTTCATATTTGCATTTCAAATTTACAAAATGTATGCTATGAATTTTAATAGATTTATTTTTTGTAATTTCAGATGGCTATCAAACGACAAGACAGAGATCTTCTTAGACAATTCCTGGGTATTAGGGCAGATATGCGCCAAATGTCTGCCTCAAATGCACCCACGCCACCAGGTGGCGCCAAGTTATCTAAAAGTGGTTCATGGACTAGAAACGCGTGGCTCGAGGCCAAAAGTCCCCCACGCTCACCCTCAGCTTTAAACAGTAACAGTAGCTTCGATCTTGGTGAATTCAGACCACGGACAACTTCTCTTCTGGAACCCCCGCATCACAATTATCATAGAACTTCAAAATGGAAATATGCCGAAAATAATAACATTAATTTGGCAGATAGTTTTGGATGATCGCAAATAGAACTACTGTTCAAGTTATGGAATAAATTACGTATATGAGGTTTTGTATCCTCATGACGTCACTTTATACATGGTTGACAGGGTAACGTGAATCAATAAAAAAAAACTGAGAGAAAAACAGGGTTGAAAACCAGGAGAATTTGATAACATCTTCGTTTCATGGCGACAGCTACGTCTTTTAACATTTATGCAAAATGGTCGTAGGAATATTTGGTTCTTACAACTTCAGTATCTTGGAGAAACCGGACGAGGCTTTTAAAAAGAAGCTAAATCAGAACCCATACTTTCCATTCGAAGAAACTGCCACAAATTTGTTTCGGTTGAAGGTACGATCCGTGAAATTTATCTTTGGATTAGTAAGTACATTTGCCCTAGGATTGACGGCTATAATATTGTATGCCACAAATGGAATAGAACTTGGAGAAACTTTGTTATATTTTGTGATCGGCTTCTTGGCCTTGACCAGCATAACTCTGTATTACAAAGAGGAACGGACGCTGCTTTTGGATATCAATAATTCAACGTACGAATTCTACCGTGGCGATCGTCTGGTTTACCAGGGACACAATCACAACATTTACATCCGATTAAAGGGGGAGAAAAGTGGAAGTGGGGAAATGTATTACAATGTTACCCTAAATGGTTTTCAAGTTGACGAACAAATGCTGACTTCCGCTACAAGATCTAACAAAGAAAAATTGCGTCGTCTCGGACGTCGGCTTGCAAGCCATCTGAATCTAAATTACTTCGACTATTTGGACAAATCTAGACACCATGTCATTAGGCACAGGTGTCCTTATTCCTCGTATGTGAGTTTAACTAATGCTTAGGAAATTTTCGATATTGAGACACTTGAATTTTCTGTTTATTTGTGTATTATTTATATATATATACGTGTAAGTTACAATACATCAATCATAGTCTGAAGTGTTCAGATTCGTGTACTTTTAATAATTTCTACGTGGTTCTAATCACAATCGAAACCACTAAGTTCACATTAGACAGGTCCCGTTTATATCAGAAAGGTCAAGTTACATTATATTTTGGAGAACCTGGATGGGAACGTGTAATATTGTAAGTCCTTGGGATATTGTCCCTGGGACTTAGTTATACCCTTCCCTTTATCTCCATTATCGTGCATCGAAGAAGCAGCTGTTCCTGGTGATATAAGGAAGGTTAAGCTACATGGATTAAGAAAACCACTTCGTGAACGTGTAATATTTCGGCACCTGGGGATTCATGTTCAGCTCTCAATTCACTTTTCAAGGGACCTAATTACAATTATTTTCCGTATACCTTTAAACTCAATCGGTCAAGTAAACACTACAAATTGGAGAAGTGATCCACAGAGGACAATAATTCTACATACTCACGTACACGTTTTTTCAAAACCGTGTAGCTTAACCTCCCCATTATACGTTTACTTTTACGTGAAAGGCGATGGAAAGTTAACCTCCCTAATTGCTCCATAAGTCACTTGCCGAGTATATTTCATATAACTGTTCAAATCCTACTGGTTAACGTGCTTGCGCCAGGGAAAAGTGAGCCGCCCCTCGAACCCCTGGGTATGCCACGTTGTAGCGCACCTGGTCGTTCAGAACGGCTCTTGATTGCGTCTTCCAACTTCTCTGTCAACCAATGGGTCTCCATCTGCCCCTTGCCCTAGAAATAATTGGTATTCACTCATAATACGAAATTCAATACAATAATGTTCATCCAGGTACCAAAATTGCAATTGTCTACCGGAGATATTACTTATCTATATATAATGTTAGTGTGTTGAAGCAAGTTAAGTTAGCGATATGCTCGATTATGAACATCAATTGTTACATCAATTTTTCTAAAATTCAAAACAAATCGCTATCGCACCCCTCCCCCTTGACTGAAAGCACTGAGAGTTACAGAGTCTTAACTAGACGGATCGACTCTACCCACCTTTATATCCACCTTGCCTCGTGGTTCTGTCCTGTATCCACCAAGTTTATCAAGAGCACGCTTGGCCTGGGAGCTGACGTGGATTTTTAGTGCTAAAATGATAACCAATGTGATATTATAGTTCATTTGATGGGATGACAGAAAGATGGAACTGTTGTCGTTTTAGTTTATTGAAGGAATTAATGCAAGATTATATTGAAAACTGATATTGAAAAAACCGATACTCTGCCGTCGTGCTTTATAATTGACGCACATATGGTAAGTATGTACAAGCACAAGTATTGAAAGGAGAAAGACCAAACAGTATATAACAAAACACAACAAGAAAAAGAAATAACTGAAAATACTGAAGGTAAAACGAAAAAGAATATTCCAAACTATGAATCCCGGCCATGAAACAACGTCTAAATTAAATGCAGATATGTTTTACATAATTACTGATTACTGAACTGGAGGAAAATTGAAATTTACTTACGCAAACCATTGGACTCCATGCGTGAGGCTATATTGACGGTGTCTCCAAACAGACAGTATCGCGGCATTTTGCTTCCGACCACTCCAGCAACCACAGGGCCTTGAATGTTGGAAATAATGTTGCACATTCATTATGTTGGTAAATCGGCAATCAACAAGTGAAACGATGCATTTAATTTCTTTGCAAACAAAACAGCTAAACCAATGCAGCTAAACACGAGATCGGAAATTCAAAACGTTTTAAACATTTTATAAGATGCAATTGTATTGTATTGTATTATATTGTAATTGTAAATCTTTTATTCCTCCACAAGGGAGAGCAAACATAGAAAATTACATCATCTTAATATACAAAAATTATAACTACAAAGGAACATATTTACAAAAACAGTGTTGATTTAAAAGGTTCGGTAACAACACTGTTTTGACCATTTTTAGAAAAATTAATGGAGATATATTGTTTTTCTCGTGACTTAATTACCCGTATGTAGTCCTATTCTAAGTTTGAGACGCTCGTTGGGCATATGTGGTATTTTGAAGTTGATGATTCCCTCAAGAAGATCTATTGAGAGTGATGCTATTTCTCCAACATGGCGCTTACCTAAATTCGAGATATTAAGAAACGTTCATAACTCATATCGGTGCATCTCACCAAGAAGCGCCACTATTTTTGGGAATTCCAAGTCAGAACTACATGTAATAGCATGAGGGAATAAAGGAATGAAGAATATATGTATGTGGATATTACCATTACGTTGTGGTAGACCCGATGCTACCATGTAAGCATCCCCTATAGTCTCAACTTTGTAGACGTCATACTGGTCTATCTTAAAGTCAAAGAAATGGTAGAGAGCGTTCAAGAAATTAACAACCTGGAAAGTATGATATATTTCTAAAATCAATTTTTAATTTTACAATTTAGAGCTGCGTGCATGTATATGAAGCCCTCTTTTAAAGAAGGCCGGTGTAAAAGGGGAGGAGGTCCTATCAAATAAAGATGAAATGTGCGCCAGGCTAACGTATTTGATAACGAATTTAGGAGCCAAAGGCAGCGTGATAGACTCACCTGCATTGGAGTACTTTGGGCAGACAAGAACGTAAATCCCACGACGTCACTGAAGTATATGGTGACCGAATGGTACGACTCGGCAGGTACCGTTGACGACGTTTTCAATTGCAAGGCTACTGACTTTGGTAACATCTGGTATAACAGATTATCACTACGTTTCTTTTCTCTTTTTAACTCGTTTGTCTTGCTAGATAGACCGATGGCGTAGTCCTGAATCGTGCACGTCAACCGCTGGATTGAGAAGAAGATCAATGGCGTAATTATGAGGATTATAACAAGGATAACGACTGAAGCGACAACTTCATTCTTGGCGCCATCTATATCACGAAATATGAACGCGTCAATGGCGTCATGGAGCTTGTTCTGAATCATGCTGATGATATCTGTATAGTTGTTCATCGTATCTATCCACAGGTCCAATTCAGTTATGTTAAAAGAAAAGTCGAGATTCTGACCACCAATTTCTCCACTGACCGGGACTTCATTGTCATTTGTTCCATTTGTCTCGCTTGTAGCATTGTTTTGTGCTTCAATTGGTTCTCTCGTAACCGTTGCATTCACTTCTCTTTCGTGGATTTTAGATGTGACTTTGTTCAGAATGATGCCTCGTTGTCTTTCAGTTATCTCTACATTTGTTTTGTGCACCAGATAGAGATTTGCATATAGTTGTTTAGCAATCGTCGAGTATTGTTGCATTGTCTTCAACACATCTTTTCCCAGGGCTACATATTTTAAGTATTGGTAGGATTCATTCTTTCCCAATGTTCCATTCGTGAAGAACTCCTCACCAAGTGCAGTCTCACAGGCGATGTTTTCACTGGCCTGTATCGCCATTGTATACGCTAACAATAACTTCCAGAGACGAGTATGTTCAGTTTTGTAAACAACCTTAGTCATAGAACGCATCAATATGGCGTTTGTATTTACATAGAATGCAAATGTCTCACGACCTGACCATCGCCCTTTTTCTATTTGCCTTCTACTGAGTTTTAAAAGTTCTTCGAAGTTCCTTCGTGAGGCAAAGTTTGGGTCCGATGTACCGTAGATGTTCCATTCTTTGAGCTTGGCTAGGACATTGTCAGTAGCCAGAAATGCTGTGTCAAGAACTCGAACGTTATGATGCGCTAGATTGTCCTCAGGGGTGTTTACGAAGAGAGTTGCTTCTGTGCGTTCTCTTTGGAGACTATGGATCAAGCTACCTGAAAGTTGTGTGCGGCAAAATGAAGTTTATCGACCAGTTGATGAATATTCAGCATAGTACTAATTAACCTACTAATTATCAAAAATAATTCGGACAATTTGTTCGGATTTTGGTTTTGATCAAAAGATAGCTCATACCCGCCGTGACCACTAATTGCTACTTATACTATATGTTTACAGGTCAGAACTGTTTTTATGTAGAATCATGCATGACTGTAAAGGTCTTTTTTCTTTTGTGTCTATTTGGATTATAAATTAAGTTTAAAAATGTGTCACACCCGAAACACCATCCTCAAGCCTAAATATTCTCGAGGTCGCAGTTAATAAGAGCAATGCAATATTGTGATTACCCAACTCTTGTGCCCTATCCACGTTGTTGCCAACAACAACGAGCTTGTTGTTATGCGTCACCACGTCACTCAGCGTCAGTGAGGTCTGAATGATGAGGCCAAGGATCGGTATCATTGGGATCAATAACATCTTCGCCATTTGAAGCTGTCGTCCTCGTTTTGTGATTGGATTTGCATTGCACAGTCTTCTTGCGATACCTGCCAGAGAAACAATTACAGCTTTGATGTCTGTTTGATAAAAATGATTTCATTCTGTGTTTCATTAACCAATTTAGATCTTACTACTTATTAGTCAGAAATTGGTAAAGCCCGGTATACGCCAATGGGGCAAGTTGAGACCTCCATAGACTTAACGCCGTGGGACCTCGTGGGACTTCTTGGGATTTTGCCCCATGGAGTCCGTGGGACTCCGTCGGATTCTGCCCCATCTTGCCCCCATCGAGTGACATGAGGTCCCATGAGGTCCCACGTGGGACTCGGTGGGATCCAATGGGGCAAGATGGGGCAAAATCTCACGGAGTCCCATCTTGCCCCATCGAGAATGAACATGTTCATTCTTTCCATCGGGCATCGTGGAATTTTCGATCATATGACATGTTGTGTGAAGCCCAACATACACCAATGGGGCACGGTGGGATTTGATGGGACTCCATGGGGCTCGATGGGACTCCATGGGGCACGATGGGGCAAAGTCATCGAGGTCCCATGGGACTTCGTGGGATTCGATGGGGCAAGTTGGGATTCGATGGGGCAAGATGGGACTCGATGGGGCAAGTGGGATTTTGCCCCTTGGTGTATACTGGGCTTTAAGTATGCTTATCATTAATGAGTAATCGTATTAATGGTTCTTTCTAATAATCAGTGTTAATGGGCGATTCATTAATGATCATTAATTGGTGAACAGTAATAAGTTGTCGAATAATTAGTCGACTGCGATCTACTAATCACCAGTGGTCCCATTAGCAGGGAAAAAGGGAGAACCTGGAAATTGACAAGGGTAATGAACGGTCTTATGATTACTTTTAACTGGTTTGTATCAGTAAAATGAATGACGTAATAAACAGTAGAGTGGTCTAATGAGCAGTTAATGATCAGCAATGAGTGGCTTGAGAATTAGTAATCATTGGTCTAATTATCAGTAATGCGTGGTCGCATGTTCAGTAATTAGTCGTTTTATAATCAGTAGTGAGTGAACTAATGATAATTAGTGAATGATTGATCGATAATGAGTTGTTTTATATTCAATAATGAGTGGGCTAAAATGTCTCATGACCAGCAGTGAGTGACCATACAGATACAGTTGAAGCATATTGATTTGTAAATAATGAAGTATCATAGTAATCAAAGAGTAGCCGAAAAGTCAGACAATGGTCCCAGGGTCATTCTGAAAATTCAAATGTCTTCATTTATTCCTTAATGGAGGAAGTGACATATCCTTGGACAAAGGATGTCCCAGGGTAGCCTAGTCAACCTTGGAAATGTGAAACATCAATAAAACAATAAGTATGAAATATAAATGTAAGGATAAACCATTTCTCGAGATACATATCTAAAACGGACAGTTACTTACTAGGTCTCTCGAGTGCGGAGCTCACCATGCTAACCTCACTTGACATTGATATCACCTCTGCAGTAGAACCTTGGGGCACAATCGCCCCGATCCTTGACAACCTAACACCCATTTTAGATATACTCCTTCACAAACTAAGTGTAAATGAGGTGAAAGTTTTACCGAAGCAGTTACATTCACTCGGGGATTTACTTGTCCAATCTGCTATCAATAAAGTTCCATCATTGTTGACAGTTTCAGTTGGGATTCGGGTCCATTATGGGTTGATGTCCGCATCTATAATATGGTCATGGTGATTAACCTAAAAACAAATATAAGTTGTTTCAATTGACTTCAACTTTCCTTGAAATCTAGTCTTTTTCTAAATTGATTATTACACGACTGCATGTCCACGAGCTCGGCGGTGCCATAGCTTTAAAAATGTATCCATTTGACGAAAACAGATGTTGTATAAATTGGCATTAAAAAGTTTTTAAATTCAATAATTTCCCATTCCAATCTCATATTTCCAAATATGATCACGGCTACATATTTGGTCTGGTAACAACCCGTTACATACACACTTTTAAGATGCCGGCTGGAGATGTTTGCTTGGCGTCTTGTTTTTTCCTTTGCCACTAACAAATACAGGTGTCGGTGTGTCGTCTTTAAATACGTGATATTCCTGAATGTAGTTCGTAATCGTCTACATTTGATTTCGTAGGAAATGAACCATCCCAACTGACAGCTACTAACTATCACACATTTCCAAGTATTACTAATTACTCCAAAGAAATGGTAGCTTCTTCATCGTGGAGTTGAAATGCATAACCCAATAGCAATAGCATGTTGAAGATTGAATGGGTGCGGCTTGTAATCAAATATTTCATTTACATAAAAGAGTTCTGTGATGTGAACCACATCCTGGATGAGATTCAGTTCGAATCGAAACTGCATGTTTTGATACGTAATCAGGGGTTAATAGTATGGCTGTCGCAAAATGGCTGAATGGATGGAGGTGGTGTGAAAATAGCTGAACTGTTAGCTTTTAAATAGGTTATCGTAGAAAATTATCTAATCTATTTCCCCAAAAGTGATGAATGGGAATGACGATTTTCAAAAATTCATCAAATTTATCATCAATTTTCGACCTATTGTAATTGAGGAAAAAAATTGGGAAAAGGATGGGTATCGATATGTATGGTGAACTTTTTGAACACACGTTTCTCTCAAACCAGTCTTCAAACAATTCTGAAAATTTTACACATTGTCAACTTAATGGTCGTCTTTTGTAAGAAATAGTATTATTTGAAATAAATATATATACATTTCTCTATATTGTTTAGAAAACACATCAGACACTTATTTTGTTCTTGGTATCATACGTTCGGAATGAAATGAAACATCTATCCGAACCTCATTGGAACAAAATGACATAAACACAACGTGTATAGGTCTCTCAATATTGTAATTGTATAAATGAAAGATTGGTTAATTCAAAAAAGTATCTTGTTAATGAAATAAAAGGTTTATCTTAATTTTTATCTATTTGGGGGTTTTTGTTTTAAATTTTTGAATACTTTTTCTTAAATAAACCAAAATTTCCTTTGTATAACTATATAATATTGAGAGAACTGAGAAAATGTTTTATATGCAGTATTGTTCCAACAAGCTTCGGAAAGATATTTTATTTAATTCTAAAGAATTGGTAAAAAGGAACAAAAAACAATTGCACTAAAAACCAAAAAATGTTAACAAAAACAGTTATATAAAATATATGTAAATTATTTTCGCATTAAATTGTTGTCAATCAGTGAACATAACATAAAGCGCCGTGTTTTTTAACAGAATGTTTTCAATATAAATTGTATCTCCATTTTATTATGGGCAATAAAGATATACAATACAATACAATACAATACAATACAATAATTGGTTGGAGAGAAAAACATTGTTGAACTTCATGTATTCACCATATCGATACCAATCCTTTGAAGGCATTGGAAATGAAGTCAAGTTACATTTCCATCAATATTATAAGTACTTTCTTCACAGGTTATGTAAATAAAAATTCAAACATAAAGAGGCTTTAACACGTAGTTCAATGAGGGAGTTAGGCTTGCCAATCTTATGGAGGAGATGTCAATGAACCCTGTTCTAAATACTTCATAATTGTTCTATATCCCTGTTCTAGTTATGATCATTATTGATATATAGCCCTGTTATAATTAGCCAAGTCATACTTGGTCTAACTAGCCCTGTTCTATCAATTCCATAATTGTTCTATAGCCCTGGTCTTACCACCCCTTTTCTTACAACGACATAATTGTTCAATAGCCTTGTTTTAGCCACGACTGTTCAATAGCCCTGTTCTAATCAGTCCTATTCTAAATATTTCATAATTGTTCTATAGCCCTGTTTTATAATTTCTTGTTCTTATGTTCTAACTACTTCATGGTTGTTTTATGGCCCCGTTTCTTTCAATCTTCCCAAATGAGATTCCACCTGAGATCCTCATTGCCTACTCGGGTTGGATCTAATTTCGTAATTCAATTTGCAGAGCCACTATTGACAGTGAAGCCAGGATGAGCAACAAATACACAGGTTTAGTCAAAGTATTATTAATTTGTTTAATCAGGCATGATATATATCATTTGGACGTTTTTTATTGGCTTCATCACTCACCAATCCTAATTACTTACGGGGATGGAGCTTAAGTGCAAACAGGATTGCCAATATATGAGACTCCGTTTGGTATAGCAGCTAGAACATGTAGGAATGACTTTACAGTATGTTCCTTGAGCACTAGTTTCTGCTTTACATTAAGCATAAATTCTTCAAAGAAAAGGTCTACGATGTATGTCCCAATTGAATCTTTTTCTCATCCCAATCAATTTAAAAAATATTGAATTAGAATAAAAATGACAGTAATAAGTATAATTGAGCAATCAATGAATTCATAATAACGCTAAGAGTTTTCCAGAACATTATTTTATTTCTTGTGATAACTGAATACAGAAGCTAAAGGGGTTTATATGACCAAAAATTATGAATTAAACTGAACATTCCGTCGCCATGTAAGGCAAACTGTTACAAAATCAATTCCTGGCTGCAGTGAACACCTACCAATACTGAACGTTTTTTCTTGACAAAAATGTTCAATATACACAGGTTTTTCAGAGTTTCAACGATGTTTAATATATATCCATCTCAGGTTAGTTGTTTGTGGAAAAAAAGTATTTTTAATCCTTTTTCTACACAAGCCCCCATACAGGTACATTGATTCTTGTCAAAATTATAAGAGAAATTGAGACTTTTTATCAGCACGGATTGGTTTGGAGTGGTTTTATATTCACAAATAGGTCGAATGTCAAATGGTTAGTGTTGACCTAGTTTTGATCATTTAACCTTTGAAATCCTTGCAAAGAAAATTACTAGCGAAAGCATTAAATTAGTGATACTGTACAGAATCCCATGATTCAATAAATTGTGGATGATTTAATCCACCTATCTCTTGTATCCTAGACTCATTCCATCCTCCTCAGCATGTGTCCAGAATCCGTCCAAAGGAGAGGAAAAAGATATTCTGAATTTGGAGCCCTGTGCTCCGAGGATGCACTCATTCAGTCCAGAAAGACTTTTGTAGCTACCCCGTAAATCATCCTACGATTGAGTCCTTGGGCTTTAAGGATGAATTGAGCCACAAATTATACCTTTATATATCTAAACATGAGTCTGTTATATTTTCCTTGAACACACTCCTTTTGAAGCCAGCAATGAACTTATATTGAAAAACAACAAACTTACAAGACATCTTATTTTATTAATCATTTTTATATTCTTGTGAAAATTACATGATTTGTATAACATCAGCTACTAACAGTAATAATTGGCACCAATGCATATCATACTATATAAATACTATAATTACTACTATATAAGGGTTTCAAGAAGTCTCACCAAATGTTATGGCTGGTTCTGGATTAGCAATCTGTTCACGGAGATCTTTAGCTTTTTGAGAATATAACTTTGATTTTTCCTGATCTTTTTCTACACCATGTCCATTCTTATACATCATGCTAATATTAATACAGGCTGGTATATGACCTAAATCACATGCTTGTTTTGAATACTTAAAACCCTCCTTGAAATTCTGAGGCAGTCCCTCTTTACCAACAATGTAGTACGAACCTAAGTAATAGCAACTCTCAGATAGATCATTATCGCATGCAACTTTATACAATTCAGCAGCTTTTTCATATTCTCGCTTGTCTGTTGCTTTCCCTGAGGCTAGGATTTGGGCAGCATTATGACAGGCTGGCCAATATTTGCTGTCACATCCTGTTTTGTAACTTTCATAGGCAGCTTTGTCATCCTTTGTAACTCCACCTGAAACAGAAGGATCCTTACCATTTTAAAGTTCTAAACCAATATAAAGATGGCAGTATTGTAGATCAATAAGAAGTGAAGATACATAAATAGGTTGATTGCTCTGCCATCTTTTTGAAACATTCAATCTCATGTAGTTAATAATTCTTCATTTCTACTGTACCTATTATTAAAAAATGAGTGGAACTATAACATATGGCCCTGTTGCATAACTGCTTAATTCCCATTACTTAACCACACCAGCTGAAGAACCACACTTAGAGAATTATACATAGTTGCATCTTTATGATCTCAAATGTACTATTCAAAGCAGATTGTTAACTTTAAATGTAATATCCATATAATCTGATGCTTTAAATTTTCTGACTAAATATTCAAAATGAATATAACCGAAATAAAATAATTATCTCTCATTAAAAGATATATTCAAGTTGTTGAAAAGGGTATCAATCAAATTGGCAAGAACTTTCTTATAAGCTCACCTTTCCCTGTGGCAAGGTAGTTACCATATTTGTAACAACTATGGCCATATTGATGGTCCTCACAATTCACCTTGTACACTCTACAGGCCTTGGCTGCATCCTTCTTTACTGCCTCTAGGAAATCTCCAAGTCTGTGGCACCCTGAAGGAATGTGGAGTGATAAGTTAGTATATGTCAGTAAAACCATAAACAGTCCTATAGTTGTAGCGAAGCACTTGATGTTTATACACAATGAATGTCAGTAAAACCTGTCTACAGTCTAATCCAAACACCAATGGGACGGCATGCCTGAAATGTTCAGATTAGCAGGTGTTCACAGTTCAAGGTTTCCTAAATTTGAAACAATGGGAGATAACAAAACTGAGAAAAAGAGATGTTAAGATTAGAGAGGTGTTCAGATATACTGTACAGATTTTACTGTAGATAGACCAGTGAGAGTTGTACTTTAGTGTCATTGATGTATGGGATACTGAAATCTTTCCCAAATTCCAAACAGATATAGTGCTGCTGGAACCATGATGCTATAGAAGTAAGGCTGATTATTTATGAAAATCTGTCATTATGTGCTCTGCAGAAATTGAAAATTGAAAATTGAAATTGATGAGTAAACAAGTGACGTATTGAAATTTTGTTCCTTATTTCCACATTTTTAGCATGATTCCTTTTTCAAAATTTACCGTCTGATTTTTTTTCTCCAAAGCACTGAAATCTGTATTCTATTCCCAGATTCTCCAGATATTCTTGAACTTCTTCTTCTGACCTTAGATCACCAGTTGCCATAGTCTGTCAACCCTTTTTTAGAAAAGAAAAAATGTGCAACATTAATATTGTAATGTGTTATTTTCTTGATGTTTAATAAGAATACATACCCTCTGTACCCTGTACCCCCTGCCCTTCATACCCCCCACCCATTGTATATTGTATACCCCCTGCATATGATGAATATCATTGGATTTCAAATGAGGAAGCCTATGAGAATATTAAGTAGCCCTACATATATAAAATTGTTCTTCCAAATAGCTCAGTGGTGGAGTAGATGACCTGTCTGGGAAAATGGACAGGGTATAAATTACCACTGTACCATACATGTAGGTAGCTATTTAGTCCAGTGCAGTGACAGTGTATATCCAGATGTATTTCTAATTAACATGTAATACTGCTTTTCCACCCGTATAGCTCAGCGGTAACAAAGGTACCTCTTACACAATATTGCTCACCTTCATTGGTGGTAAACAAAATATAATACAATACAATATACTATACATATCCCATATGTAATTTATTAATTTAAACACTTATTTCATGGTCAGATGATATGATCGACTAATTCCCTGGAAAGTCCAAAATCTCTGCTAAGTGCTTTAGCAGATTACAGAGAAGATAGAAAGTAATATGACTGGTGACATCATTGAAATCCTAGAAAAATGGTTGCACACTCAAGTTCAGAATTTGCAAGATTTTGTTTGGAATACACATGGGGTATGTAATCAAAAATAGGGACTGCTGAATTTGCATCAAATGTCTGAGAACATCCTGTCCACTGATATGTTCATGGCCCGAGAACATGAATGAAATAAATTGTGTGAAATAAATTGAGTCCTCAAAGGTGACGCAGACTCGATTTTTTATACATGATCCCATGCCTACGGACATATTCCCTCAGCCCTGCAACCTATAAAACATTTCAGTGGATATCATGTTCTCTGTGTAAAATAGTTTGCAATGGCAGTCACTATTTCACTATTTGTATAACCAGTTTTTCTCTGATCTATTATCACCCACGAAAATAAATTTATAAATCCAAATCATCCAGTTTATGCATTTACGATTCAAATCATTACGTGTAAATGATGAATGTATTGTTAAGTGTACCGTTTTATCTGGTTATAAAGTCAAACACACAGGTCTTCATGTAAATAATCTAAATTTGGAAATATGTTTCCGAAAATAAAGATTTTTTAAATTTCGACGGAAGTTGTCTCAGAACTCAAATTCTAAGAAACGAAAACTCGATTAATTTAAATGATTATTTTTATTTTTAAAACACAAAAAATTAAAAAAGTAATTATACATATACTAATGAAGGTATTTTGCTGATTTTGTCACATCATTTCAGTAAATAATAATCTTGATACAATAATTTAATCCATTATTTTCGTTTATAGTTTTGACATTTAGACTACATTATTTTGTCCAATCATATTAGGCCACGAAAATCAACGTGTTGTGATTTTATTTGATTGCTTTTATCAATCAAAGAACAGTTACTGAAGAAGCTTCCATAGAGACAAGACAATATGCAGTTCGGTTTCAGCATTTGTAAGTAGCCATGTTATTGTTTATCCAATTCAAATTTGCATTGTTTTGAATGCATAGAGACAGAGTCTAGTTCTTGTATGCAAAATTCAGCAAGAAACAAAACTGAACACAAAAAACAAATAAAAATAATTTGTGAGAACATCATTTTTTACAATTTATTGATATAGTTCCAGGGCAATTCGAAGAACGTATTAGATGTCCGTGAATTTAGATCTGATCTATTTCTTTTTTTGGGATCTCCTCTGCTGCGTGAAAGCCATAAGTGGTTTGCGACTGCGAACTACTTTGCTTGATATCTCGAACCATTCAGGGCGTAGTCTGCAAATGTCAAGGGGCGTGATTTTTTTCGAGGTCTCCTCTGCCAAAGGCAGCGCAAAGTAGGAGCGTAGCGACTACTTTGCAGGAGACCTCGAACCATTGATCATGTTTGCTCCTGTAATTATTCACTTCTTCACCTCTTTAAAATGTGATTTCAATCAGTTGATCAAATTTTAGGACTTTGACCTCAAATTCAAATATTAATATTTATAAGAGAAAATACAGACTCATTATTATATTTTTAAAAGTCTTTCAAATAAAGTGAAATGAAGCATAAATCAGCTAAAATTATGCAATGTCGTAAAATGGCGTGACTGGAATATGATGCAATCACCTGTGACGTCAGACACGTATTGCCGCATCAACAACTAAACAATCAATTAATATAGACTTCACTGATTGGTTTAAAGATTTTTCGCATCATTTGTGACGTCATAAACATGTTATCCAACCAACAACTAAACAAATAACAAATAGGCATATAGGTTCGTTCAGAGCAACCATGGGCTTTCAATTAGATGAAAGCCCATGGTCATGGTGCAACGCTCTTGAATCAGTTATAAACAGGATAATCAACAGATATATGAGAGGGTCAGGCATTTTTTTGACTTGGAGACCTCGACTCGAGGAGTTTGCTGCATTTTCTTGTTGGAATTGCATCAATGTGGGGGGGGGGTTCAGGGGTTCACCCCTAGAATATATTTAAATCGTTATTGTGCATTCTAAGCATTTCAAACTATAATTTGTTTTTTCAACAAATTTTACAACATGGCTTTTTTCTTTTTATGTGGGGGGGGGGGGTAATCACACCCCTCCCCTGATTATGCCCATGATGTTTGCCACTACAGTCTGTTACACTGCTTCAAAGGCAAGCAGTTGAACCTGAAAAATAAGATATCTATAGACTATTGTGCCATAATATATAGAAAAATATAGTGATATTGCACACAAATGACATTTGTATATTTCAGATTATTTAGTGTTTAGTGCAATAAGTCTGTGCCCTCTTGTAATTTGAGGTCTGTCCACCATGTTATTTTTTGAGAATTAACATGGTAGAGAAGCATCAAAATATAAGAGGTGACAGACTTCATGAGCCAATTTACAAGCAATCCAACATATACAAATGTCCTTCGTGTGCAATATGAATATATTTTTCTATATATTATTGCACAATATTATTTAGATTTCTTATATTTCAGGTTTAACTGCTTGCCTTTGAAGCAGTGTAACAGACTGTAGGGGCAATCTGTGCGATCATGGGCTTTCAAACGAGGTACCATTTTTGTTTGCAGTACCCTGCTCTTTGGTTCTGATGTACAGTGAATTGATAAGGGTGACAGTGTATATAGAATTAGAGACAAGCAAGACATTTTGATTTATTGTATGACCTTTATGCCCTAGATGATATGAAATAGTTTGCCAAAATAAAAGTCAGGGGAATAGTTGGACAATTATTGTAAACCATAAATCCCTTTGAAAACATGAAGACAGGAAATCAATGTCATCCATAGAAGAATTTGTAATCCACTGGGTTCAGCCATTTGTTCACCTACATGGATAACATTTCCTCCATACTCTCTTGAGTATAAGATCATTGTCGCACCCCTCTCCCCACCCCCATTGTTTTTATCTTGTGAACTCAAATCTCAAAAGTTCAGCTAATTCAAAACTGCAGTATATTTTTATTTTTTACGAAGGCCCCATACCATAGACATGGGTGGAGCTCTTCATTATAAGTATTGTGTTTGGATCATTGACTTGACCTCCAGTACTGAGCTGGATTGGCTTTTGTAGAACATGGACATTTTTAGACTATTATTAGAGGAGGAGGATACTTTTTGGAAACTGGTGGGGAGGGGTCTAAACATCAACGTATTTGTGCTTGATTTGTACTACCAGGGATCTAATTGGCCAGATATTTTTTGACCTGAAAAAGTGCAGAAATCAAACGTCCTATGGAGTAAGGTTGAATATACATGTATAATGAATAACGTGAGTGAAAATTCAAACTTAAAGAAGTGGAATGTATATCTCATCATTCACTAGGGTTAAATGTGATGGTGGGAAATTTTGGATACCTTTGAAGATATAACTCAATAACAGGAAGCCATTTAAACCTAGAAACTTTCATTTAAAGTGGCCTTATCATAGCTTGCTGTTGATTCCAATCATCATACAAACATCTGTCACTTGATGATCAAACAAACTATCAATTCACTTCAGATTTCACATAGACAAGCTTCCATATACATGTAGATTCATTTATTCTATGAACATAGAAGTATCAGCATTTTTAATTATTGAACAAGCAGTTGAGAGATTCTATGAGGCTAATTGCCTATTTTTGAAAATTAAAGTCAAATTGGGTTTTAATATTAGGGTCATACTCATATATAGAAAGTGATCAGACTGTCGTATTGAGAGAAAAATGTTCTATTGATTTGATGACATTGTTTTCTCAATACAGAATGTTCACTATGAAAACAAAAGTAAACAAGACACTAGACTACAGCCCATCAATCATAGAATCTATGTAGGTTCAGTGAAGTGCTGTAGTATGAATGGGTACGTGGTGAAATATGATACGGTATTCTAGAGCTGTTATTTAATTGGATGCATCAGCCAATACGCTTGTGACACATCATTATTATTTAGTTGGAGTGATTTAAAATGTGATATTTATCATCATACGAATTAATGACATTAACTCATCATATCATCAATGTAAATTAATTGATTTCAACCAATATTGATTGCCTTTTATCATACCACATGCTAGGTGGGTTGTGTCCTCTCACTTTCATTCTCTGTGCATTTGCGAACAAACTGTATGACCAATTTGCTTCGAAATTTTCAAGTTTCTTGGTATGAAACTGATTGCTTTTGAGAAATCCTAGATAAAAATTCAATTTTTATGTCAGCCACAAGAACATTGTTATGGGTATCCACTCTCCAACTTTTTTGTGGATGATATTGTTAAGTGGTTGGTATTTGGTGGTAGGTGTTCCGTGGTTGGTATTCTTCATCTGTAACAAATGGCAGGTGGTGATATCTTGCATGTTAATGCCTTGTTGATATTTGTCATGATGTTACCATTTGCCGTGTTGTTACAGGTGTGCTGTTGTGCACAACATTAGCATTTACAACAGCACTTTACTCCCCATCTGATGCCATAGAGCTAACAGCATCTAACTTTGACATGATGTTACCATTTGCCTTGTTGTTACAGGTGTGCTGTTGTGCACAACATTAGCATTTACAACAGCATTTTACTCCCCATCTGATGATGTCATAGAGCTAACAGCATCTAACTTTGACATGATGTTACCATTTGCCTTGTTGTTTCAGGTGTGCTGTTGTGCACAACATTAGCATTTTCAACAGCACTTTACTCCCCATCTGATGATGTCATAGAGCTAACAGCATCTAACGTTGTCATGATGTTACCATTTGCCTTGTTGTTTCAGGTGTGCTGTTGTGCACAACATTATCATTTGCAACAGCACTTTACTCCCCATCTGATGATGTCATAAAGCTAACAGCCTTTAACGTTGTCATGATGTTACCATTTGCCTTGTTGTTTCAGGTGTGCTGTTGTGCACAACATTAGCATTTGCAACAGCACTTTACTCTCCATCTGATGATGTCATAGAGCTAACAGCATCTAACTTTGACATGATGTTACCATTTGCCTTGTTGATTCAGGTGTGCTGTTGTGCACAACATTAGCATTTGCAACAGCACTTTACTCCCCATCTGATGATGTCATAGAGCTAACAGCATCTAACTTTGACATGATGTTACCATTTGCCTTGTTGTTTCAGGTGTGCTGTTGTGCACAACATTAGCATTTTCAACAGCACTTTACTCCCCATCTGATGATGTCATAGAGCTAACAGCATCTAACTTTGACAGCAAAGTATTAAACAGTGACCAGCTTTGGTTTGTGGAATTCTATGCACCTTGGTAAGTAACACCTGGAAACTTTGCAAAATAATCACATAATAAATATCAGGAAACAATTGTTGAATAAAAACTATGTTCCTGGCTTTTGATGATTATCTCAGATTAAAAATTCTGCAGAAATGAATATTCTAATTGATATTAAAAATACTCCTGTAAATTAGAATTCAATCTATCATCAAATTCACTGCATTTGTTTTCTCAGGTGTGGCCATTGTAAGACTCTTGCCCCAGAATGGAAGAAAGCTGCCAAAGCACTTAAAGGAATTGTCAACGTTGGAGCTGTTGATATGACACAGCACCAGAGCGTTGGCGGACCATACAATGTGAAAGGATTCCCAACCATTAAGATCTTTGGATCTAATAAAAAATCACCTCAGGATTATAATGGTTAGTACATGTATTATAAATAAACATGAAAATATTTACAAATAATCCATCAGCTAGTGAAAGATTATACAATGAAACTCATGAATTTGAACACATGTAGAAGTTTTTTTGGGGTACCAAAGGAGTTCCACTTAGACAGGTTTTACTTAATAATGAACGAAAGACATCTCAATTGATAATTTCTGAACTCTTCAGATTGAAATGTTATACAGTACTATTGTATTGAATATTGTCACATTTCACGAGGAATTTATTTTACAATCGCATTATTTCTTTTACATGACACATATCATGACTGAAAGGGAGATGGCATGATTTATGATGATACTGAATGTCTTGTTATTCTTTCCATCATATTCTGTTGATGTCCAATATAATTTTACCAAAGTACAGACAGAATTCACCTGGCCCATAAATTTGAAAAATCTTAAAATTGATCAATTACTACAGAATTTCCAGCAGGATTGACACATTTATTAAAAGTATGACAAAAGTCACTTTATCAGCCTCTGAAATTTTAGGGTTTTATCAGCATTTATAATTGTGTTTCTTTTTTATTTGCTAGATGACAGCATTGTGAGTGGATGGAATAACTTTCACAATATTTTTGTCATGTTTTCCATTAAGTCAATGTCTGGGAGTGAATACCATATTTGAATGTTTTACAATTGTATTTCGGGCCAGCGTCAAGCCTCCAGCATTGTTGATCAGGCAATGTCTGGGAGTGAATACCATATTTGAATGTTTTACAATTGTATTTCAGGCCAGCGTCAAGCCTCCAGCATTGTTGATCAGGCAATGTCTGGACTAAGATCACTGGTTAACGACAGACTGTCTGGCAAGTCTAGTGGTGGTAGCAGTGGGGGAAGTGGAGGGGGTAGCAGATCAACCGGGGTAAGGAAGATATTTTAATCTGAGCAAAAAGTCATCTGATAGCTGTTCAAATAACAGTAAAATAAAGGATTCTGATTAATTTGATATATATTACTAAGACCTCTTTTGTTTTGGATTTAAACAGAGTGGAGACCCCAAAGACGTCATTGAACTGACCGATTCCAACTTTGAGAAGCTTGTCTTGAACAGCAAGGATATATGGTTGGTAGAGTTCTTTGCTCCATGGTGTGGTCACTGCAAGAACCTGGCACCTGAATGGCAGAAGGCTGCAACAGAACTGAAAGGAAAGGTGAAGCTGGGAGCTCTTGATGCAACTGTACATCAGCAAACTGCTGGCCGTTATGGGGTAAGAAGTTTTTATATGGCACAATTTTTATTGTAAATTCCTTTTTCGAACAGAGGTCCTATGCACATAAGGTATTAGTGTATAAAATTTCAATCAAATCTGTGAAGCTGTATTCTGAATGCTTAAAAATTCTGAACTAGTTACCAACGCGTATGAAATTTCAATCAAATCTGTGAACCTGTATTCCGAATGCTTGAAAATTCTGAACTAGTTACCAACGCGTATGAAATTTCAATCAAATCTGTGAACCTGTATTCTGAATGCTTGAAAATTCTGAACTAGTTACCAACGCGTATGAAATTTCAATCAAATCTGTGAACCTGTATTCTGAATGCTTAGAAATTATGAACTAGTTACCCTCAATGTGACATTAATAACAATTATTCCAAACAATGTTTCTTACTATATGTCAAAGGGCATCCAATCAAAAATTGAAATTCTTTAATTATGTAGGTACAAGGGTACCCCACTATCAAGATGTTCCAAGGGGGTGAGGCCTCAGAGTATGATGGTGGAAGGACCGCTAGTGACATTGTATCCTGGGGACTGAACAAGGCTGCAGAGAATGTGCCCCCACCAGAGATTGTACAGGTACTGTATATTACTGCTATGGCACAACAGAAACAACATGATATTTGTTTTGATCATTTCATATAAAAAGTAGTACATTAAAGGAACAAAATGCCTAAATGAAGTCTCACTTTTGATCTTCAAAGTATTCCCAATGGATTAATAAGTACCTGATCTTTCATTTGACACTAAAAACAGCTCAAACAGACCACATCAGAGTTGACACTAGATCATGAAAAAATATTTTCGATCTATCATTTATGTATGTCAAGATTTTAGCAATGCCATTGAAAGATGGCATTCTTGTTTGCATAAATTATCCATTCATTTTTGAGCCATCATATGCGATTTTGTGAAAAGTGGTAATTCACTTCTATGTTATTTCGTGCCTTAAACATAAATCACATTGCTCTGATCTCTGATGACTTATTATCTCGAACATGTTCTCTTGTAGATTACAAAAGAAAGTGACCTTACAGATGCCTGTGAAGACCACCAGCTGTGCATCATCTCAATTCTCCCCAACATCTTAGACTGTCAGTCAAAATGCAGGAACGATTATATCAACATATTGAAATCTATGGGAGATAAATACAAAAAGAAAATGTGGGGGTACGTAATCAGCTTTTAAATAGCATTATGTTAGTACGATCTTGTGATAGATAAATATTGCTTTCTCTTAAGAATAAATAATGCAGTCCACTCAGTTCTTGACTTTTGCTCTAATACATTACTCTTATACATTACGGCGTTTTTCCATCTTCATTATCAAAAAAGACTTCTTTCGGGAAGGTATAAAGTAGAGGCCTCTTACAAGACTATCTACTGCAGAAATGCCATACAGGGAAACAAGTTCCTGTTTTTGTTTTAATAAATCTGAAATTTTAATTCCTCCCTTATATTTTCTTTTCTTGCAGAACCAAATAACTTAAAGCATTCCACTTGTACATGATTCGCTACATACAAATTGATATGATTGTTTTCCATATTTGCAGCTATGTCTGGGCTGAAGGGGGAGCTCAGATGGATCTTGAACAAGCCCTTGGTATTGGAGGATTCGGATATCCTGTAAGTCTTATTTAAATCATTTTTTCACACATAGCTTGGTATGGTATATCACATTTCAGCCAATCAGAACACAGTATATGTTATAAGCATTGTGTATTTTACATCAGTTGAACACTCATCTTTGGATTCAGTGAAGTTAATCACCCTCGTCAATTTCATAATTTCAAGTTGGCTGTCGAGTGAGAATATGAATCATATCATGTGTAGCCAACTAGGTACTTGTAGGTGCTTCAAATGTTGACCTTGCAAAAATGTTTCTGGTCAAGTTTCATTCTTTTTAGCGATAGTGTGCAAAATCCTTTGCTATATTTGAATAGAAATTAAGCATCTGACTCAATTAAGTCATCTGTTAGTTTTGTATGCTATCCTTTGAATTTGGGCTTCTATACTCATTCTGAGTCTCAAACAAGACACTCATGTTTAAAAGCATTCACAATTCATTGATCCTTGGCTAAAATCCTTTATTTATTTGGAATGTGGTGCTCTATAAAATATGCTATGTTTGTCATTTTTGAAATGTAATGTAATGAAATAATATATGTTCTCTGAGCTGAGGTCAAAATTCTATGAATAAGCTTTTAAATGGCAAAATACCGAAATAGATGCTGTTCAGTATCTGGTTCATAAACTTTTTGTTTTATAACTTCAGGCCATGGCTGCTGTTAACTCTAGAAAATTAAAATATTCTCTGCTGAGAGGCTCATTCAGTGAGACTGGCATCAATGAATTCCTTAGGTAAGTAAGAGGAGTATTGTATATTGGTACTTTATAATGTTTGGCATTGTGTTTTATCGTGTACATGACTAAATTGGTGTTTTTATGTCATCACCAAAAGTGGTGACATATTCTTATGGTCTCTTAACTTTTTTGTGACGTTGGTTGGGATTTGGCTGTTGGCGTCTGTACAAATTCTTACAACTTGCAATAACTTACTAAATACGGTTAGACTGACTTCAGTTTTGTTCAAAATCATCTACAAGTTCTCAGAAGTTCAAATCTGACTTTGGCTTTCCTTCAAATACCTTCTTAATGTAAAAAAAGTCAAAAAGGTATTTTTCAACTTTCTTCAAATTGATCAATTTTTTCAAAATCATCTACAAGCTTCAGAAGTTCAAATTTGACTTAAGATATGGCATTTGACCGAATGACTTCTTTGTTACATGATATTACTGTTATATTTCTATTTTCAGAGAACTTGCCTTTGGTAAAGGTTCCACAGCTCCTGTTGCAGGAGCCAAGCTGCCCAGTATTGTAGCTACAGATCCCTGGGATGGCAAGGATGGTCAGGTGAGGAAACAAGTTATTTGAGGGATTATTATATACAGAGGAGGGGTATTAGGTTTATCCTGAGAGATAATATATCATTTGACCAGGCCATTTTGTTACCTTATGCATCATCCAGTAAAATTATGAAGAACGTAGTGTATAGCTTTTCAATTGTTTTGATAATGGCATCACATATTTATTAACATGTGTTTTTATTGTATAACTTGAGTTTTTCTATTGTATGACATGGTTTGTGTTGTATTTTCAGCTACCAGAAGAGGAAGAGTATGATCTCTCTGACGTAGAGTTGGAACCACTTGATGAAGAAGCCAAAGATGAGTTATGATGTGGACCTGCCGATATAGGACATCATCTCATCACACATCTAGCTCAATAAATTAACCATTCAATCATTCAGTCATTAACACCATCATTTGTCATCATCTGTCATTCATTTGTTCATCAAAAATAACTTATATTTTCATCATTTATTTTTATCATCAAATGTTCTGGAACTCTCTGGTGATTATGTGTAGGAATCACTAAGCATCACAGACACTGCATCACCATGGACTATAGATATCTACAACACTATGGCTATATATTGCCTTTGCGGGAAAATGAGGGACTTAAGTAGTGAAACTAACTCATGTACTGAAACATGGCATATAAGCACTTTAAAACATTGAAACATGGCATATAAGCACTTTTAATCATAACATGTATAAAGTAAGGGACTTATGCTCTAAAATGTTTTAACAGGAAAATAATATGAAATTCACATCAAAGAATGATGAGATTCTTTATGTTGTTGATGCTGGTTATTCCTATATGAGAATGTAACCTCTTCGAATTAAATATACAGTTACTGGGAAGGTAAAGGGGGTATCCTTATATTCAAGATTTGCAAGGACACTTGTCATCTGTGTTAAATAACTCTGAGATTTGCCATCTACAAACACAATACATTTTCTCTGTAATATAGTACTGTCATTCATGAATCAGACAAATTGTTAACGGGTAAATCTCTACTGTAGTTCTCTCTCAGTTATTGTTCCATGATCACTATGGATTCCAAGATCATCTAGTAGTTAGAGAATCAATAGTTTAGGCACAGTATAAAAGAAGTGCCCAAAAGAACATATTCCATGAATTATAGATTGAATTCAGGAACTTAGCTGATAATAGATTGGTCAAATTACAACTTGGAGCTTTCATTGTCATATTATATATTTTTGAAGTGTATTGTAAGCTTTGTGTTCACAATTGAGACAATGTCTTTTAAAATTCTGAAAATTCTGTTAGATTTTTATATGAATTATAACTTAACTGAGTTATTCCTAGTAATAGTGATAGCAAAAGTATTTGAAGCTGCTTTTAATGATCATTCCTTTAAATGATATTATTGTTGTCGAGTACTGTACTGTACTGTACTATTCAATACTATACTGTTATGCATGTTTGTAATGCATTATGCATGCCTTACTTGCATGCTGTTTTGAAATAAAATGTATTACCAATTCTGTGAATGTGGGAAAGACATATCTCACAGTCAGGTCTTGCATTAGTCTCTTATGATTCGTTCAGTATGGTGTGTATGTTATGAGAAATGGGGGTTAATAAGCTTGATGCAAGACTTTTTAGGATTGGTATTTGTAAATCATTTGAATCGATTGGGCACAGTATGTTACATTATTACATACTAGAAATAGATCTGTTCCAAGAAATAAGCGTTACTTGAATGTGTTTGCACATAAGTCAGGAAGATAATTTAGTGCAATCTCGTGTTTGTTTTATAATTGTTAGATATGAACAGTACATTTCCAAACATGTAAAACTAAGATTAATGCAATAAAAATAATTAAATAATAAACTGTAACTGTCTGTTGTATACTTTTACATCCTAGGGACATTTATAGTCCGATTTTAAAATTCCATTGAGAACTTTGAATCTAAAAAATAAACAATCAAATGACATGTTGCAACAGTGAAAAAATAGAAACATATTATGTGCAAGACCTACCTTTGGTATATTTCAGATAGTTATGTATAATGTGCAGCTAAGCTGTGGCCTTTTGTAATTTAGTAAGTTTCAGCCGTTGGAAAATAATGGCAGAGAAACATCAAAAGATAAGAGGCTTCATATGTAATAGCCAAACTACAAAATAAACTTTAATATAATATACAAAAGTTCTATTTTTCCATACACTTTTGCGATGTGGTCATTTGATTGCTTATTTTTTAGATTTAATTCAAAGTTCTGAGTGGAATGATGAATCAGACTGTACATTATGAGGTGAATCCATGACATCTCTCCCATGAAGCTACACATCGTGCTAGTTTTCAAATGCTCTCTACATTGTAATTTATGCAATGGCGTATTTTACGATCCTTATACGAGGGGTGACCAGTAAGTAATGGACGCTTTTTACACGGGTGTTTTTTATCGACCAATCTCTTAGATTTTTTCAGCAGTGATCAATCATTCATTTATCTATCAGATTTGAAGACAAAATATGCAATACATATTGATGTCGTTATTATCCCGCCGAACGAAGTTCGAGGGGGACATTGGAAAGCCGTCCGTGTATCCGGGCGATAACTCAAACCGATTGACGGATTTGACTCAAATTTTATAGGCGTATGCGTTTTGTGTGTAGCACCTCTGCTCGAGAAGGAATTTTCAATATGGCTGCTCAATTCAAAATGGTCGCCATTTTTCGTAAAGATGTAATCTTTGATTACTCAAATACAAGTTGACGGATTTAATTCAAATAGTATATGCTGATGCCTAAGGACAAAGGAATTCCGCTAAAGAAGAGATTTTCAAGATGGCTTCTGAATTTCAAAGTGGCGGCCATTTTCGTAAAAAATGTAATCTTTGATTACTCAAATACAAGTTGTCGGATTTGATTCAGCATTATATGCTGATGCCTAAGGACAAAAGAGCTTCGCTCAAGAAGAGATTTTCAAGATGGCTGGCCTGCTAATTTTCAAAATTGCGGCCATTTTTCGTAAAAGAACGTAATCTATGATAACTCAAATACCAGTCAACGGATTTGGTTCAGATTTTATATGATGCTGCCTAGGGACACAGTAGCTCTGTTAGAGAAAGAATTTTCAAGAATTTCGGAATTTTAAAATGGCAACCATTTTTGGGGAAAAAACATAATCTTTAATGACTTAAATACCAGTTCACGGATTTGGTTCAAATTTTATATGCTGATGTTTAACACAACTAAGCTCTGTTAGAGAAAGAATTTTCAAGATGGCGGCTGAATTTCAAAATGCCTGCCGTTTTTCATAAAAAAAAACGTTATCTTTGATGACTCAATTACCATTGAACGGATTTGGCTCAAAGGGGCAGGTACGTTATTGTAAGCTTCTTTTTAGACAGCTCTTACTTAAGTTCTAATAATTATTTGACCACAAAAACAAATGCGTTTGTTTGGCCAATATGTTATCTTCAATAAGGGGCAATAGAATGAAATGATTATGTCTTTAGCTGTCATTAATCCACCCAGCCATCATCTCCAATTTCCGGCAATTATGAGCCAATATTTCACCAAAACTGCAGCATTTTATTCCAATTTTTACGGTTAAATTAAAATGGTTCTAGAAGTCAATAATTTACCTCTGAAAAGGAAAGGTGAGTCCTCTTGGGATTAAGATAATCCGAAAACAGTGGAAATTTGAGGTCAAATATCTGGCGTAAAAGCAACATTTTTTGATGTGGTTTACCTGAAGAAGTTTTATCAATAAAACGAAAATTTATGAATCAAAATTGTTTTATTGTTTTTCGTAACACTAATAAACATTATACAGTTCAAACAACATACATTTATTAGTTAAATTTTTAACACCAATTCAAAGATTCAAAGGACTATTGCATATCTAATGTGCCATTTCAATGTTTTAGCATTTCAAAAATATTTTGCAACCTAAGTGATCGACCTCATCGTAACATCACTCAGATCGCAAACGTTTTGAAAAAATTGAAAAAAATGTTCAATGTCAATCTTTTCTAAATATGCTAAACCAATGTTAATTGTATGACCAATTAAGTTTTAAATATTATACCATTGGTATCTGCAGCATGTGAACTAAACTTTTGAAATGCATTTCTCGCTTATTTATGAACCACTTTACTTATTTTTTCGGCAAAAACACGTGACGATGTGTGCTATGCATTAGTGGAAATTATCGCTTATTAAAACATACGTGTGACCTCTAAAAAGTTAGTTTTAAATAAAAATTGCGATTTTTCGAACAAAATGTCCTTCAAAAACCAATTTTGAAAATTAAAAAAAGTCATAGGGCCATCACATTTTGGTAACATTAGATAAAACTACAAAATAAGCCAAAGTGGTTTAAACTTTGTTAACATTTTTGAAATTAAGGGACTGCTAAAATTTTTATATTTCAATTGTTGGGATCTCAGCCGGAGTCAGAAAACTACAAATACAAACTGTATATTGGAGAATTATTAAATACTTGTCCATTATAAACTATTACTCATTGACTCTAAAAAGAAAAAGTATTTTAATAGGCTAAACATCTTCACTTTCCGTTAATGGTTTTTATGACCGTTTAGCGGGTTGTTTTAGGGTAAAATTATGCCTGAGACAACATTCAGATTATTCCATGGGCTCTCTATTGAAAGCCCGCGATTACGCAAATTGGCCAATTTTTATAAAGTTTTATTTTATTGTTTTGACCAGCCTGCAAGGACTTAGATATTATCACTGGAGCAGAGGATATCCTTAATCCCTTATCGCAACCTCAACCTCCACTAGATATCACTCTAAACATTAATATTGCCCTTGACTAAGTTTAGCTTACAACATGGACGAGGTCCATGGTTCGACAATTAGGGTGAGGAGCAGGGAATTTTGCAGGGAATAGTTTACAGTCACGTCGGCAAAAATAAGGAGTGACAACAGTGACTTGCATTTCATTCAATAGATCAATCGCAACTCAAGCTCAATCGACTTATATCATAGAGGTACCACTGGCGGATCTGGGGGGGGGGGGGGGGCAGAAAATAAAATTGGGCCCAAAAAATATTTTGGGCCACGCTTAAGGTCAACATTAGCTGGGCCTTTTTACCCCCATAAATGTGGGGTTATTTTGAGGATTTTTGATATTTAGGACATTTGTTACTCATGAGAAACGAATGTCCTAAATATCAAAAAACTCAAAATAAGCCTTATGTGTTAATTTCAGGCCAAATTTTGAAGAAAATGGCCCTCAAAATTTTGGCCCACTTTAGGGTTAGGGGCCCAAAATTTTCTATCCTGAAACTTGCCCCCCCCCCCCCCCCCTTGTTGGTTCCCAGATCCGCCCCTGGGTAACATTAATCACTCCAAGTGAGGTACGCAACGAACTAATTACTTCTTTTGGAGAGTGACTGGGTCCCTGAGAAGGTTACTCTCCAACTCAAAAAGTAATTTCAAACGAAATGGCTAATCCCTGGACTCGTGCGGAGAGAGCTAAAATAGTACCCAGGCACCTGCTTGGAGGACAAGAAGTATTTAAGGTCACCTGACGTAAACAAACTGACGCGATGTGATTGGATTATAAATAAGAGGAGTGCATTACAAGAAAAGAAAGAGATAAATGTCATACATCCCTACAATTTGACAACAATCATAACGTATATTCATTAATTAGTATTTTATAGATTCAAATATGTGCAATTAAAAATGTTGATCTTTTTTACTTTTGTAAACTTTATCAAATAAAGTTAGGAATTCTCACTTATACATGTTCCGCCATAGCCATCGTGACCTTATTTCGCGGGAATTATGATTTCGCGCCATTTTTCTAGGGCTTTGTCCAATGCTATGTTGACACCCTGAGAGGAAAATTTCGATACGAAAGAAAGAAAAATAATCGCATTTTCTAGTGATTCAGGTGAGACATTTAATTATATTTATTAAGAATATAGACTTTAGGATATAGGTCACATTTATATGCTAAATTGGTGTGTCGATCGCTGCAATTTCACTTAGATCTGGACAATGTTATTCCAATGAAAAAATCTTGAATGAAAGTTTTGCCTAAATTTGAGCAATGGCTGCCATTGGCATTGAAATTGCAGTGTAGTTGTTATGTTTTTATATAGAATACCAGCTACCATATATTTGGATACATCTTTGGAGCATATTGTTATGTACTTGTTGTACCTTAAAATTGGGAAAGATCGTGTTTAAATGTCTTACAACCAGAAACACCACAATGAAACAGCTGTCAATAAATTGTGGTCAGTGTCATGGTGATGATTGATGTTTCTTTGTGTATATAATGTATTACATCTACATATGCAACACGTCGTCGGTCATTTATCATTTCTTCAATATAAGTGCTAGGGTTTATTTCATTCAATTTTTACAGATAATGCCAACAGTCACTGATTATAAATAGGCACACAAT